CATATTATATTAAATTAACACAATTTCTGTGGACTGTTTGGGACATGTGATATCTGTTAAATTTAACACAAATTTTTCAATTGTTTGGAATCCCTTGATGAAATAAAACGGAAATAATGCGTTGATTTATAATACGTCTGCTTATTTTGAGAATATATAATATCATATATATATATATGTATAAAGATCTCGCGGATACGAGATTATCACTCATTTCCGAAATGTCATTCTCCCGAAATCTAGCGTAAATTAGCCCGCTCTTTAACCGCGGATATAATATACATATATATCTTCTCTAACCGCGATGTTATCAGTTTATGCTGCAAGTAACGCTTATTCCGTTATACTCTGTCCAAATTTATGCTCGCAATTTCGTACAACAATAATATCCAAGGTTTACACCGTAAATTGTGCGAGTTTCAATTATATTGTTACCCGATGCAACATATTAGTCGGGAATTTTCCGGGATTTAACTAGCTATTAAGAGGATCCTTAAACGCTATCTTGTTTTACCGATAAAACATTATTTTTGCGCACCCTTTTCTTTTTTATTGGTTGAATAATTCGTGGAATAATAAATTCTTTTCTCCACGATTAAAGTACATGTAGAATCAAAGCGCGAATTTACCGATTTTAAGTTAAGAAGAAGTTAATTGAAGAATTAAAATTTTTTTTACTTTTTTCTATTCAACCAATAAAAAGAAAAGGGTTTCTTATTTCCTTATAAGTTTTGAAATTTAAAATTTCTATAATTACCCGCGACTCAAAAGACGCTAATTGATTTCGCGTAAAAAGGAAAGGAAGAAGATTATATCTAATTTGCCCTCTTTCGTATATACATATACGCGCTCGAAGAAAGTAAATTTCGAGAAAAATATTTCGATGTCGCGTTCTTTGAGCGGTGCAGCCTCGAAAGTTAGGATGATCGTTTTTCGTTGGAATGAGGGAGAGAGAACTTGTTACGGTAGATTCGTCTCTTCCGAGCGAAGTTGGCGAACTACAGATATATATATCCTTCCGGAACTTACCGCTTCGGTAATTCGTGTAAATCGCCTCTTGTGAAAAGGGAAGCTGTACTTTTATCTCTTATAGTAGCGCTAATAGCCTGCGCGATTCCAGGAGAAAAGATTAAAGAGAGGACTCGCAGTTGTGTCTCTCTCTCTCTCTCTCTCTGTCTCTTTCTCTTTCTTTATTTTTGTCAGCGGTTCCACACAAGATAGGACACATACGCGGTGGTGGAAAACTGGGTGGAACGGAAGCAACAAATAAGTCCATTCTGGAGAAGAGAGGGAATGAAACAGTCGGGACACGCGAACGGGAAATTAACTTTGTTGCCGGGAAAGAGGGAGGAAGAGAAGATGAACTTTAACTCGCTTTATTCGCTATTATTCTCTCTCTCTCTTTCTATCATCCCCCTCGGTTTATTCCGCGTTGCGGCGGATTTTGCGGCGTTTCCCATCTCGCGACCTTTCCTTTACCTCGGCACGCTTCTAGCATATCGTTTAAATGGATGAAACGTGTGGTACGTGGCATTTATATGTATATACCACGTCACATTATCGGCTTTCGAAGAATTCCAGTCGGCGGGGTAATAATAAGGTAAACTTGAATAAAGCCGCCCCGAGCTGCACGCTGTGCAAAACGTTCTGTAAACGTTCCGTATTCGTCGCTGGTATACTATTATCGCGTGTTTAACGAGACTCTTATTGTACTTGTAATTGTACAATATGTATACCGAGTTTCCATCTTCATTAGCATCGATTTTCTTTCAAGAGAGGAATCTAAGTAATTTATGAGGCGCGCGCGAGCGCGAGCGAAAATCCAAATCTCTATAAGCTATTTTCGCGCGCGTATATATCGAGCTTTTTTCTCCCTATTCATGAATTAAACGTCGTTTTTACACGACGAGGCTTTCCTTCATTAGCCGCAGGCGTGTGTCGTTGCGCTGTTGATGACTGGTAAAAAAGTTGTCACGTTTTCTTTTTTTTTTTTTTTTTTTTTGAGCTGGCGTGCTTCATTTCGCGTCGCGCAAGTTAAAATATTCCAAGCTGATAGTATCGCGCGCTATCTTCCAGCTTTTTTGCAAAAAAAAAAAAAAAGAAAGAATTAAAAAAAAAATCGGAAAGAGAACGTCGCGTGTATTTGCATGCCGCTTTTTAACCAATTCACAGACAGGTTTTAGATAATCTCAAAGGTCATGTTTGCCGTGCGATATACTGTAATAAGGTTTCGCGTTCGCAACGTCGGTCGCAAAAAGGTAAAATTCGAGCGATACTTACATAGGTACTTTGCAAGGTACATATATATTCCGAGTACAGATGTATTACGAATAATTACGGGGTTTAAAGAACACTCGACACAGAAATTGTTTTACACGCGCGTTAATTTTTTTTCCCTTTTATTTCCTTCAGGGTTTCTCTGCTCTTTATGTCGTTCTTGCAACACACGCGATTCTGGCATATATGAAAATCTTTTCGACATATTAAAATTCTTTTACAAGTACTAATTGAATATATCGCGGTAAAGCAAAGGAAGATAAACATTTTACTCGAGATTACGTAATGAGAATACTCTGGCGTATTTTCATTTAAAAATATTTTCCGCAGCAGCGTGCATAATCTTGATTATCTCTTTTCTCGACTTTTAAACAAGCTAGTCCAAAAAAAATATCGTGAAACCATGCTTTCGTTATAGTTCTTTATAACTAAATAAATAAATTTGGTGTATGTCTAACAAAGCTTGATGAATAGTGAGCATGTTGGAAATGGTACATTTCCTACTCATCTGTGTGCGTAACATAACATATATATTTTGAATATAAACTTTGGAGCGCACAATGTGTTGCGGAAACAGCTGGCAACATAAATAAAGCATTTGGACAGGGAAGGAGAGGGTAGAAATACTCTTAAATAACGGATAACATGGAGTACGGGGCACTGAGAAATCCTTATGTTTTGATAATACCTTGAAAAATAAATGTGATTGATTATGCTCGCAATTAAATTTCTCCTGGTAATTGAATAAGCAAAAATTATCTCTGAATTCCTTAATTACATATTGATTTTATGTTTGTCAAATGAAGAATTTAAGAGTGAAAAAAATGGTACACGAATACAGTATTGTACGAAAAAATGTCCAGATTTTACAAATGTCAATGGAATTTCTACTGATAATTGAACAAGCAAAAATTATTTCTGAGTTTTTTAATTGCATATTGACTTTATGTTTATTAAATTAAGAATCTAAGAGTGGAAAAAATGATATATACGAATACAATATTATACGATAAAATCGCCAGATTTTACAAACGCCAAAAAGTATATAGAAAGTATATATGGAAAGTAGATGGATATATATTTTAGTCAACCCATAATTTTCGTCAGAGAGTTGAGAGTTTTAAAAAATTACTCTTATAATGGATTACATGAAATGCGACATTGAGAAATTCCATGTTTTGATAATATATCTTGAAGGATAAATGCGATTGATTATATCGGCAATTTTCTATGGATTTCTACAGATAAATAATTTAAAAAGCAAAATTATCTATGAATTTTCTTAATAACATATCGATTTCATGTTTATTAAACTAAGAATTGAAGAAATGATAAACGAATATACCATATTATATGAAAAATTCCTTACGTTTTTACAAAAGCCAAAAGATATATGGAAAGTATATGGAAAGTAAAGATATATTCAACCCATAATTTTCGTCAGTTCAGTTTTGAAAAATTCCCCTTAAATAAAAAAATAGACAATATGAAATACAGCATTGAGAAATTCCACGTTATTCTCTTGTTTTCGTAATACCTTGAAAAAGAAATGTGTTTGATTATACCGACAATTTCTATGGATTTCTACAGTTAAATAATTGAAAGAGCGAAATTGTCTATGATTTTTTAAATTACATATTGATTTTACGTTTATTAAATTAAGAGTTCTAAAGAAATAATATACAAATATAATTATGAAAAATTCCCCAGATTTTATAAAAGCCAAAAAATATATTAAAAATGTATGGGAAGTATATGGAAAGTAGAGATATATTCAACCGATTCAGTTTAGAATTTTAAAATATTTCTCTTAAATAATGGATAACGTGGAATGTAGCATTGAGAAAAATTCCACGATATCCATTGTTTTGATAATATCTTGAAAAATAAATGCTATTCATTATATCGACGATTTCTATGAATTTCTACAGATAAATAATTGAAAGAGCGAAATCATCTATAAAATTTTCTTAATTACATATTGATTTTACGTTTGTTAAATTAAGGAGTTCAAGAAATAAAAAATAAACGAATATAAAATTATATTACAGGGTTGGGCAGATATCTCTCTCTCTCTTAAAGTATCTGAGATACGTATTTTTAAATATGTATCTTATTTAAATGCAGTATTTAAATACCGAATAATTCAAGTATTTTGAATTTTGTAATTAATTATTTAATTAAAATGTATGACACACACACACACACACACACATATATATATATATATATATATATATATAATATTAATATTAAGTACATATAGTACATAATCAGAAAATGAAAAAAATAATTGTATTTAAAAGTATTTATAAATGTATTTAAATACAATTAGTATTTAAATATATTTCAAACCCAAAGTATTTTAATAGCATTTAAATATATGTCAAGCAGTATCTTGTATTTAAATCTTTTCTTTCAAAGTATCTGCCGAACCCTGTTATATTATATACGAAAGACAGATTTTACAAAAGCCAAAAGGTAAATATGAAGAAAGGTATGCGGAAAATATATCTGGAAACTGCAGATATATATATTTGAAGCCGCAATACTCGTCAGAATTTCCGAGAGAATGTCGGATGAAAAGAAGGCTCTTCCGCCGAGGCGAGCCTTCGCTGACGCTTATTTTATTTACGCGTTTCCGGTGCGGCATCCGGCTGGTAATATCGGCGCGAACGAGGGTAGTGGCGCGTGATTTTCACGAGCGGAATGATTTGTTGCAGGTGGTGCGGGCGGCCAGCCCGGTTTTGTTGCGCGTGATCGTTCTGGGCGCCTTCTTCATCTACTGCACGGTAAGTGAGTATATACGTCGTCGTCGTCGCGCGCGTTTCCCGGCCGCGTTTCATATTCATGAGAGAGTCGACGTCACGTCGCACCAGCACCGCACCCGAGAGAGGGTCCGATAACAAAGCTTACTCACGTGCGGCCGGGGACGACGTCGTCGACGTCGTCGTCGTCGTCGTCGTCGTCGTCGTCGTCGTCGTCGTCGTCGTCCTCGCCGCAGCGTTCGATCCTCTCTCTCGCCGGCTGTAACCGCATCTGTTGCAACTAGGTGCTACTAGTAACCCCTAATGTATATGCAAGCGCGCCCTGTACGCCAATTACGATAACGCATGATTCCCCGTATCGGGGGCGCGACTACGTGCATTCACCAATTATTAATGACCCGTACGTTTCACTAATTAAAGCGGATATACCGGATGTAACTGTCCATCCATCCGCTTGAAGCCGCGCGAAGACCGAATTTTCACGCGGACCTATAGATATGTATATTTTACGTGGGATTTTCATTCCGATTTTTCGGCCAATTTTGCAATACGAGATGTATTTCGCAGATATTTCACATCCCAAGTAGCAAACTGATGTTGTTTTGACGTTTAATGACGTCAGTTTGCTATACGTGGGATTAAATCGGATATATTTTTTGAGAGGATGCTGCCTGTGTCTGTTTATCGACAAATATTTTCATTTGACTATTTATTGGCTATGTCGAATGAAAAATCCTTTACTAGAATTGAAGTAAAATAAACAAGAAAATTGTAATTATTTAATTTTCTTGATTTTGTTATATACATATATAGTAGCTCAAATTTGTTATTATGAATAATTTTAATTCTAGTGAAGGATTTTTCATTCTGTATAGTTAAATGAAAATAACAGGGTTGAGTATGATAACTAGTTAATTAGTTAAAAGTTAAAAAATTAATAACTTTTAACTTAGCTTAGTTAATTTCAAATGTATTAATTTTTAACTTTAATTAGTTATTTTTGACCTTAAACTTATCAAACTTTTTCTTTAGTTAAATTTCTTTTATCTCCGAATACCATTATTGTTTTTTTTATTATTAATTTTTATGTTCATTTGTCATCGATTGTAATTACCCAAAAAATATATTTCTAAATAAAAATCAAAATTTCTTTGCTGTTTGTTATTATAAATTTTAAAAGAATAAACAAAATAAAATTCTAATTGAATATAAATGTTTTTAAAATTAACTTTAGATTTAACTTGAGTTAATTGAATCTTAACTATAACTGAGTTAATTTTTGTTCATGCAACTTTGAACTGAACTAAATTAATTTGATAAGCAATGAACTTTTAACTTGACTTAGTTTAAAAAATCATGAACTTTCCCAACCCTGGAAAATAATATAATAATTGTCGATGAAATAGATCTAGTCAGCATCCCCTTAAATTAGATTCTCCCTCGAAACGACGACGCCTTACATTCTCATGTCAGCCAGGAACTTATTGCTGTTCGTGATTGTATTATTACGCTGGATTATTATCCGATGAGAGAGACATGTTTCCGTAATTGTGACGGCGCAGCTGTCTACCGCATGGATCACGTAGGACAAAATAATTCAAGGTATCGCGTTTAAGTTGTTTCTGGATTTTGACCTGTACTGACAGCTGCTGCAACACGCTGTATTCCGCGCACGTTTCCACGTGATATATCGGGTTGATAGTGGAATTTCTATCACATTTCACAACCCTGCTTTATCGAATCCGGGGACGATTTCGTAGACGACAAGTCATTTGTATAAACGTAAATTCCAGGAATTTTCCTCACGTACGCGCTCGCGTGTGTGTTCGCGTTCTCTCTTTGCTCTTAGATGACAGAAAGATCTATGAAAGATATTTGTTTAAGACATCGAGAGGCCGCGAGGAATATTTCATTAATGGCTTTCAATTGCAAGGATGTTGTCATTTAATTTGATAATTTTGCACCGCATACGCGCAGCGTATGCAAATATTTATCATTACTCGGGAAATATCAAAAAATTAAATTTAAAATAATCGTTGCAGCAAATTGGATTAAAAGTGGGAAATTACATTTGCGAGGAGAGAATTTGGTCCTTGCAATATAAATAAATGAATTTTTTTACATCCATATCGTTATTATATGAATCAAATTTTTAGATAAGATTTTCTTATTAAAAAAATAATTGAAAATTTTCTCTAATATATTTTTCGATTCAATATTCTTAGGAGAATTGTAGAACAGGAAATAATCAAAATTATTAAACTATTTTATTATTAATTGTGCACATTAAATATATATGTATTATAAAAGATCTTAATATACAAATCACATATCATCTTTACATTATATTATCGCCAAACATCTGTTACATAACAAATTATAGTAATTTAATAAGAGTGAGCTAAAGCACTTAGCATTTATGAGAAATGTTTGTATAGCAGTAGTAGTAGTTGTATGATATCGCTACAGGGTAAACTTTATCAAGCACACGTAAGACTTTGCAGAATTTGCTAAGAAAGTTTGGCTCAAGTGACAACAAATTTGTTTCTAGCAAATTCCGCAGTTTTATGTTTTCTGTCCTATTTCAACTAATTAATCAAACTAAGAAATTAAACGTATACGGCAATTATATAAATGAGATAATAAATAAAATAGTAAGAGACGCGTTTAGGGAGCTTCTTCGATATCGAGAGAAATAACTCCGTTATTTTCGAAGAATTTTCGCGTTAGAGTGATCCACGCAATATTACCTTTTCTATCAAGATGGCAAGGGGTATTTTTTCTCGCAGGAGTAATAGCCCGTTCGTGAATAAGGGTTAGTAGTCAACGTTTGCGGTTCGGGCGTTTGAGTGCTTTAACTCGTCCATGAGGACGTAACGTGCCTACGTAAAGTTTGCTCTTATACGAGCTACGAACTCCCGGATGGCTTCGCTTAAACTCGCACTGCTATTCTTAATGGGACGTCATTTGCCCGCTTATGAAGGTACGCGCTTTCCGTTTCTCGCTAAACTTCAATATTATATCTTTGTCGAGAGATGGAGAGAGAAAGAGTGTCGTCGTGTAAATCGTATGATACTGCTCGGAAAATCCGGAGGTGGAGATAAGACACTGCCGTAGAATTTTGCGGTGCGTGTGCGAGCCGCTTATAATATTTCTCCTTTCTCGTTTCTAAGAGCGCTCTTATTAAGAGAGCTGTTTCATCACAGAACTTTGTAATATTTCGCAAACCCGAGCGTCAGCTTAAGTTTTCAAACGTAAAAGCAAGAATTGTCTCTGGGGAGCAATTATTTCTCGCGCCAGAAGAGAACAAAAATCGCTTTTATGTCTTTAGAATAAATAATTCGATGCGGGATTTTTTTAAAGACAGGATTTTCTCTTTTCCTCCCCCAAAAAATTTTCGCGATCGATCTTCGAAACGATAAAAGTAAACATGGAAAAGTTATTATCAAATATTGTATAACGAGAACGTAAAGTTAACACCTCATATCACTGGATCTTTATTTTTTTTTTTTTTACATTTTATCGCCGCAACTCGTTTTAAAACGTATCAGAAATCGATACTTTCCATTACTCTATGTATAAAAGTATTAAGATTAAAAGTCTAGTTTAGTCGGAGGATGAATATTTCACGACAATTTTCATATTTTACACAACACAGAATGTGTATCGGAATGAAATATGAAATATCTCTTATAAATTTCACTTTTAACCGATATCCTTTATTTTAATATCTTTTGTAGATGAAGAATCTTGTTTACCTTGATATAAATTGATCCATATATTTTATTTATATATGAATTATTTTAACACGAGTAAAAAATAACTGCTTTTCTATTTCTCTAAAAAATTGGACAGCAACTTGTTTTGCTCGATAAAGATTTCCAATAAATTGTAGAAAACACCAGAGCAGAATCTCATTCTTGCAGTTTTTAAAAACATTGCTTGTAACATTTTAAAATCATTCTATATATATATATATAATTTATATAAATATTCTTTTAATATTTTTTATTATATATATATATATATATATATATATAAATGTTTCAAATGTTTATTTTATATAATTATATATTTTATAAATATAAGTATTAAATTTATTTTTAATATTTTATATTTCTAATGGATATATAGGTATAAAATATATACATATATATAGATTGGAAAAGGAGTTTCTTCTTTTCCATCATTTTTTAAAATTATTAGTCTCTCAGAATTATAATTTGTCTATGTAAGTCTGCGTGCTAAAGTCCCAAATTTTTACACGATGGCCTCATGCCAGAGCATCATGTTACACAAGAGAAAAATCGCTGTGAAGTGCTCGTTCAACGAAAATTTTATTCTATTTTTTTAAAACTCTATCCCAACTTTTCACAGCAGACCTTTGATATTATTCACATTATTTTTATGACAAATTTTTATAAGGATGATAATAACGGTCTTTTCTTTATAAGCATCTAACGTAATTTCAAACAATTAAATTAAATAGCCAGTATATAACAAAAATAATAACGGTGCTTTCTCATCTCTTCATTTTCCTTCATCCAGCTTGGAAAACAGCTTGGCAAATAATGAATTAACATTTTCAGAAAATTCAAGCATAAAATAAATATTAAAAAATTCATGCATCAGAACGTGCGTGATAAAATTTTAATAAATATGAGATTTTTACTTCTAAATATATATGCTTATGTATAAATATATGTGTATACGTACATTTTTATTTTTATTATATATTAAATATCAATTCTGTTAAATTTCAGACATTTGGACATTCATTAATGATATACATTTTATCACGCACGAATATACATCTCTCTATTTATATGAATAACATATTTAGGCAAGAACTCTCGATAGGAAATCAATGAACGGTTTTCGGCGCTTTCAGAAACGCGCGCGCGTATTCGAGGCTTTAAATATTTAATCCTATAATTAAGTAATTATATATGTATATTGCGGCGAATAAATTTGTCGGGGGGCGAACTTATCGAAATGACGTCACTATAAAATTCACACGGCTAATAGGAACGGGATTATGGATAAATAATAAACGGACAGAGGATATGTGTATCACGCAATCGCGCCGGTATATAATATAATGTTATATAGCGCCGAGCATCGCTCTGCAGAGGATATGACGCATTTTGTGCTCTTGTATCGCAGACCATAGTCATGTACCCCAGGCCAAACATCTACACGTGCACCGTGCGCGTATGGCTGCGAGAAATTGGCTTTTCTCTCACATACGGGGCACTAATGCTCAAAACGTGGCGGTAAGTGTATATACTTTACCTCGATGGCATTATTTCGTCCGTTTTATGCGACTCCATGCACGTCTCGTCTCCCTCTATTTATCTCTCCCCGAGTAAATAAATATCATTCCTCCCTTTTTCGCCAATATTGTGTTGCTCATCAAATTTATGTATATTACGCGCACCTCCTCTCTTGCATATTTATTTGCTTTGACATGTTTCATTTTAATATCAATTTTTATTTCTACATTTTCCATATTTTCCTAAATTTTTCTCTCATTTATACACAGAGATGTTGGCGCTTTAAATATGTGGCATATCAATGCATCTTGATTTTGCATTTTTATTTTTATTATATCCTTCAGAGTTTCTCTCTTTATCTGAATTAATTTTGCAATTCAATTAATTGTTTGATTATCAATCCATTTTTTTTCATATATTACGTACGTGTAATTTTTCGCAAATAATTCGAAACAGTTTATTAATTGGAGAGATACATATTTGCAGTGTTGTGCTTAGATGATTTTAAAATTAACTAAATAAAGATAAAATTATATGGCGATTTATCTATTAGATAACTTCCAGGTAATATTATTTTTAAGGCCGATTATGAACACACTTATAAAAAAATGTAAATTATATGAGGGATATAAAAATATATTTATATTTTTAATTACGAGTTTACTGCTTAAGCTCTGCTAATTAAAAAAATATTTAAGTATTTCTACGTGCTATGACTAAACCAAATTTATGCACACACAGATACAGATAATATATATTTTTATTACCTATATAAAAATAAGATGACGCCAATATTTCAGATGATCATCTATATAATTTTATTCAGATAACACTGCATATATGAATTAAAAGTATATGGAAATGAAAAACACCGGGAGATTTGTGAATGTTTTGGTCGCAGGATATCCGTGATCTTCCGAGTAAAGTCGGCGAAGGCCGTGAAAATCACGGACGCGAGTCTGCTGAAGCGTCTCGGTATCATCGTCCTGACGTTCAGCGTGTTCCTGAGCATAAGGACCCTGGTCGCGCCGCCCGTTGTCATCGTCGCGAGGACCGCCGACGATCTCAAAGCGTATCTCTGCCGAACTGATTGGTGGGACCACAGTTTCACTACTCGTGAGTGTTCTTGTGACCTGTATAATATTGTCGTTTATTTAATATTAATATACATATATATGAAAGTATGTACAAATTCGGTTATGAAAAGAGCGAGGCACAGATATTAAGGTAGAGAACGGAGAGAATTTTCTTTTAGAATTTACTCTGAAAATTATGGTAATCGTGGGACAATATTATGATATTGGAAGAATTTTATAAGAGTTCCTCTCGTTAATATTTATCACAATAAAAAATATTAATATGTACATCAAATTTATTATGTACATATCAATATTTTTTATTGTGGTAAATATTTTACTATATACATATTAATATTTTTTATTACAAATAAATATTTTACTATGTACATATTTTATTATGTACATATTTTACTATATAAATATTTTATTATGTACATAATAAAATTTACTACGTAATAAATTTTCCTATTACATATAGGAATATTAATCGAATATATTTTATATCCTATTGTGGTAGATATTAATATTTTTATTGCGATAAATATTAATCAGAGAACTCTTATAAAATTCTTTCAATACCATATTGTCTCACCATGATTTTCAGGGTAAATTCCAAGAGAAAATTCTCTCTGTGTAATTCAAAATTTTATTTTTAATTTTCTCTGTATTTATTTTGAATGTCTCCATCCTCAGCATATTATAATTAGTAAAAAAAACAGGTCTCTTATCTTACATCTATAAATCCTCATATATTAAATTAACAAATTAAATATAATACATTTAATGAAATCAGATAAGAAATATTTTTATCGGCTCACATTTAATTAATTTATTAAAAAATTAAAATATATTAAATTTAAAAAAATCTTAACAGGGATCGTTTTCAAGAAAACAGTACTACTGTGTATGAATTAGCTATCTCTTTTTATACATATGATATATTACACATTTTATATATTATAGAAAAAAAAAATATATATATATAATATTTCATATGCATAGAAAGCGGTATTGAACAACTTTAATTCCCTTAACTGCGCTCTGTCTCTCGATACCGCGCATCTCCAGTAAATCTGTATCTAAGCCGTATCGCTCTCTAGTGATATATGTGCGCGATAGAGTCAGCCGGCGCGTATAACACGTCGGAGTACAGTAGACGGTATACGAATTAACTTTGCTTTTACGATATGATCGACCCGCGCGCGCCAAAAGACATACGATCGAAAGTCGCGCTATACAGAGCTTTGATGAATTAAACCTCGCGCACGACTTTAAGTCAATATGTTACTTTAACAGAACGGGGAAGGTGTGTGCGCGCGTGTATCGGCCTCTCCTTATTTACGGAAATGTTCAGCGTTGAAAGTTAAGAGACTTACGAAGATGGATGGCGCGAGAAATAAATCGTGGAATTTTATCCCGAATTTGCTTCTCTCGAAGAGAATCTTGTTTGGTGGAGGGAGGGAAGAAAAAAAAGGCAGATACCTCTGGGAGACATGACGGTAAATGAGGCGTGAAAGTGGACATTCGTCTCACTGTACCCTCGCGTTTCGCCCGTATCATCCATAAGTTCCTGTATTATACGCGGCAGGCAACCGCATTAGTCCGCATTATCCCATCTCCGTTATCAGTCTACGTATATATCTGCATAGGTGAAATATTTACTGACTCTCTGTTACGCGTGACGCCTATATCTTTCGAATGGGAAATTGCTCTCGTGGTTATACGCGATCGCGGTATTCAAATCAATTTATATTAAATTAGACATTTAGAGAGAGAGAGAGAGAGAGAGAGAGAAGAGCGAAGGGTATATCATGTTGTTACGCATACGTTTTGCGATTAATACGGCATTATGAAGCATCAAAGCGTATTAGTGGTACGTTTATAATATGCGGAATATATGTGGAAGGCGTTGCGCGCATACGAGCGATATTGATTTAGTAATACTGCAGATTCTCGAATGGCGATTTTAAATCAAGATGGATAATTTATGTGCCGGCTTGAAGAGACGCAGCCTTGTGTCGCGGTTATTTCGCCCTCTCGTTCCGTCAGAGAACAAGAAGAGACGTCTCGCATTGTATATATATATATATATATATAATATATGCAAAAATATATATATATATATATATATATATATATACGCGTTTCTTCTAACAATATAGTATAATCTCCACGGTTTCATCCGCAAAAATTACGTGGATACATCGTATCGCGGATTATATTAGCTTTTCTTTGCGCGTGTAATATAAAAAGTCGGTTTTTAATTATACATCCGAACGTTTCTTTCTCCACGCGAGAGATAAATCGCTCGCAATTATTCAGATCACGCCGTGATTTCTTAGATCCTTTGATTTATACGGGGAGCCGTAACTAGAGCGCTAGGTGCGAATTGGCATTCTCACACTTTGACTTTTACATATGTGCGTATATAACGTGGTAAGCCGAAGTCGGAAATTGCAATTCCAGTTACTGGGGCAAATAACGCCTAGCTACGACTTCCGCGCCCGGACACTTTTGGCTGAAACAAATCAAGCTTCGTTTCCATTGTATAACTAATGCGACTCTGGAATTCACGTGATTTCAGTCGAGGTGATGTTCCTCGTGTGGGGCATCCGCCTGTGCATCGTAGTAAGAAAAACTCCGTCGGAGTTTAACGAGAGTCGATTCATTTCAATGGCGATTTACAACGAATTTCTACTATCAGTCTTCCTCAACGTTTCAATGTAAGTTATATCAAATTGTCTCTTATTCCCAATGGAAATGATCAATCTCTCTCTTTTTTTTTCTTTTTTGTAAAAAATCGTCAGGCTTGAAATTATTTATATGTAAATGGAAATTATTCGAGAACTCGATTCTAAATGCATTTGGAAAATAATATTATTTGTTCTGATATTATATATATATACTATTTTGAATTATTTCAATGGCGATTTATATACAACGAATTTCTACTATCAGTCTTCCTCAACGTTTCAATGTAAGTTATATCAAATTGTCTCTTATTCCCAATGGAAATGATCAATTTCTTTCTCTTTTTTTTTGTAAAAGATCGTCAAGCTTGTAATTATTATGTGTAAATGGAAATTATTCGAGAACTCGATTCTAAACGCATTTGGAAAATAATATTATTTGTTTTGATATTATTATACTACTTTGAATTATTTCAATGGCGATTTACAACGAATTTTTACTATGTAAGTTATATAAAACTCTCTCTTTTTTTTTTTTTTATAAAAATTCGTCAATTATTATGTGTAAATGATAATTACTCGAGAACTCGTTTCTCAACACATTTATAAAATAGTATTATGTATTTTGTAATATTATTATACTATTTTTAATTATTCGAGTTTACGGGACGTGCTTAAAAGTGCAACCTGCAATAAACTTTATTTAAATCGAATTAAATGCTTCAAAATTTACACATTTCGAGAGTTTAACTCTGGAATGCATAATATAAATCCATTTAAAGCAGTCCTTATTTTAAATGTAAATTCCATGTTAACGATTCTCTTCAAGGATTAATCCCACCTCAACTGCAATTTAATGACGGGTTCTCTTTGACGAATTTATAATTGATATTTCCTCCGAGAGAATTTGATGCAGTTGTGGTTTAAGCTGCATTTTTAAATCTTTATTATATGATTTCATCGCGCGAGGCAATAAATTTTCAAACTGGGGGAAAACCAAGACACTCTAATTTCTTTTTCGCTTTTTTTTCGAGCGCTTTCTCTATCGAGGATTCGATTTTCTTTCGCAAAGCAAAAAGCATTTCCGAAATCCGTCAAACGAACATCTGGACGCGAATAAATATGGAACATCCCGCGATCTAATGTCAGGAGGAATGCAATTTGAATATTTTCGAGCTGGAGAGAGAGAGAGAGAAAATAAAAATAACCGAAGAGATCTAGGACAACTCACGTTCTTACGTCACAGGATAGCGCTTCGTGCGGCTAACAGCTCTGAATAATTTCTTTTTCCCGTTGCTGCAGGTTGTTCCTGCAATCGCCGGCCAATCCGGATTTATTGTACATCATATTTTTCTGCCATACCCAGCTTACCGTCACGTTGCTGCTGTGCCTGATATTCGGCAGTAAAGTAAGAAATATTATTTATCTGCATTTATTACTGTGACAATTGCGTTTATCTCTCTTTCGGTCCAACGCGCGCGTTGTTGATGCTCGAAGGATCGATTTTTATTTTTACATCGCATATTTATTCAGCGACATCCTTAAATATCACTAAATACGCTCATCGATTTGTATGTAAAGTTAGCATGTTTATTAATTCGCAAAATATTGTCAATTATACTTTTGGTGACAAATCTTTTTTATGATGCATTTAAAATAATTTTTTTGAATACTTTTTCTCGAAAAATTTGCAGGATTCGTGATCTGTGAAACATTTAATATATCAGCGGAATGCTCAAAGAATCGATTTTTATTTTTACATCGCATAATATATTTTCAGTGACATTAAATCCTTAAATTTCACTAAATGCGCCGAACGATTCGTAAAATATTTTAAATTAGACTTTTGGCGACGAATCTTTTTATAATGCATTTAAAATAATTTTTTTTAAACTTGCAGAATTCGTAATCTTTGAAATATGTATTATATTAGTAAAGGGTTTTATATAAATAAAAGTTTAAAGCGCCAACGAAAATAATAAAAATTTGATTTTGGAATATTTATTTTCAACTTTGCTTGAAATAAATGAGAATGGAATAATATTGTATATATATATATATATATATATATATATATATATATATATATATATATATATATAGTTGATTGAATAGAATTTTAATCTCTGTAAATTTATTATATATATATACATATATATGTATATACATAGAGAACCATTCTCTTTTATTCGAGATTCATTGCAGTAGAGAATCGAGATTATCGAGGTAGTATCAGATGAAGTTGAAATATGTATATGCATATAAAATTCGATCGGCATGAAAATACGATTAAATCGCACAATTTCCGCGCTTCGCCTCTCCATTTACTTCACTCTCCCGCAAGATTACCGCAAGTCCTTCCTTACTTAAGCTTGAATAGAAACGTTGCGTAAGTTTGGTTATTACATACGTCGCATTTAACGAAGGCTTACGTGGTGTTTCGCGGCGGAGGGAAGGAAGAGACGATCGGCAAACTTTGCGGCGCGACCGGCAAATTCCTGGGGAAGAGCAGTCGTCCGCAGGGCACCAGTAACCAGACCAACTCGATATCGCTTCAGCAGGGTAATTTCGCCGAAGAGAGCGACTCCGCCACGGTAAGCCAAAATCTATACCCGGGATCTACCGATCTCGCTTGAGCGTAGCTTGAAGCCATCTTCCTCCTATTTAAACATAATCTAGTACCTGGATCTAGATTGCCAATTTTTATTTATTTTATTACGGTCGAGCCTTTACATTGCAAGCCCTGAAGAAAAAAGAAATAAATAAAGGAATCCCTTAAACCGCCGTCCGTTTTATCGAGAAAACATCATTTTTTCTTTTTTTTTTATCGGTTGAATAAAATAATAAGGGCTAAATAAATTTTTATTCCTAACATAAAATCGGATGGTTCGCGCTTTGTTTCTATAAACTTTGAATGAAAGTGTTCTTTAAACTTCAAAAAAAAAGTGTGCGTTCTCTTTAAACCTTAAAGCTTTAAAAACTTTACAGTCTCTCGCGGTATATCTTGGAATCTCATGAATTTTTCTCGAGCTGTAAAATCTTTGAAATATTAGAATCTTGAAAAAAAAAGAAACATTATAGAATCTTGAAAATACTTAAGACCCCGAGAAGATTCTTAAAGCTTGAGAAACATACCCTTAGAAGTCTTAGGTTTGTGAATGCTTGGAAGTTAAAAATTGTAACTCTTCAACGTCTTATAGAGATAAGGTAAGTGCAAGAGATACTTCTCTTTTTAAGGACGAATTTCGCCGTTTGCTCAACCAGTTAGAAGTCCTGAAGGAGAAGAACATTTTATTAGGAAATCAGGAGCTAGTAAGCAAGCTAGCGGCCATGCTGGATGCTTCGAATCGTATCGAGGCTCAAGTATCCACCATTCAAGCCATCTCGACTAGCATCATTCAATCGAACGATCTCGACAAATCGACGAAGGAAACTAACCTTGGACAAGTTTGCCAGGAGCAGGATCGATCAGGTAGAGGGAAAAAAAAATTAAAAACGGATCATTTAAAAACATGCATGTTGAATTTTATAGCAAAAATCAGCGAGGATTGTGGAATATGTGCTGTAACCGTTTTTCAAGATTATTCAGAAATAAAATTTTCAACAAAAATTTTGTGCGAATTGAGGAAAAAAATGTTTTATTTGTATGCGAACGTATTCGGAGCTCGAAGCTAACAGTCGAAAATGAAATCAGAGAAATTTTTTCGGTTTTGAAATGGCACGGATTTAAGGGCGTAGTTTAAGCGATGCTGGAGGCGGGAGAGATATAAAAAGGTCAGAAAAAAATTCTGCCAGAAAAGTGTATACTCACATTATTACATTTACAATTAAAAATTAAAAGGCGCAAAAGAAAACGCTGGAAAGAAGCTGTTTCTGACGCATAAAAAAGCAAGGAGAAGAAAAGAATAACTCGTATTATAAAATAATTTGCTCCTGAAAATTATTGTCTAGTTTAATTAGATTTATATACTCCGTAAAAATCAGTATATATATTTTATATATATATATATATATATATATATATATATATATATAAGAAGAGAGAGAGAGAGAGAGAGAGAGAGAGAGAGAGAGATGAATAAATACATAAAATTTCCAATTCGATCGGATATATACATATATGCAGATGTATATCCGATTGAGGATGAGAATTTTATTTATTTATTTATCTCTCTCTATTTTCGTGGTTACTCATGTTATTAATTTTTGCGCTGCATCTTTTGTAGAGGCTGTAAACAGATGATTCTACTTTTGTGTAGGAAACGGTTTTCAGGATGAGAATCGATGTCGCGCGTGCATTGAGAAAAATGGACTCGGGAGGAAGGATACGCAAGATCCGTCGAAGGATAATGAGATGTCAGAATCGAAGAAAATCGACAAAGACATCGGCGTGTCGACATCCTCGAAGCATGTCACCGAGGAGGTCGACAGGGAAGCGTGTCACGGGAAGGATAGTAAAGAGGCCGACTTAAAGGACAAATCCAGGAGCAAATCCGGCCACGCCAGAACACACGCCATAGTTATCAACCTCGACGACAAAAGCAGATTTTCCGAAGAAGTTACCGTGTAACTCCTGATGGTTGTAAGTGAAAAATAAACAGCTAGAACAAACGCAGTTTTCCCGTTCTAATTAATTAAAATTTTTTTGCTCCGTTTTTTTTCCATCATGATCTCATCGCGAGAGTGACAACTTGATGTCCGTGTTCATTGAAAATTATACTTGTCAAATGGAACGATCTCAGATTTTTGATAAAATTATAGCATGTCATTTCCCCTCCGGCGGAATTTCTTCTGATAAATAAGTTAATGAAAATATTTTACTCATTACGAAGAATTTAATTCTATATGAGCGAGAAGAATGAAAAATTCTAATTTATTATAATTCATTCACTCGCTATAAGTAATTGAAATCAATGTTGAATTGAGAATAGCAGTTCTTTCCAGATTAAATGATTGATTAAATGATCTCTCGATTGTTGAGCATAATCATAATTTCAATGAGCTATGAATTGGAAATTTTAATTATTGAAGGGAGTGTCCGGAAGAGACATTCTTAGAATTCATTAGAATGATTGAATTTAAAAATTTAAAAAAGTTATTCAAGAGAAAAAAATATATCGCGCGCGAGGGTATAAAAATGATCCGCAAGAAAAACGCGACATATCGATCTTTCATATCTCGATGTATATCGAGTATTCGTGGAGTGATGAAAAATTAGTCCATTAATCACGACGTTTGGCATTTTCGAGCAAAACTGATTGCATCCTAGTACGTCATTAATGAACCCGTTCATTAACCCTTAGGGAGTAATTCACCCTTTCCTGCGGCAAATCGATTTCGGGTCACGGGCTTTCCAAGATCAAAATGTGCTTCGTCAGCATGTTCCGCGGATTACGAATAGCTTGCACCTGTAATTATGTATTAATGTAAGAGCAAGTTAAAGGATAAGGCTCATTAACCCTTTCCAGTTCTCTGATGCTGCGAACGGCATCGTTAAAATTTTCAAATTATACAGAATCGTTTCCAAATTAATTTCGTAAGGACGCGTTAAATGATATAAATGTATAAGTAAATAATATATATATATATATATTGTGTCATATACAGTTGTGTAAATATAAATGAATTATAGAGAAACCACGTTATACGATGTTACATTATACATTGTATTATATTTATTATATATATATATATATATATATATATATATATATAATATATAATATATATTATCTTTTTATTGTATTATATTATATATTATTATAATTAAAAAAATATTAATATAAAAATAATGGAAGGAAAAATAAAGTTTTGCCGAAAAATTATTTTCAACCTTGAAAAGGTTAAGGAAATATGTTTTAAGACTGTCTTGATCCGCTCGATCAATTTAAACATATTCCAATCATTAAATATTCAAGAAACTTTCGATAAATTTTAAATTCTTGAGTTACTCGATCCGCGCGCAAGTTTAATATTCCTTAATGCTTGAATCAACTGATCCGAAAGCTTTAGATAAATTGTTTGCTCCTTGAATTTTCAAGTTTTAATTTCTCGAGTTCTCTTCAATTTTTTTGAGTTGATTAAACTCTTAAGCCCCTATTGAGCATTGCTATTTTATTAATTAAATGTTATTAAATTTTCTCCCTATATACCAATTCTATACATTAAAATTATGTATACATTAAAATTATGTTTGATTAAATTTTGCAAATATTTAGCCTCGTATAATAGTTAGTATAAATAATTATATAAAATAATTTGTAAATAAATTGCTCGTCGCGCACGTGCGCGCTTTTGACATGAATACCTATTGCTTTAATAATAATTATCGTTAGCTTATTGCACGCATAATTTGCGTTTATACGAACAATTGTATTATATGAACAATTAAGTATACATAATTGATTAATAAAGGCGGAATGAATGGAATTCAAACATGAATGACGGCTTTGCATTTTGCAAAATATAATGCAAAATTGCGAAAGCAGTTTTCGCACTTTGTCCAAACAAAGAGGTGAGTGAAGATATTTTATAATTATTTAATAAATTGCATCATTATTAACTTCAAGTATGCATTAAAGCTTATATTTAGCAAATGATTATAATTAAGTTAAGTATATGTATAATCCATCTTTATAACTGCAAATTTCTGTATTCTATAAACATTTATCGTATATATATGTGACACACACATACATACATACACATATACATATATAAAAAAAAAAATTCTGAATCCGTTCTAAAATCTAGCTTATTAAGCTAACAGCTCGTTGTGAGAATCTCGAGAATCTCAGGATTAAGACTCGGGTCAGATCTACAATTCTTTGACAAAAAAACGATCTCAATTAAATCTGTTCTCGACTCGTTAAATTAAGTATCGGGGATAATAAGAAAAAGAGAATCGCGGTAATAAAGATTTTCTTGATTCAATCGCGGACAATTTTGCGCGAAATACGAGATTGTAAGACGGATCCTATCCGTCGTCGTTCTCGCTTAATGAAACTTGCAGCAGGTTTCCTTCTTCGAGATTGATGTAAATTCTTCTCTCCAGCTTGATGCAAAAACCAATGAAAGCAATGAATCTCCCTTCGCGTATTACTTTTCTCGTATACGCTATCGAATACTATGTATTGATTATAATTTAAAATGGGGAGGAATAACTTTACACGATAATTCTTATTTAATGCAAAGGGAGATGTGCGCAGTAAATTACACGTTATTAATGATAAAGATTTATATATAGGACCCTTCTAAAAATATAAAATTCCAGATTACCATGTTTATAATTCTTTATATATAATTTTCTTTACTATATTTTCTAATATAATATTTGTCTTAATATTAATTTTTAAATTATTTTTCTAATATTAATATATATTATAATTTTACTGATTGCAAATTATATTTATATCGCGAAACAAAAAGTTATAATATAATATACGAAATGTGTTTTTTGGGAAACGTAAAGTTCTTTCATCGATTTTATTCGAACTATCTCTTGTCATCTGGAATCTCATATAATTTCAGAAGAAGAGGTCCAAAAGGGCAAAAATTCCCTCTCGTATACTTCCACTTAGACAGCTGCATCCACATATATATCCTTAAACATTATTGTTGCAGCTCCCACGCTATACGTATATATACATATATACCGACAAAATACGATAGCTCAATCGCCATCATTCCCTTTATCATTCCGTCGTTCTCGCCAATTAGGTATTTCCAATAAAGGAATTGCCCGAGGCGCTGTTTGATCGTTTGCCAAACGCGGTACGGAAAAAGAAAGGGAACGGAGGAAGAAATTTGGAGCACGCGGTGCGGAAGGGTGCGGGAAAAGGGGTAAGTGGGACGGAAGCCTCCGTACTTCCGGCAGAGAGTTACATTGAATTCACAGTCAGGTTCCGTTCTACGCTACGTTCGGACGGTGTTCTACGGACCGCGGGCCGTAAGAAAGGATTTGCCCTCTTCTTCCGCTTCAATTGCCGGCTTCTCATCCCCTTGTTCTCGCACCCTTCTTATTCTCCCTCCCCGAATAAAAAGAAGCGCATGTACGTGCCTCGCTTAGGAGGTCGGCGGATCGTTTCGACGACGATGACGGAGGTCCGTCGTAGTTTCGTATTGATTTTCAAAGTAAGAATACGCGGATATCGCCCGCGCTCGTTGAATTATCGAGTGCCGAAGAAGGGTCTCTCGAGCTCGCTTCCGCTAGCCATCCCTTCGTTAAGCGGACCCACGAGCGGGTCGTCCTCTTCCTTCCTGCCTCCCTTCCGGTCCTTGAATCGACTCAATCGGTCGGGATTACTCGATTCGATTAACCCTTTGCCATGCGCGAAATGGCAGCGTTGACAAATGTATTCCCACCGCCAATAATGGGACAGAGAGGAAGACGGATTAGCTCGTTCGCGTTTGATTCGATTGTTAAATGAGAACGAGCAAGATTATGGCTCGTGGCGAAACAATCATTTTCGCTTCTCGACGAGTTTAAGTGATTTTAGTATTAATTGGTATTAGGAAAATCATTTTCAATATTTATTATTAATATTATGAAAGTGTATTATATTAGTGGAAAATTATGTGAAAATTAATTGTATCGATGTTAGAGAAGTATACTTGTATTTTTAGTTGTATTTAATTTTATAGAGGTTTTTTATTTTTTATATTTGCAGGTAGCTTGTTGAGAGAAGATTTCGGGAGGTATCTGTTACACACACACACACACATATGTATATATATAAAAGCTTCGCGCTGTCAATGGAGAAGCGACAAATTTGATACAGGGTTTATCGCTGTTCAACGATATCGATAGAATTTTGCAGTAAAAATTGAAAATAAAAATAAAGATGTGCTGACAGAACGTGACGGCGGTATATTATATAGAAATCAAATGGTTCCGATCGAGTAGATTTTGTTATATTGTAAGAGCTTAAAATCCACGAAGTAAAAATGTTAGAATGGCGTATCTTGACAATAGATTTTGTCAATATATCGGAAGAGGATCGAGCATTTCAACACCATGTCACATTAAACTCGTGTGTTCCGTCCCGTGTGTATGTCTGACATAATATAACAATAGATAGTGACAGAGATCGAACCTCAGGGACCGGAAAATGTCAAAGGGTTATCGTCACGCGCGGATACGTGCTGATTCGCTTCTTGAACGATAAAACATCTGAAACAGGGAGAAAGAGGAAAAAAGAAAAAGAAAAAAAATGATATAAAATTAACTTGTAATTTCGAAGATTGTAGATTGAATTTCGAGTAACTTGCGAAACGTGCTCGTTACCATTTCTTTCTCTAGCTCGCTCGGAGAATCGAAAAAAAAATCAGAAATAGAGAAAATTCAACAAATTACGGAAGACTAATTTTCAATTTTATAGATTACAGCATTTTTTACAATATAATATATGTATTAAATAATATATTAAATATTAAAAGACAGTTAAAATTCATATATACATTTATTATTTGATCATACATACAATATATTTTGTTTTTGACAGTTATCAGCTGATTTCTGTCAAAAACTATTATTCGAGTTTAAATAACTATAATATATCATTTAAAACATAATTATTTTAATTTTTACAAATTGTATTATTATTTTAAAATTTAATTGGCAAATTAACGCTTTGATCAGCTGATTTCTGTCAAAAAAATTAACGAAGTTTAAAATTGAGAAATGGCACGGAATCTAAAATTATTTTGAAAAAATAACATCCTTATCTGATTCTTTTATTAGCCCTTTTATCGTATCTGATAATTTATATTTCTAACTTTTCGCGAAATGTGTCTTTACAGATTCTTGCGGAAGATGCAAGCCCACATACGAATAGGAAGATGATGAGAACAATTGCAAGTTCCATTTCCCGATTTCGCGGGAATTGAACATTCGTCGCCTTGCAAAATGCATTCTCATCAATTTTCTGAAATTCCCCTATCTCTCGCGCGAGGATGTCAACAACTGTGAATATTATTCGCGGAGTTTGCGGAGAGATCCGTCTCTCTCTCTTTCTCCCTCTCTTCTGCACGTCGTTCTCCAACCGGGTCCGGGAGTTCTCCAGTTAGTTCCGGCGCGATTCGATTATCATTCCTCGCTCGCGGGAACGCGGCGACGGCGATAAGCCTCGTGTACGTACGGGTGAGAACGGGAGAGATCTCCCTGGATTTTCCTCGAAGGGACGAAGAGGGCGAAGGGTATCAGTCGCGTTACCAGAGAGCGGATTGCGAATCGAGGAAAACGGATGACGGAGCGGGGTGGACGACGGGGGATGGCTTTAATATCCTGGGTTTTGGTCGGAGTCTGATATTGATACGCGAGCGAGCGATCGTCGTCGACGCGTGAGCATAGCGAGAGATGAGAGCGCGCGGTAATTCCGGAGGTCGGCGGGATTCGTGAAGCCGCGCGATATCACAATGCGATCCTTTGAAGTGTTCGACCCACGGAATGAATGTGTTCAACGCGATACCGGATGCTGGAGGGCGCGCAGGCTCACGTGCGCAAATACACGTAAATTTCTGATATCTCTTACACAGATGATATGACATCTCGGGAAGGGCGCGCAGCGTTGTGCTTAGTTAGATGATTTTGAAATTAGCTGAATAAAGATGAGATAAAAATATGTATGTAAATTCATCTCAGATAAAATGAAAATTATTTTGTTTTAAATATATCTATAGATGAAAAAAAAATGATATGGCAAGCACAGTTATAAAAGAAAAATGTTAAATTATAAAAGAAATATAAAAATATGTTTATAATATGTATTTTTATTATTTATATAAAAATAAGATGACGTCAAAATTTCATCTATATGATCATCTATATTATTTTATTTAGATAACAGCTGAGGACACGACAAATCTATCTCTGTTTCAGATTCTCTTTTCTCGAAGTTATAGAATCTATATTATCAGGAACTAGAAAGTTGCACACGTGAAACTCAAAATGATGCAACTTTCCGAGAATTTAAAAATCACTACATACATATAATATATATATACACATACGTACTTTGAGAAATACGAATGTTCGAAGAATTTAAAAAAGTCTTCTTTAGATTTTGAAGATACAGTTATAAAGTAGAATTCTGAAATTGAAAAGAGAGTTTGAAACTCCCTCGTGATTCGTAAAGATGAAAAGTTTGACCGCGTAATGTCAATAACAGCAAACATGTTAAAATTGATTTTTTCTTTTTAATTAATAACTTTAATTTTCTCGTCAGAAATACGGTTTATAAAAAACCGTAATGTAATTTTATATTTATAATTTTAGCATTTTCAAAATATGTCAACAAATATAATTATAATATTACTAAAAGTTGACTTAAAAGTTAGAAAAGCTTTGAGTTTGCAATTACGTAAGTATTTAGATAACAGAGTCTTTGCAATGTTACGAAGTATCTGTGGTACAAGTTTTTATCAACAAAAAGATAACTTTATAAGGATATTAAGTCAAGCTCCATTATATTCAATGTCGGAGTAGGATCTTTCAGCAAAAGTCAAACAAAATTTCTCGGTAAAGAGTAAAAGCAATGTGACGATAAAAATCCATGACTAAATTTGCTGAATATAATTTAATGATAAAATGATAATAAAATAAAAATGTAAATTTGATTTCGTAATTATTTAAATGACATATCGCTCTATTACGTAATGTCATTTAAATGATGTATTGCTCTATTATGTAATGTCATTTGAAATACATTGATTTTCCTCCCTCTTTCTCTATGTATTTTTTAAAATTTATTATTTATATTAATTATTTAATTAATATATTTTTATTGTATTTTAATATATTTGTATTAATATATTTTTATTTATTATTTATAATATTAAAATATTTATTTATATTAAGAGAGATGTCTGCTTTTTGAAAGTTAAAAATAAGGTGTTTGTTGAGAATTTTCTTATAAAAACTGCACAGCGGATTATTTTAAAACTTTTAGGCATTTATTATTAAATATTTATAAATCAAAAAAAAATTTTTAGTTAAAAATACAGTCTGTAGAAGTTGCTCTATAAAAATCTTTTTGCAGCTTTGCCGAGTTGCAAATTGGCGAGCTTTCTCATATCTGCAAATCTCGTCTGAAATTACAGTCGATATTTTTAACTAAAAAAATTTTTATATTGGTAAATATTTAATAATAAATGCCTAAAAATTTCAGAATAATCCGCTGTAAAGTTTTTCCAAAAAAAAATCAAAAATCATTATCTTATTTTGTGATTTTCTAAAGCAGGTATCCTCATTGATTATTTGTATTAATTATTTAAAAATATTTATTTCAAAAATCAAAGGATTTATTGGATGAAAAAACGCAGTATATATTTTTCGAGGCTGTCGAGGCTCTCTGTGTATGTCCGTCTCATCCCATAAATGTGTCGAACGATGACATATGCATGTTTCCTGTAGCATGAAACTAATATTGTCGATTCGTCCCGTGCTTGTGTCGCGACACATAACTGTATCATCTGTTAATAATCTATTCCCGATACGGCTGAAATTTCTGGCGTATTAATTGTCATCCCCAGATAATAATTGATAGACGTCATGCTCAGTTCGCGCGTAATGTGTCATGTGGCGGTCGATATGCCCGCGTGCGGCATTGACAAGGGGGTGATTCGATTTTTTTAATGTAATTTGAAATTTCGAGTGAAAATGCTATCGCGCAAAAATGGGAAAAACCAGGGAAAAACGGGAAAAAATAAAAAAAAATAGAAAAAATTTTAAACTCGGGAAATTTCTCTCAGAAGAGAGAAATGCAAAGTTAGAAGTTAAACTCATTCTCGTGAAAGTTAAATAACTTCAGGATCAGTGCATTTGAAAAGAATTTAGAATCTCAGTGTCTTCAAAATCCAGAAAAGTTTCATCTCAGTGTTTTTAAAATTCAGAAATTGCAGATTTTGAGTAAATTCAAGGATTTTCATATCTCGAATATCTACTCACACGCTGGCATTTTCAGAGATTTGGATCCCTATATAATCGGGGATTCAATTTGAACGTTTGACTTTTAATATCTATCGTGATCAATTTTTTTTATTATCTCTTGCATTCCTAATTTCGACGCGTCTTTCACCAAATGTGATACAAATGTGCGATAGTAGAAATAAATAAATCGTCCGAACAAAAGCTGGCACCGATGTGAATAGAATCACGAAGAAAGATAGTACGATAATCCGTCCGTTTGTCTTCCTTAGCTGTCGTATAACGGAGAGCTACTTATTTTCCTTTCGTGGTCAAATCGAGGATTTACAGTTCTCGAATCTAAAATTGATAGCCAGCCTGAATCGCAAATTCTACTTCGTATTCTAAAAAGCACTTTAAGCAATATCTCTCGACAATCATTATTGATAGTTTCAAAATAGTTTAAATTTATTTGAAAATAGTTTGAATTTATTTATTTTTATTATAAATAAAAAATCTAAAACTAATCTTTTAAAAATTAAAATTTTTTTAAAGCGCAGATTTTTCAAAAATATAAAGATACATAATAATTTCTCGATCTTCAATATTTTCGTAAAAATTAGAGAAATGTAAAACCTGAAAATAAAAACTTGAATTATATAATGTCTTCTGAATAAATAATAGGAAGAAACCGACTCTACTTGTACGAGAAGTTATGCGGTGTTATTATTGGATATCCTGTATATCTTTTTAATAATATAAAACTAAAAATAGTGGAAAGCAATTTCCATATATTTCTGCATAAAAGTAATTAAATGTGCCAATAATATATTGTATCTTAAAATAATTTTTTAACTCTATTATATTAAATATAGATAATATAAGAAATTATTGTAAAAGGATCATATAAATAAAATAATGGCGTAACATTTATCATTACTATTATTAACTTTTCCGGATAACTTCAATGTATTTTTATCATTTATGTTACACTTTAATTAATACAGTATAGGCCATAAGATAATTAAATTAATCAGACCTTTAAACGTCGCATCGATTCCAATGTGTTCTATTCTCATGATATATTGTTTCACGGTTTGGAATACTTAACCGACTTATTTTAACAAATGCAGTTCACGATATATGATTCTTTATATTTGAGTTAAACTTTTTCTTCTCTCTTTTCTATACAATTAATATATTTTTTAATCATATTTACACATTAATATATATTAATACAACTTTGTGTGCACTTATGATGAACATAAAGAATTGGAAATTGAACATTGTATTCTTTGACAAATATGGAGTCGATTTTTTTTCAAAATTTTAAGAAAAAAATTAATTACTGAATATATAATGTATGGCATAATATGTCATCTTTTTCTGTTCATCAACTTTGTATATATATGTATATCTGTACATCTATACATTTGTACACTTCAAGGAGATACGCACATGCAAAGTGCAAATTTAGAAACGATACGCACCTAGAGACCATCTCTGTTTCTCGCAACTTTTCTGACTTCTAACTGATTTCTATATCGCTGAATGTGTTAAACTAAAAGTTTAGAAAATTAATTTATATCAATATGATTGCAGCCTGATCGAACACTTTTTGGAGTTTTAAATATAAATGGCGCGGACATATATAATAAAATACATGAAACACTCGAATTCCAAATTCATTGAAGACGTCTGTTATTCTATTTCCAATTTTTTATGCACAAAGGGCATATCTTCTCGACTAGTTGATCGTTTTCAACGTGAGTCAAGTTTTCACGTGAAAATAAAGTTTCTCTTATATTCAAATTTCGTATAACTATTTCCAACAATTATATATATATAATATAGGATGTTCCAAAACCATCAAGTATGAATAATGGATTTGTGGCTAAAAATATCGTGGCATCAATAATTCTCGAGTTAAGTGATTGAAAAAAGGGGCTTGCAAACTAAATTTTGTAAAGTTAAAAAGTTAAAAAAAATTAAATGTAGTTTACAACATTCTTCAATTAATTTCACATAGAGATTTGGAGTATCCTGTGTGTGTGTGTGTGTATATATATATATATATATATATATATATATATATATATATATATATATACACACACACACACGTATGTGCATGTATACATTTGTATATATAAATGTTTACAATTGTTTATAACTGCAAAAACAGATGATTCGTCACAAATTCTTAATATCATATCGGAACAATTAGAATGAAAATAATAACAAATTTATGTTATTCAACCCAGACATGCCTAATATTCTATATATAAATACATATTCATCCTGCTTACTAATAAAGCGGTATTGCGACTTTTTATTTAGACATTCTTCCTCTCTTCCCTTCATCACAAATTTATTATCTACATATCTAGGACGATAAAGAAAGTTTCATCACAAGTGCATCAAGGCACATCTGGGTTAAATATAAATATATATTGATATTACATTGCATTGTGATAATACTTATGCGCACACACGCGCGTTTCCTGGGTTATAATGATCTATGACTTCTAGAAGTGAAATTTGACAACTGTATCAAGGATATGGAGATTATAATACCACATATTCTGATATATATTTATAAAATATATCGAATAAATTATAGATTTAATTACAAAAATTAGTCAATATATACTAATATACACAAAACACTAAACAATCATGTATACCTTTAGTTCATATTGTTCCCTCTCCCATTTTTTAATTTATCATGGAGATCATTAGAGTAATGGACTGACTAAGATTACTACATGTCAAGAAAAATATGATTCCTATTCGAAGTATTGCAATGCAGTGGTAATGTACACGTATTATTAATATTATTATTGGGAAAATAGTATGTGATCTTAAATAATTCTAGGAAAAGGCAACATGTACACGTTATACATTTTATCAGATTTGCTAGTTGGAAGAGAACGACTTATTTGTTTAAGGCTTCTGGCTCCTTGCCGACCGTTGGAATTGTAATGTCAGAAATGAGAAAACACACGCTAAAAGTTCTTAGATGTCATTTCGAAATAAAAAGATATTTCGATGAAATAGCACTTCAGATAATTTTAGCACACTCTTAAAATATCTCGAAAACTCTCCTTTTTTCTTTATAATCAATCAATAGCTGTAAAATGACAATATGAGATTCCGTCTGGTCTTTGCACATGCGCGTTTATTTCGCATGACAAAATCTGATATCACGATCATTTTACGGTTATTTATTGATTGTCAAGGAAAAAAAATAATTTTAGAAGTATTTTAAGTGTGCTAAAAATGGCATCTAAGAATTTTCAGCGTGTGCTTTCTCTGACGTCACAATCTAATAAGACCGCGGTGAGAATCCAGGAGCCGCAATGTGTTTTCAGCCCATTACTATTTATATGTAACATTTTATATCTCTTTATATCTCATCATTAAACAGAGCTAACTTGGATAGAAGAAGCTATAGACTCTGTTTCATTATGCGCTCTTAAATTAATAGAATTTTCCATACTACCTTCAGTAACATCACTACCTAACGCCAGTCTCTCGTTTTCAATCAACGCAACATTTGAATCTATTATGATCGTATTGTTTTCTACACTATTATTTTTCTTTCGGATCGCACATCCGTTAATATTTCCATCGACTTCCGCTTGTTGATCACTATTCAACATTGATAAACTTCCTTTAATGTTCTCCTTCGATGTTGTTTGGGAACTAAGTTTCTTCTCCTTCTCGGACAATACAACATGAGCGTTTTTCATTACTTTTCCCTCCTTTTCTTTGGGTTTCTTGCCGAGTACAGGGAAATTTGTAATCTTTGAAGCAGTCTTTTGATCCTTTGATTGTCTCATGGAACCAATACGATTCGGCTCTGTTGTTTCTTGTTCCTCCGAGATTGATACCAGGTTACTTTTACCCTCTCCGGTAGTATCATCTTTTATAACTTGTATTGGTATGTCATCTGAGGGCAAAAGAAAATTTTTATACAATATTGTTTTCTGTATAATAAGTAAACAAAATTTTACCGTCAAATTGGAGTTGACAATAATAAAAGCGATATTGGAAATTAATAAGCGTCTCTTTAGATAGAGGCAACAAAATATACGTATATATATATATACATTCTACATGATTCATTAATTGCATATATTGAATATCTCATGACATAAATATGATTTCTGTCTGTGTTTGAAAGAGAGAATATAATAAAATTATATATTTAGCATATAAAATATAAATGTGTATTTGTTCTCATAAAAGTTGTATTGCAATATGTATATATATCCAACCAATATCTTTTTTTAATTAATTATATATTTATAATACATAGATATGTATCATAAACGCGAATGGGAAAGAACATTTAGTATTACTACGAAGTAGAAGGTATTAAAAATATAAAATTTACAACATTTACAGCATAAAAAGAAAAGTGCAGACAACAAAAAAGAAGGCAGATTGCGCAAGTAATATTTAAATGAGATTAAGTGTAAGAGATACAGATAGGAGATACAGTTAATTACAGAATAAAAGAATACATCAAGTACATTTTTTAGTCAAGCAATATACTTGAATTTCTCGGTGCGGGAAGATAAATGTGCCGTGTCGACATGCATATTTCCAGTCATGCGCTGGTTTCTGTTTAGATTTTGTTTTATGCGTATGTCTCATTATAGCTGGGAGTGATACTTCTGAAAGGAATACATCCACGATCACATGGATTATTACAAATCAACGATTTTTTTTTTTGCGTGTGCTGCTAGTGTGTGTGTATATATACTGAATGAAAAACATAATGAATCGTAAGTCTGACGAAGAATATCATAGCGTGATGAGAGATTTACGCCATCCTATAGTGTTGTAACTGAAGTGATAATACCATATGTTTGATGACAATGCGGCAGTGGCGCAAAATTTCATCTGTCTACTGTTGCTTCCTTCTGTATATACATTTTCCACCGATTCGCGAATAATCTCTCCTAGAGCTTGCTCCTCTAACACGCTATACAGATGCGCATTAGGCAATCTGTCGTCGGAAAAAGAAGAATCGCCCTTTACGTTACTGTCTTTTTTACTTTTCGGACTGGCGACATCGTCGGGAGTCGTCGTTTTCTTTGATTGTTGATCTTTGCTCTTTTTAGGAGAGGACTTTATCGGTGAGCTTTGGCTGCTGCTGCATACACTCCCACGTCTAGAACCTTCCGAGGAGGAAGATTGCGCCTTTCCTATGCCCTGCGTATCCTTCTTATCGCCCGAATTTGGAAGTGTGTGTTTCCAAGGCCATTGACGACGTTTGCTGCTGCCGGATACCGCCGGTTGCTGTTGCTTCTCGACTTGACAATTGCTCAATTCGACCGCAAATAACTTCTCATCCAGATCGTCTAATGACATAGACGCGCAATCCACATTTTTTGGACTCTCTCTTTCTAACTTATCGTATATATTTTTAATACTTTATCATACGAAGCTTATTCCAGCTTCTGGACAATTTTTATGGTATGATATTTTTTGTATATGTATTTTATGATTTGCGAGTTATCAACAAATCACAGAATACAGATAAGAATGAGTTGTGTATAGTTATTGTATTAATATATCTACTTGTTTGGGCAACTAATTCATTCTTGGGACAAAAAACATTTGTTTTAATTCAGCAATCATTTCATAAAACTTAGAGGGATTTCACATGCAAAAACTGGGACCTAAGAATACTCGACACATTCATAACCATGCATATCTGCTTCCGTGTATTATTTATGTTTGTTGTGTAAGGTAGCTAATATTCGGACACACAATATTAAAATTTTATTTATGCATGTTAGCTATTTTAATGGAAAACACCATAGCTATAATGTTAATGCCCTGTTAGTATTTTAACACCTATTCACCAAAACATATTCGTCCATGTACAAACTTGTGTAAAACACAATAATTATGTTCAATTATGAAAGTTAACTTTGAGTATGATTTCAAGAAAATTAAATATAATGTATGAGAATGAATTTGTTAAACGTGACTTTTTTTAAAAGCACCAAGTGAAAAAATCAATATGAAAATGAACATTATAGTATCCTGTATAAGAAAAATTATTTAAATTTAGATATAATTCACTTTTAAATATATATGTATATAAGTTATGTATTTTCTTATAGTTATTACATTTTTTATTCTTCATTATTATTGTTGCCAAATTTTTGTCTTTTCTCACACGTCGTCGTAAAGAAATTAATACTTTATAATAGATATAAACGCAATATAGAAACATACCTGGTAATTTCTTAGTACGAAAGGAAGCATTTGTGATCATAGACTTTGAAACAGTTGGTGTAGTAGTTGCTGGGGACAATGCAACACTAATTCCAATTGGTCCATCGCTCGGTTGACCTGAATAAGACAGCAAAAGAAATGATAAAATATTTATCTTTAGAGAATAAATTTTGTATTTAAATTAACATCAAATTTTAAGTTTAATTGTATGGAAATAATTACCTGGTGCTCCAGAACTGGCAGAATTTCGTACAGCGTTGGTAACCAACATTACATTTGGATATGCTTCGTAACACGCTCTATTGTGAATGTCTTCTACAGCCTGATTTCCTATATACCAGCATTCGTTATACCTATAAACCGAAATATTTACTGAATAAATGTAATTCTATACATGAAGATGCAATGCTAGCACAAATTAATCCAAACGCTGTGCTAAGTTCATATTTGTTAATTGAGATATGAAAGAAGCAAAGTGTGTGGAAAAATTTGTTAAATTTGCAATAATATAAAACGCATTACATACATGGCAAAATATACAGCATGCAAGAATTCCAAGAGAAATTGGCTGGATACTGGTATACGTGGTAAAAGCCTTGGAACAAAGCTAGACTCACTGCCATATGAAGAACGTTGATGATGTCCTGGTTTCATGAACCCTTGAGTGACAAGTCTGCACCAGAAATAAAATTAAAAATGAAAAGGCGAAAATATAGCAAATTAATGTTAAACATTTTTTTTACTAAAAATTAAACTTACTTTGTTGCAACCTTGCACAATTGTTCTAAAGCAAATTTATTTATATAACCAAGTTGTTGATTATAGATAAATAGCAGTGCTGTCATGACTTTTAATCTGTTTTGCGCATTCAATGTTTCCACTTGTTGCAATGGACCCCAACTCACAAGTTTTGAATTACACTCTTCAAAACGACGGACTGCACTTTCTGTTAGTGAGGCTGGAGCTAAACTTGCAGGCTGTTTCAAAGAACATAATATATGATAAATAATTATCTAAAAAAATGTATATTTTTGCAATAATGCACTCTTAAATTTTTTCTTACCACGTATAAAGATTTCTTTAATAACATTATTCTACTTGTATTAAATATTTTTTATATTAAATATAGTTGTTAAATAAAAAATTTTATATTCTATCAATATATAAAATTTATTTTATCTCTGATACTGATTTTTAAAACTAATTTATTAAAAAGAAAGAAGAAAAAAGTTCATTAAATTTGCAAAATTAAAAAATTAAAGAATTGACCTGATTCTAATTCTTGTTAAGAAAAAATTTATATTTATTTGATTTATATTTATTTATAAGTATATATTTTCATTATTAATTTCTTGATAAATCTTTGTAGATTTAATATAAATATGTATCAACATACCTCATGATATATAGATAACATAGCAAGAGATGGTAGTCTAAATGAGATTGCTTTTTGTTGTCCTGATTTATCAACCACTTCTAAATTATATAATCCAATTAATAGAGTTTCAAGGGAACGACAGCTCTGGAAATTACATATTATTAACAAGTGTATTACATATTCAAATCCAGAATACATATAAAGTAGATTTTAGAAAATACTCTCAAGAATAATTTTTTCACAAGAATTATAATAAAGTTAAAATCAATCTATTTTGAAATCAAACAAATATGCAATTCACTATATTATAATATAAAGTAGTTAAGTATAATACAAGATAACAGAATTAATTATGCTGTAAGTTACACATATCCTTCACATTATATAACTCTACTTATATACCAATTATATGCAATGATGATATAAAACACAACAGACAAATAAAAATATGATTAATAAGTAAATTGTTATCTATGATGTGTTATATATTCTTAATTTTAATAATATATAGTATAATTTTACCTTAATATCACCATGTGCAGCAGAATTTAGATAAATATATATCAGTGTTGGCAGAAATTGCAGAGTAAACCTTTGCAATTCTATTTCTCGAGATCGATAAAAATTATATAATTGATTACACACTGCGTCCATCAACTGTAATAATGATTCATAATTAGAGAAATATAATTAATCAATTTTTAATAATTATATGTATCCTATTAACAAGTGCTTGTAAAATTGTTAAATATCTTAATAAGTTATTCTTTATTAGTATAGAATTAATAGTTATTATTAATTACAAGTCTCTGTTTTATGAATATTATTTATATACAGGTTTTTTCTCTTCAAGTTACATATAGCTACATATAACTGACATTAGTGTCATATTTTTCGTAATGTAAATATGACTAACATATCTCTACTGACGTAACGATAAAAAAAACTTTGATATAAAAAATGTGATCACATTTCCAGAGCATATTTCGTATAATCGGTCTCGTTTTGCCGCAAAAAGGACGGATATAAAATTCAAACAAATTAAAATTCGCATATATATACATATATATATATATATATACCTCGGTGTATTTAGTGCGCTCTTCCAAGAGCATGTAAAGCGCTCGCACGATCTCGTTATCCTGCGAAAGCGTGCTGGCGAAGGTGTGCAGCTCGGACGGCGAGACGTCCTTGCAATCCGCCAGCCACTCGTTTATCAAACTCTCCGTCATTCTTCCTCAGAGCACTTCCTCGCGCCTTCGTCAATAAATCAGGATCTTACTGACGTCCCGGAAGCGCGGCTTCGATTTCCCCGACACTGCTTTCGCCGTCACAGAGATCATCACACAGATTTATCGCGGGATTGCGTCGCCACGCGCGCGGACACATCAAGGGACGGGAATTTTTGACAGATGATGTATCGGGCGACGACGGAGCGAGACCTATTACATGTCACGTTACCGTTCTTCTCGTAACGCCGTTCAATGTCTCGCGGACTCTTCGAACGTCTCGAGTAGTCTCGAGCGAGGAGAGACACGACCGCGAGAAAAACAGGTTATCGCCAGTTATTGCCGCTGACCGCAACATCGACCAATGACGTTACGTGTCAGTCATCGCCTCGCGCAAGCTCAGATGAACACGTATACGCGCGCATTCAAATATGGATGTGTGTGTAGTATTTTTATTTTTCCACTCGCTCTATATGTAGAGAAAATATTTATAAAAATAATATATATAGAATATATTTAGAAAATATAATATATATAAGATATATATGTGTGTATAAATATATATAATGAAATATATATATATATATATATTTTTTTTTTTAGAAAATTATTCAAAAATTTACTTATGGAGAAGTTTTTGATTGACAAGCAAAGGTTTCTTCATTCTTAATTGGTTACCAAATTGTGAATTAATTTATAATGATATACATATAAAAAAATATTGATATATATATATAAAATAATGATATACATATAAAAAAAATATTAATATACATATATAAAAAAATGCAAGAAAAAATGACTTGCTTTTAATAAATTAATGTTAAAAATTCAATAAGAATGCAATGGAATAACAGTCTTAATCAATTATTACAGACATATATTATAATCTATAATAGTATAATTAACAAAATATGATATAATTGCAACATACACAAATTTTAATTAAATTGCTACAACGTTTGCAAAATTGATGTAACATCATAACCAAGTAATTTCAAAAGAATTAGATAAAGTTTAGACATCCATTGTAGAAGATTGTTGCAGCTGAAAAAGATAAAAACATGCAAAGTGTTTTAATATGTCACAGAAATATATCAACATTGGATAAAACATTTTCTATTTAATATTAAATAAAAAATCAGAAATCCTGATATTAAATAATTTATATAGTTATTTATCTGATTTCCCCTCTATTCTATTATTCTATTATATAAATTATTATATTATTCTTCAGCTTTTTTTATATTAGATAAGCTATTTGTTCTAAACTAAGTTTTTCAGAGATTGCTTTCTTGTTATGCATTTTAAAAAAATCATAGAATAGTGAATAGAGGAAACGTACGAAAACATTCAACAATATTAGAATAAGAGAGTTCGAGTGTATTATTTTTTTATAAGAAAAAGATAGTCATTAATTAACTTACAAGATATGAGTTTCGAATTTTATGACACTGCCGATGCTCGCGACATTTTTGAGGTAGGATCGTTTCGCAGTTTGATACTTGCCACATGTCGCAATTCTTGCCATTATCCTATACCGATTAATAATGTCCCCGTGATCCTTAATAATAGCTCGTATTGTGTTCAAGTTTCTAGGAAAATGGGATATATTAAAACATCTTTTTAACATGTTTAAAATCATAAATATATGGAAATAAAACGAACAAAAAAATCGTATAAAACTGCGTTTTACCTGATTACTAACATCATACTCTTTGGCATTGATTGCAATATAGCTGTTACTTTATCAAATCGTTCTTGTACTCGTTTTTTCATATACTCATCCAGTGTCATATTGTCTGGACATGATGCAAAAGAAATTTTGTACGGTGCTTGAGTTAACATTTCCACTAGCAGTATGTAATCTGAAATAATACATATCAAAAATATAGAGAATCAGAGAATGTAATTTCACAAATTTTAAAAACTAAAGATGCAGAAATTTTGAACAATTTAATATTTGAAAACATGGAATTATCAATTGTATACAATTTTAAAAATAATTGACTATAGATTAAGTTAGATTTAAGATATAATGTATTAGGTATGAAATAAAGGAAGGATAAAGTCTCTTTGGCGAATGCTAGGGACTCTAAACAAAAGGTATTTAAAAAAAAACTAGATATACTACAAAGAGTTTGTTACATACCTTTCACATTTAAATCATTTGCAAGAGTTTTCAAGGAACTTTCATCTCTCAAAACCATCGATTCCCACAAGTTGCACAAAGTATGTCTCGTCTTTTCTGATATCCGTTCGTACAGGCCATGGTCTAGTAGTACTATTTGCGCTTTTCCATCCTTCCCCTTCCTTACCAGAACTGCGCGAATCAAGATTGTCGGTATATCACATATTTTTTATTATTAAGCCTCCTAGCATCTGACCGCAGCTATATAAATTATAAAGTCTACAGTGATAATAAACATGGAATTTTATGCATTATAATATTGTCGATCATCTTTCTTTATATAAAAAAATCTATATCTATTAAACATATTATTTGATAAAAATATAATATACCATTTCCTGGATGTGGATCAGCATGTACGAAACCTGTATGAAATATTTGTTCTCCCATTAAAGTGACCAGTTTTTTATCAACATCCGAAATGTTTAATCCATGAGCCTTGAGTCCTTCCACATCAGTGATTTTAATACCATCAATCCATTCAGTCGTAAGAATCCTCTAAAAATATAAATTACGATTATAAAGAAGGAGCAACATTCAAATAATTAAATATGCTTTATTCATAATTTGAGATATTGCTTTTAATTCTTTATTATTCAAGTTACTTGTTCTAATAAAAAATTTTAGCATATATATAGAATTAAAATAATAAATCTGTACTTAGAACATCTAAGAAGTAGAAATGAAGAAGGTGAAATGGACTTCACATTCATTGTAATTATAAAATTATACTATTTGAAGAAAATATAATTTATGCATAAAGATTTGCATATATAAATAAATATATATAAATATAAATGATATACCTTACTACTAAGATTCCAATGAATTTTTGGCACATAAGCGTATTCGAATTTCTTTAAATCTTTAGCACATTGCTCTCCATTTCTTCCCTCGTTCTCGAAATCCAATTCCATATGCAATGTGTCAATGACTTCCTAGAAATATGGATATTTTTTTAATAAAAAAAATCCTCAAAATTTGATAAAAAGCAAAGACTATTATGATATGAATGTAATGTTTTTAAATAATAATACATATATACTTACATCAAGCACCCAATGCAAATCGAATTTGGGGTGTATAATGGTAATAGCTTTTAATAAATAAATCATTGCCTTCAAGTCGGATGTGAATCTGTCCTGAAGATCAATATATTGTACTTTAATAGCCACTTTATCCCCATTTAGAGTTACACCTTTGTATACCTATTGAAAAGTGAAATAAAAAAAGTAGATAAATAGTGGAAAAAAATGTATAACAATTTTATAAAAACTATTTTTACAATGGGACATAACTCTGAAAAAGATCTTGCATATATTTTATTTTTAATACCTGAGCTAAACTAGCGGCCGCGACTGGCTCAGGTTCAATTTCGCGTAATATTTCCTCAGGTTTTTTGCCAAAATCTTGTAAAAATATTTCTTCCATTTCATCCTTCTCTCGAGTTAAGCATTTGTCCTTAAATATACCAAGAAACAAAATTTTTATTACGTAGTTATAATAATATAACATTAATAATAAAATAGTTGTAATTATTATATATATAAGAAAATTGATGAAAGATTCAAGTTACAATAGAGAATATAGAAAATATATATAATTATATGCATTAAATTTTGATTTAAATCTCTAAATATTTATATGTCAATATGTGATAAGTTTTATACAAGAATATTATTATAGAATATTATATTTTAGCAAATTATAATAAAAATTTGAATTTAACATTAATTTGAAACGTCGTGGAATATTTGTAAAAGGGATACCTGTAATACTGACAAACTTTCGACATATTCTTTTGGTAAAATGTGATTAACTGCTGTTAAGCCTTGCCCGAGCTTTACATAAATTCCACCGTTTTGCAAACATCCTTGAACGATCCGATCGGCAGATCTTTGATGAATTTCCGTTTCTGTATAACCCATTAAAGGAGCAATCAAGTAATCCATAGATATTGTCACGCCAATTCTCAGTGATCTCGTAAATCTGATGCAACTTCCTGCAACGCTTTTTAAAACTTTTTTTTTTTTTGAAGGCAAAATAGCGTAACTAACGCTCAACAGTGCCACTCCTGCAATGATTAACAATAGTCATTAACAACAATAATCAATAACTTCTACTAACAAAAATTGGCAAAGTAATATCTTTTTAGGAAAATATAAAACTTTATATTATATGAAACAAGTAGATAGAGAAGATTAAGTTTTTCATCTTCTAAAATTTTCACTAAAATTTTCATTCAGACTGTAGCATCATAATAGTAAAAATTATGTAAGGAAATATATATATATATAAAACAATAAATTGTTTTAGTAAGTATCTGTATAACTTACCTGTACTAACATATTTGAAGCGTTTGGAAAGTAAATGATGAGTTGCAAAATAATTATTTGGATTTATATGGCGCAACAATCTTGTTCTCAACATTCTTAGCAATTAAAAAAATATCTTTTTTTGCAAGTTTATAAATGTGAGCAGTTATTCGACTATAAATTTACTATTTACTTATATTTGTGTGTTCTATCTTTGATAATCCTATATAAATTGCTTACTGAAATATTTTTATTTAGTCACAACACACAAGTACTTTTCTTGTATTTTCAGTTTTCTATGCGTTGTTATATACATTTAAGTGCTTGCTGGCAAAAAATTTTTAAAACTATTTTTTTCTATTATATAACTTCCTTTTTCTCTCTTTTTGTCGATCAGAAATACAGGTACCATAAATAACAAGTTTGCAAAATTATGTATAAAATATGTAAAAATGCGCTGGGTTGTATTTAAAAAGTATGCTGAAAAGAAAACTATAATAAATATAACACATATTGATTTTATAAAAAAAAAAAAAAGTTCACACTTTTATATATTTTTACCGGTTTTTTAAAGATTTCGCCAGATTTCGTCAGATTTCAATTCATACTATTTCAGTATTGATAATATTGAATACTAAAAATACTCCATTATACAATACACAATAGAATATGTATCTTCTTATTATATCGTGTGCTAGCAAAAAATTGTAAATGTTTAAGCATGATAAAGATAAGATAAATTAGAAGGACTAAAATCACTTGTGAGTATTCAATCAGCTGATTGTTGCGCTAATCAGCTGATCGTTACTGCGCAGCCGCGAAAGAGAGAGACAGAAGGGACACAAATATTTTCTCTCCTTTTCTACATGATCTTTGCCATCAAGGCAGTATATTAATATAAATTAAAAATTATATACATAAGTTTAAAAATATTAGAGGAAAAAGGAAGAAGGAATGTATTAAAGATATTCAAAAATTTAAAATTTGTATTTTGAACATTAGGTTAAAAAATAAATAATATATTATTAGATATTTGTTCATCTTATTTATTTTGATAAAAATAATTTTTTTATGATATAATATAAAATATTAAATGCTTTGTAAATTGTTTCAATGTTATAAATATCCTTTAATTTTATCAATTTCTCTTCATAACAAAATATAAGCCTTCCATCCCAATTTCTATAATTCTTTTCTTGCATTATTTACATTATTATTGAATTCTGCTTTATAAAAATCACTTACAACATCAGCAAGTACTTTAATCTGTGTAGTAGTTACCTTTATTACATGTTGCAACAAATCTGCGGTGTGCTTATGATAATGTTTTAATGGCAGACCTGACAGTGTTTGTGCATTCTGTAGAAAGATATCTGTTTCTTGTTTATAATACCATGAAAGAATTACTAACGTTATAGTAAGTAATGAGCTAATTATGAAGAACCATAAAATCACATAAGTAAGAGAGCGATACAATCCAGTGCCTGAAAAAAGTAATTGTTAGTATTTATAAGACAATTTTAATAAATTATAATCATATGCAAATCATAAACAAGAATAAAGATTGCAAGTATGAAAATTCATTACCTGTGGATTTGTGTGTGCACATATTATCAGACAGTAATTCTGCTAATTTTGCATTATCGCTATTGTCTTGACAGCTCTTTTGCATTTGAGAATCAGATTTATTTTCGTTCGACTTGAACTCTTTTTCTGCATTCTTCTTCTTTTTTTTCTTGCTCTCCTTCTTTGTACTTGTCATTTCCTTTTCTGTTTCATCTACAAAACATGTAGCTGCAATATTATGCAATGATTTATTCAATGTCTACACTATATGTACATACCTGTATTATTTAATTTACGTAATTTTATTTCTTCTATAAGGTTTTTAGCAGCAGACAGATAATCAACAATATTACGAGCGCATGCTCGACATTCATGTATATTACTACATGGTCCAGCAACACTAGCTACAGCTTCAGTTAAAGGGTTCTCTTTCAAATCCAACCACCTTAATTTTTTAATTCACCTAGACTTAGAGGTAGTCTACTAATCTGTAAATAAATACATATTGATGCCATATACCTTTTTAAAGTCACAAACATAAATATATGTATGTTCTTACATAAAAGGATGTAAACAAATTTTTTTTACCTTATTAGCATATAAATCCAAATATTTTAATTTTGTCATTTCACCAAAATTTTCTGGAAGTTCGACCAACATGTTTCTGCTAAGATCCAACTTTACAATTTGTGTTAAAGTAACAAAATTGGTCTGCAAAAGATGTTAAGTTAAAATACTAGAATTAATATTTAGATTGCACAGAATTAAAGATATGACATACTGGTAATGAGACCAACAGATTGGTCGATAGATTGACATTTGTAGCTTTTCTGAGAGATGCCTGAAACATGATAAACAATGTCAAAATTAAAAAATTTCTATGTATACATCAATTTTTTTAAAATTTATATAAAATAGAAGTCACTCACAATTTCCCGTACAGGTACTTCTTCCAGTTCGCATAAACTGAGATCCAGAGTATCGTCCTTCAGTTTATCCTTCACATCTTTCAGCTTCAATTTGACAGTCATTTTTATTGCAAAATTTTGTGAAATGCACAATCGTTGAAATGGGAAAAAACAATTATTCTGTGCGTTTAGTAGTGTTTACAGTGACGAGTTACAAATTATTATAGCCCCTTGCGTACATGCGATTTGTGTACACGTAAGCAAAATATATTCAGTCGTTTGACATATGGGACACACCAGCAGAAGATGCGTCGTAGCCAATAAACACAGGATCTATATAGCAAAAATGAAGATTATACGGATGACTCCTCCTTCTCTGCGGAAATAACTTGTACGACAAGAATAAAAAGTTTCCTTATATTAATTATAAAATTAATAAATTAAAAATATATAATAAAATAAATAAAAATAAAATAAATTAATAAATTTAAAAAATGTTAGCTTAAATTATTAATTTAAATTAATCGATATATATTTATTATTTATATGTCGATAATGGTGATCCTCTAATTTATTTTTTTTAGTTATTTGTTATCTTTTTTATAATCTGTAATCAGCCAGAGGTGTGGAGGAACTGCACCAATCAAAACCGAGACCGCTTTTCCAAAAAGAATGTCCAATTTTAGTTTTCAATAAGAGAACTACGTAACACATATGTATATCGCGTGTCTCATGCTCGAATGTCGAAAGTGTTAACCAGATATAAAAATTGAACAAGTATTACGAGTCGCGATAAATTATTGTATATGCAGTAGTCTGCAAACAGAAAATTTTTTGCATCATCGTGTAAAAATTTAGGCTCCCAAATTATTACAAGCATATTCTCGTGATTGTGAGGAAAAAAATCAATTACGTGATTTTCAACACTCTAGTCTACATTCTCGAATAATTTGAAATGTCCACGCGATATATAAAAAAAATTTATGGCAGCGATATAATTATTGAAAAGGAAAAGGATGACGACAGTGCAAGTGATAAAGAAATTTCGGTGACCAATGATACCAAATCCAAGTCTTTCAACGTCTTTGATGTGGTATGTACAGATAAGAAATGTATTACATTGTCATTAATATTTTACAGAATTTCTCGTCTTCGAATAACAAATTGACGTTAACGATACAATTCATATCCGCAGTTAAATCAGAGCTCTGACAGCAATGAACAAGATACCAGTGATAAACAAGACGAAGCTTTGGATACCAACTCTGTAAATCGCAATGATGCGAAATCTGGAAAAAAGAAGAAAAAGCGTAAGAAATTAGAGAACAAGAAAGCCAAGAGTCAACAACATGATGTGGAATGCGATGAAGATGAGATTGATCGAAGCATATGGGAGGTGAACAAATTACTTGGAGAACCTCTACCGAGTTGTAGTAGTCAAGTTTTAGAACCACAGTGGATCAATCAAAAATCTAAAGAAAATATATTGACTATACAGCACAAACACTTGAATCCATATAATGAATTAAAGAGAATCTTTGGTAGTAAAACTGTGCAAGCTGATCGAAGGTATATCTGTAATTATACATATGTGTATGCATAATTTCTAAATTAAAATGAAAGAAATTTTATTCTCTTTTCTTATAGCAAAAGAAAAAGTAGAGGTCGTGTTGGACACTTGAAAAAGACATGGTTGGTTTCCCCACGAGATAATTGGCCACCGATTGGTAAATCTGGATTAACAATGTCCTTGGATAATTCTGTAGAGACTACAGGGAATGTACAGTATTTTGTATATGAACATAGTACTTCATATAAACAGATACAATTAAAATTCTTGCAAGCTGTTGAAAGTTTAAATCCAGAGAACATAATTGTAAGTGAATAACATAGTATAATATTAGATTTATCATATTATAATAGTATAATATTCTTTGATTGCATTTTATTTATCAAATATATGTACTGTAGAAAACTCTGACAAAAATATTTCTTGTTTATATTAATATTCATATAATGCATATATATACATATATACAATAAATGTTAATGCAGATTATTATATTTCAGAGTATAATAAACATACATTCTTATCATGTAGACGCTCTCCTGCAAATAGCTGAACTGTGTAAATTGAGTGAGGATTTACCAATGGCAGCTGAATTTATAGAACGAGCTCTATATTGCTTAGAATGCGCATTTCATCCATCTTTCAATGTAACAACTGCACAGTGTAGATTAGATTACAGGAAACAACAGAATCGGGCACTTTTTATAACTCTTTTTAAACACATTGGATTTGTTGGTGGACGAGCTTGTTATAGGTAAACATTCAACATATATGATCGAATATAAAAGCTTAGAACAGTAAGAAAAAAATTTATATTAAAAATTTCAGAACAAGCTTGGAATTTTGTAAATTACTTTTGTCATTGGATCCTGAAGGTGATCCACTAGCAGTGGTATTGTCCATTGATTTCTATGCCTTAAGAGCTAAGGAATTTGAATGGTTTGTAGAATTTTGTGATCTGTGGGAAAGTTCCAGAAATCTAACTCAATTACCAAACATAGCATATAGCTTGGCCTTGGCTCACTTTCGTTTGGGAAATAAGGATGAGGCTGATAAGCTTCTACAAAATGCTCTTATAATGTTTCCAGGTGTATTAATACCCTTAATTGAGAAATGTAATATACAAACAGACGCCAAGGTATCTAAAAAAATTTTTTTAATTATATTGGCATAACTTGCGATAAGATTATACTTTTAATTATTTGTATTTTCACATATACTGTAGTGATAATCTTAACGTAAGTTTTACCATTATATTTTCTAAAAATCCAAAATAATATAAATACTATGTGAAAAAATTATAACTTGATTATTTCATTTATTAGGTAATGCATCATGATTTCTTTAACTCAAAAGCTCAAACTAGTACATCCCCAGCTTTAGAGAAGCTACAGAATTTGTATATAGTGCGTAGCTTCCATCTTTGGAAGGAGACAGATATTTTACCATGGTTAGAAGAATGTGTACATGCTATGCTAAATCGAATTGAATCTAAAGATGAATACATCAAGTACTGTCAAGTAAAACGTAGCAAACGCTATCAAGGCAGATTACCAAAAAACATTTTGAGACACATTATATTAGCAGACATGAAGGAGGTCATAGTTAATGTCCAAGAGGTAATGTTTTATATTTTGCAAATTTATCATAAAATATTAAGATAAAGATAAACATATTTTATTAAATATACGATTCTAGATTCAGAATGAGGGTCCAGTGTTGTCGCACGATCCATTGCCACCAATAGACAGCATCGATATTTATAAAAGGCCTGTAGCAAATGACAGAATAGCTCAAAACAGTTCAAATTTTCTTTCTCTCTTCTTTTCTTCGCTATTCACGGACATCGATGGCGCAGCTGCTGCTTTAAATGGTTTAAATATATTGTAAGTACATAAAAGTAAAAAATAATAACAATAAGGAATGTAGAAATATAATAGTTTTACTATTGTAGAATTACTTTTTTTCACAATTAACTGTTTAAAATTAATTCTGAAAATTATAAACATATTAAATATTAATAATATATAAATAAAATAAGTATCATATATAATTAAAAATGTCAGATAATATTCTCAATAATTATTTGTTTGTTCAGTGAGGAAAATGATGACCATGCACAATAACTTTTCCTATTGTATGTGTCAACTTCATGATGGTAAGAAGATTATATAAAATGTGCAGTTTTAAATAATATATAACGTATAAAAGAGAAATTGCAAGTAATTTAGGACAGCTCAATAAAAAGATAATTTCAGAATTGGATTTTTAATCTTTTTTGAAGAAAAAGTTTTTAATGTTGTATGTAATTATGATGGTATATGACATTAAACAAGTACTCATTGTAATATTATCACAACTCTGTTATTAAATTTGCATTTTTTTTTAAGATTTATGCAAATATAATAAACATTATATATACATATATATTAAAGTAAATACACAGTAAATTCTGTATGCACTTCATGTAAACTGTATACATGTATATACCATGTACATTTATAAATGCATTATATTAAATATAAAAAAATAAACAAAAATAAACATTAATTATTTCTATAATTAGTTATATATCGAGTCATAAATCAAAGTTGACATGATTCTGTAAAAAGAAGTACAAAAGATTGTCCCTTTATAAACAAGTTGAAATTTTGTATTATTTTTAATTTAGCACCGTGTAAAAAAAAAGTTAATCTGATAGTTTGCTTACATTCATAGATGACAATATGTATTTAAAATGATGATTTCAATCGATGTGCTTCTTTTGTTTATTATCTCTTAAACCATACTGTGAAACACGGGATTATAACGACAGATTCCAGGACCATATTCTTGGTAAGCCTTCTTTGTGTGACAAACCGTGTAGAATTCTGGATCACTGGCCAGTAATGCGCCACCATACCATACGGCACAACGCTGCTTGTGATGCGATATCACACGAACGTCTATTGGTTTTGGCTAAAATATAAATATAATATGGTTGATGAAGATAATAAAAAATATAATTATAGAATAAATTTAGATTAAATTAATATAAATAAATATTATTAATAAATATAATAAATAATATAATAATATATTAATTATATAATAAATATATATAAAAATTAATAATATATAATATATAATAAATAATATAAATATAAAATTAATAATAATAATAACATTAATAATATTATGAATTATATTAATAAATATACAAAAATAATATGAATGCGATTTAATAAATATAGTTATTGTTACGTACTTGAACGAATTATCGTCATATATTATTTGATATTTACCGTAATATGACTGCCGCTTAATGTTTCACTAAGCTTGAGCCGCGTGTCGACGATCTTCTTTATGTCACGTTGCAGTCGCCTACCAAAATCCTTGAACATGGTAGAGCCACCCGATAATACAATATTACTATACAATGGTCTTCTGACGTCGATTGGGCAGTTTTGAATTACATCGTCAACGATTTCATTGAGCGGTGTCGTAAAGTCCGGATTAGAAAACTTGAAACATTGAAATATAAGAAAATATAGACATAGAGCATGCAAAATAACTTTGGAGTATTACACATATGTATATACATATAGCTTACTTCGGGATGGAAAAATATTTCCGGACCAAGAAACCTTTCATATCCGACGTCTACGACAAAAGGATTCTTGGTAATATTATTAATGCCTTCATATTTTTTAATTTTTGTAGGATCGCTATCATATCTGGCAAATTCTTTCGATATATCCGGGCATATATAACAATATTTCTCTTTAATTGACTTAGCTGTTTCTAGAGATTGCTCGGGTGGTATTCCAATCTCTCGTTCTCTTAACAAACTTTGTATAAAATAGGTAATATCACGACCAGCAATAGGAATGTGCTTTATACAGCTTCCTATAACGAAGCCTTCTGCCTGTAAAAATTCAATATATTGTCAGATCCGATAAGTATGATTCTAACAATAAAATCTAATACAGATTCAAAGATATATATACATACTACTGGAATTACGTGAGTTACACCATCTCCACTATCGACAACAACGCCTGTTAAAGTACGATCTTCTACATTCTTAGCTGTCCAGGAAGCTGCTAAGGCAAGAACAGCTTGTACAGCTATATAAAGTCCTGGTACATTGAACGACTCGAACATAATTTCTGCTGTATATTCCCGATTTTCTGGAGTATTCAAGGCGGTTCTGTTAAAAGGAAATAATGATCTTCGGGTTCTGATCTGAGATATTTGAAAATGCATTGTTGTAAAAATTTCTCCATCAAGTCCCAATCCTCCACAAGTCCATGCCTCACAGGATACTACAAGTGAAGGATGAAAATGCATATTTTAAATATAATATCATTAGAAACAATTTTACTTTGAAGAAATACTTTGAAGGAATAAATACTTTAACCGAATATCCGGTGGCTTCAAATGCCTCATCTCCGATATAGGCATCCAAGTCCTCCACACCCTTCGTAATCCTCCTCGCATTGTTATCACCAACCTTAGCAGTTTCCTTGATGGCAATCGCCGAAGGTATGGTCAGCTGAGGCTCTTTATTGCCAGCAAATCCTAATTTTGTGTATCTGCAAGATAACGATTAATTATTAATAATACAAGGTAATTATTCAGTTTAGCAGCCTCACCTCAAATATATGGATCTAATTAGGCTTATTTGACGCGTATTTGCATAAAATTAAAGAAATATAAAAATAAAAAAATAAGAAATAAGAAATTATAAATATAATCGATAATCATGCTCGAATGGGATATGTCAAGCGTATTAAATCGTCGCGTGGGCGAATATATTTTTACGCGTGTCGGTGATTCGTCATTAATATTATATAAAAATTTATTTCAAGGATCACTAGAAAAAGTACACGAACGCGTGGAAAAGGCGCGGTTCACGCCTTCCCGAAATATTTATCTCGAGTGTTTGTCACCTTTGACAGTCCGGCTTCTAACCTAATTGGCACCACCCTAAATCGCTCGTTAATCCAAATCGAGTTTTCTCTCCCGTCCCGGAACTTGCACTTACCCTGTGCCTACGTCGATGACGCACGCAGGTAAACGTCCGAGCATGATTCCTGATCCACCGATGAATCTCTTATCCCGGCGAAACACACCCGATGACGGTTGCGTTAAAAACCACCATGAACCAACGCTAATCAATATCTGCCAAGACTTGGGAATTTCAGTCAAAAGCAATTTTACCGACAGGGTTGAAAGAGATTCTTAGCTACTCTCTCAGGGGACGCATTAGTACACGCGTTCACTGAATCCCGGCGGCCGCTCTCAGGTTTCTCTCTGTTAGCAGGAGGCGGCGTGGAAGTGTCAAAAATACGCCGTTTTGTCCATTCTCTTGCTGCGTTTTAGTTCTGTGACGTAAACTGACCGCCTACACACGTGCATTACTTCGCATTATTTGTACACGAGAACGTAGAGCTGTGTTTGTGTCGAAGATCAAGAGAACTGTCAAAAACAGCGGATAATGATGCAGTGAGTATTATTGAATGTTAAATTACGCGTTGCTTGCTTATCTTCATAATTTTATCTTGCGAAGAGATATATTGTGTGCAAAATCTGTTTAATTTAAGAAGATATGTATGATAACGTAGAAAATTAATGAAGTGTGTGATATACTCATCAATACGGAATCGTTTAAAGTTTAAACGAACTATCGGTAATGATTTGTCGAATCCTAGATATTGAAGAGTATGCATTGAATTATGATTGACAGTTTTATTTTTTATTGTTTAGGAAAATTCAGTTTGACGAAGTATATATCGAAGTATACTACAGCGAGGCATTGAGACATCTGTAAAACTTGTAGACCTGATGATCATGCGAAGGATGCCTTCTGAAATTTTTCTGGGAAATGGTGGAACTCTACATCGTTCCTTGATGTTTATACTGAAACTTGGTTGGCAATCAAGATTTCGTTTGCCAGTGCTTCTGGTCATTGTCTTTGTCGCCATGGACTACAGATTACAATTAGAAATTGAATTTGGTGACAATGCGGACCAACATAATCATTTATAATTTTAACAGAGAACAGATAAATGCATAAGACTGTTACTTTATATATATTTAACACATGCGCATAATATATACAAAAGATTTAGAAAGTATAAACATGAACTATGTATTTATTTAAACAACATCCAATGTAAGACATTATGAACTGTTGACAAATGTTAGTAGACTACATATTTTATAAGCGCATCTATTCACACATGGAACATTTTGCTCAGTACTTGTCGATTTTTAATGCTTGTACTTTTGCCAAACTGACAGTGTATTTGTCATAACAGAATTTAAGAATTTTACATTGCGTCTTATATATTTATATAATGAATATATATATGCTAGTTAAATTTATGATTTTATTACAGAAGTATTTAAAAAAAAGTAAAGAGATATAAGAGAAAGAAAAAGATTGACTTTGAGAAATATCTCTTTCAGATAAATTGAAATACTTCAATTAGTAGATAACTGAGATGTTTTTAAGAAAATAAATACAAAAATAACAAAAAAGCTTATAAGATAAAAAACTAAATTAATAAAAAAACTTAATTGTTTATACTTTATACTATATAGTTATTACTTTCAATCGATAATTTTCGCGATTATTAAATAGGAAATAAAGGTGAAATAGTAATAAGGGGTAAATTTAGGTTTGCTTATTTTGTGCAAAGTTGTAAAATAAATTCTAAGACATAATTTAACATAAATATCAATCGTTTCGAAAGTAGATCATATTTTGCAAACACGTTAAAATAAGGAAATATTATTTATTTTGTAATTAATTTTTGTAAATTGTATGTATAATGTAAAATGAAAGTTATGTTGTAATAAATGGATGAGAAACAAATTGATTTTATAGTATAATATATACATTAAAAATTCTTCGATAATATTTCTATATTATTATAGAATATTTCTATATTTTGCTTTATAGTTATTTATTTATTTTATGTATATATATATAATATATATATATATATATATATATTTTATAAAGCAATACATTTTTTGAAGTTTAAAGACATCTTCGACCATTGAAAACAATAATTGATAATATTTGAAAATAAATCTCGGGTATATTCGTTCTTAAGCCCACTTTACACGATCTATAATTCAAAACAATTCTATTCATAATTTTATACATTCATAAGAAAACATTTTTATTATATTACATGAATCATAATTTGATTTCAAATTACGTACAGAAATATGACGAATTAAAATTATGTACATAATCGAAATTTGACGAAATAAAATTATGTACATAATAGCTAGATATATGATGAATTAAAATTACATAATAGAAATTCGATGAATTAAAATTATGTACAAAATCTGTAGAAATTCGATTAATTCAAAATATTCACATATGAAACTAATTAAAAAATAAAAAACGTACTTCAAAATATGAGAATACAGCTACGAAATGGTCCTCATTAGTTTGATAATAAAAAATTTTGAAAATTACATGTCCTGGACCTAATAACGTTACTGCGTATATACCCGAAATCTTAACATTTGGAAAAAAATTATATAATTATCGCTTTAAATGACAAACTAATTAAAAAATGAAAGAGCGGGTTTCAAAATATGGGAATATGTCTATGAAATTGTTCTCAATTTGATAATTGAGTGTCGGATGGCAATAATAATGCGTTTTTATTGACGATAACAAGGTTGATTGTCAAAAGTTATTCATAATTCGTTGCCGAAATATTCTAAATGTTATAATATATATAAAAAAAAAATATATATATATATATATATATATATATAAGTGGAAAATTAAAATAAAGTTAGATTGTCAAATAGAGATTATATAATTATTCATTAAAATCGATTAAATATATAAATATATTTAAAAAATAAGAAAAAAATATTAAAATAAAATTTAAAAAATTTAATTAAACACGATTATTAATAATTAAACGCTGATTATTTTATTTATGCATATATAATATAGGTTTAATTAGTTAGTTAATTAAAATAAGTGATTTATTAGGATCAATCTAATTATATTAATTTTGCTTATGTGCATGTTTCAGTGTATTTTTATTAAGCTCGAGGCTGATTATTTGATTAAAAACTCTTGTAGAAATTTATCACTAGTAACACCAATTAATCACTTATTTCGAGTACTTAAAATACTGATATACAGTAATTTAAGTACTCGAAATAAGTGATAAATTAGCGTTACTAGTGATAAATTTCTATAAGGGAAGGAAAAACGGATTTAAACGGCAAATATATATATATATCTCCGACATGGTGAATCTTACGCAGATAAGTCAAAGGTCAAAGAATGAATTTGTAAATTTCGTCGGTTTCAACAAGATTGCCCTTTATATTTATGTTGTTGGATGCTGCTTTTTCGAGATTAAAAAAAACAATTCAAACGGCGATAGGTATTTCTGTGAAATAGTGAATCTCTATCTTCATTCCTTTTTATTTTCTTTTACTTTTAAGATATATTAAGATAAATTATCTAATTACAAGCTATATTACATACGCGAGATGAAAAATCAATAACACTTTCTCACAATTCAATTCGAAGTAATAGCGCAGCTTGGTATAAGAAGATTGAATTTCTCGTAGGTGGTTGAGAAGCCACGATAATCCAGCCATAGTTCCGTGGAGAACGCTTTTCCCGTCAGGATACGTCCGACTCATGAAGAATAAGTGGTACCTCGTGTTCTTGCATCCGATTCATTTCAAGAGCAAGATGCTTTTCCTTCGATGAAGAAAAAGCGATCGACGATAAATTTCGTCGACGTTTAGTTTATTCGATGTTATTGTCGACATAGTGGTGGGGAGACTTGAGTGGGGGACTTGTAGGGTTTATATAGACTTTGCGAACAGAGTTTATTGGTTTTTCTTCGAAGAAACGTCCCGATGGAAACTAAAATTGCAAGATTTTTCAGTGTTCTTCTGCTCGCCTGCTTCTTATCGCGAATGGCGGCATTTAATCCTGCAAGTTTTGGTAAGTGGAATTAATTAATTACATTAATTAACTAATTATATTTTTATATTTCCAATTTGATAAATATAGTTAATTATATGCATACCAAAGAGATACGAGTGTCAAAAGCAAAGCGTTTCAAATAAATGTAAGAACGAAGCTAAACAAAATGTTTTGTTTGATCAAGAATATGTTATTTTAATGGGATGTTTCAAAAGGTCAAAATTAGATTTGTTTTGCTTCTTATTCCGATTAAATTTAATTTTTTATTACGCGCATTCAAGCGTGTAATGAAGCGATATTAGAAGCAGCTTATCGAAGTATGTCAAATATTTATAGATAATAACGAAATGTATGTATATATTGACACAATTGCAGAACGAAAATTAATTGCCTTAGATAAGGTTCTCACTTACATTAATGATAGACCACATCAGATGAACGTGGATACCACTTATAGCATTACCTTAAGCGAAGGTAAAGAAATTTTTTGTAATAATATTGTTAATTAGAATTACATATTTTTCAAAAAATCTAGCAAAACTAACAGACTTCTAAAATATGAAGCTTTAATTATGTATATGCTTTAAATGTGAGTTTTATCGGCTATACGAAACAAGCATTTTTAATATAATTTCTTGATTATTTTTTATGATCAATTTCTATTTATTGAAATAGTTAACTTGTTGGCGGCACTTTTGCACGAGAACGTACAATATTTGGAAAGTAGATTCTTCGTCGCTCTCAAAGAAATGGTTGCGTTATCCGATTTGACCCGAAAAAATTTGATGAATAACGTTGTCCCGGCGAGCGAGATCGAACTTTCGCGTAAGTAGATGCATCTGCATAATGCACACGAGAAACGAACAAAAAATAAGAGTCTCCTCTTTACTATATTTTACTTTACACACTTTTTGCATTTAAAATAACATGGTAAATAATGCGTGTTTTACGAAAGAGATAAAAAATAAAAATGATAATTGAAAAGAACAAAATCATGCAAGAAAACATTAAAATTACCATATTTAATTGAAGTCATTAGAAGTTGAACAGAAAATTTTCAATAACACTTGATAATTAATAAATATTCTTATATAATATTAAAATATGTAATTAATACACTCACATTGAAATTAATTTTAAAATTAATTTTTTTATAAGAAATTAATTCAACAATTCTTAATTTGTGTTTTTTTCATTATTTGAAAATATTGAAGATTTCGTTGGAAGGCTCTTTCGGTTAATGGCTAATTATTATTAAATAGTATAGCTTGTGTCGAGATACAAAAAGTTTTACAGTTCAATCGACTTTAAACAATATTACTCTGTGGACAAAACCTATTTGGTGGACAAGGCTCTTTCCAAAAAGTAGACCCGTTCCCAGTCAAGGATTAAACTATTCAAAAGTTGTTAAATCGATTCAACATGGATGGCCCAATGAAACAGAAAGTGATAAATGTTTGTTCAAAATTATACATAGCGCTTTAAACGAGGAATGTCACATTCCTCAGATTTGCGCCGAAGCATTGTTAAGGGATGATGACGTTGCGGGATATCCTCTCACACATAGATTGCTCATAATTCAAATCGCTAAAAAAGTAAGTAAGATATCAGAGTAATATATCAATAATAAAAATTTCTATTATTAATTTTAGTAAAAGATATTATACTTGGCAAAAGATCTTAAATTATTTCTCGATTTTTTAAAATATTTTTAATTTTATTTATACATATGAAACACGATTAATTTCTAATTTATTTCTAATTTATTTATTTCTAATGATTTATTTCTAATTTAATTTAGTTCTGATTATATATCTTATGGAAGTCTTTATTGATGCTTTCGTATTTTATATCTATTTATTGTATATTTATTATATTTTATATATTATATTTATTAAAAAAAATATTTTTTCTTATACACATTTTTCTGTTGATTCCTAAATTGAAATAACAAAAGAATGAAATTCTTATATTTAAATTCTTATACGATGATTCATTTTAGTTTGGGTGTCGAGAAACTGTATCGTTGCCATTTTCATACTTGGTACCTGCATTTTGCGCCAGAATTTTTCAGGATCTCGTTAATCTTGAAGCGTGGAATTTTCCAAATATCGGAAGAGATCTCATGATTGAACAAAGTACGCGTATATGCATTAAAAATATATATTAGATTAATTTAATTTAATTTAAATAAAAATAAAATAAAAAATATCTTTTATCAGATACATGAAATAAAAAAAGTGAAATAAGAAAAAAAAATAAACTGTTATTTTTTTTAGTTCTTCTGTGCGGTATGGAAGGCTATTATGAATTTCTCGATAAGCACTATGAAGATTTGATATTAAGCTGGCCTCATCAGAGCGGTTGCTTTAACTTAGAAGGGTGATTTATATTATAAATATATTTTATTGGCAAATATATTTAAACTGTATATAATTATAACATTCAATAATATTATAGTATAATCGTTAATTAAAATTAATTAGCATATAATATATTAGAATTATAATAATATAGATTATAATTGCATAACCGCGCATTAACAATATTATTTAATTATAAACATATTATATAATAATAATATAATATATACATATTCAATTTCAGCTCATAATGTATCGATACATTTATGATATGCAATGCAAAAGATTATGTGCATACTTATAATCAAGCGTTATTTTCACAAAAAGCACGATATGAGTATTATGTTAAATATTTCAGATTTCCTGAGCTCAAGAGAATCCGGCGATCCTCATCATCAACAGATTTTGGATGTCACAATCATATAACAGGTCTTGCTGCTGCGACTCTTTCCTTATACATCCGAGAAAATATAGAAAATGAACTAGGTTGATCTTAAATATTTTTCTATTTTTAAAAAGTTTTTTCTTTATTAAATACTTATTTCCTTTCTGTTATCGCAAATCTGATTTAAAAAAATTTTTTTAAGATAGGAAGAATACACATATATGAGATCGCTTGATTTCGTAAATAATAATTAGAAATATTCAATTCGTTTTATTTTTTCAAATAAAACATGCAAAAATGTATTTTGTTATTAGGAAGAATTATTTGGAAAAGTGTACAACTATCATAGGATTGTAATATATGATACACTGAGTTGAAAAGGAAATAATCTATATTTGTGATAAATAATATTATAAGAAAAGTTTTAAATATTATATATGGCACTGTTATATAAAAGGAAAGAACTGGAATAAAAGATAAAAGTAAATTATAGATTCATTCTTTTTTTATAATGATGTTACGAAACATATTTTATTAATATACTTCTGTTTTTCTTGATAAATAAGAAAAAAAAGATTGATTGCTTGATTATACAATTATTTAAAAGTTTTACCTTATCATTACTGTTTTTGTAATAAGTGAAAAAATAATATTTTTTTATATATTTATTATTATAAAAAGTTATAAATTTATAATAATACAAGTGAATTTATCAACTCATTAGTTCGCTAATTATCTATCTTTTTTTCCTTTTCTTTTCTTCTTTATTTATAGAAAATAAAAGTAAAATTATATAACAACATTTAATTAAATTAATTAAAGAAGTACTAACTTAATTTAATTTAATAAATATATATTAAATTAATTTATACTAAAAGCATATTTTGTATATATGTATGTATATATATAAACTCATGTTTTTGTTATAGATTAATAATGGCATGTAGAATATTTGTAATCGTTTCGAAGCAAAATTTGTTAAAAAATTATAACATTTATTTATCCGGAAAAAATTAATAATAATAATATTAATAAAAATAAATATTATTTAATATAACTAGCATTTGTTTACTTTATTATGAATTATGGGATGCTTTTACGAAACATCCAGTCATGTAAATCGAAATATATCGTGCTTTGGTGTGCGAAAAATATATAAGCTGCGCGATTGATGAAAATATATCTCTACGCGTTATTATTACATACATATACATAAATTTGTAAAAAATGCACGGAAAGATATATTTTCATACGACGTCTCTCTTCTCACTCTATTTCTTACATATATAATTTGTTATGTGATAAATTGCAATCGTAGAAAATTAGTCAGTATTTTAGTCGACTCAAGATAACATCGTCATTTAACAGTACACTTTTCAAGGTGATTTCTTGGCGAACCAGGTAGTTGCGAAAGCGAACACGAACCATCGCAATTTGCAATCGACTATACTTATTATATACAACACCATGTCGCGAATCGATATGAGTTTTGTATGCGCTTATACGAATGATAGTGTTCCACCATGGTGTTCCGTCATGGTCGTCGATAAGTATACGGTTTTCCGTAGGGACCCATTCTTTTGCTCAATTTCTCGATCCTCAGTTCTTGAAAGTAACTGTACACCACGAGCCACATGTACGTGTATACCACTGCAGAAAAATCAAAAGCAATATTATAGAATTTTCTCAATATTTTCCTAGGTTTCTCAAGTAGCGAAGTAGCAAACTGACGTTATTTTGGACGTCAAAATGACGTCAGTTTGCTACTTGGGATAATATTCATTTTTTCACGTTTACATTTTTGTGATAAGAAATCATTGATTTCTTTTATTCGCTTTATAATCTTTTTGTAATTAAAATTATTATCCGCTATTAACGCTCTATTTATTAATTCAGGATAAAATCTTGAAATTATTTAAAACTATACTTGATATGAATATGGTATAGCTGGACTGAATAAATATAAAAATTCGTAAAATTTTGTTCGATCATAATATTTATAAAAAATATGTTGTAAAATAATATATATTTTTCTTTTCCCGATATATTATTGAAATTTTTGCGGTCGCGTTTAAAGTGTGATTGATGTTAAATACTCACCGACAACAAGTAGACCGAAGATAAGCCACAGAACACCGTTCATAACTTCATGGTTTATGAAGAACATGATTGCGGTATAAAGGACGCTCACAAAAAGGCCGACGGCCAACATAATACCTAGGACCACCCATGGTAGCATCATAAATGTATTTTTCTGCAAATTCAAACCGTAATGATGTCGGTGTTATGTTAATCGTTCGATCTGCTGGATTGCATTTCAAAATATACATACTTCATAAAGCATTTCCTTTTACGCAAGAAATTTTAAATTATATTTAGTGACTTCTCATATGTTTTGCGCAGTTTGACATAAGTCTAATTTTTTCGAAAATTTGTAGTTACAATAATATTTTCTCACTCTTATAGTGCCGATTATGAGCAGCGTAGAGATTAGGATGGTCATACAGAGGTTGATCGCGAAGATGATCTTTACGGCCGTTTGGTCCAGGATGTCGATGATTATCGTTTTCCATTCTACGTTCGCCGTGAAGATCAGAATTAGAGAAATCACGGCGAGTACCTGCACAGAAATTTACATAATAAATATATTGGACTATCGCGTAACTTAAAAAACACAGCGATAGTTATACTTACGATTCCGCATACTCCGCTAAAAATTGTTCCCGTTTTCAGGGAACAACACCTGCAACACGTTTTCAACTGCATTCTGAAATGAAGAGAAGAAAAGGATAAAATTATCGTTTCAAAATATAAATAACGAATCAAATATTATTTATTGCTACAAAAGTTGTATATAGAATTGTTTTTTAATAAACTGTACTCTTTTTTAATAGCTAACAGTTGTTTCTGTTTTCAGGGAACAACATCTGTAATACGTTTTCAACTACATTCTGAAATGAAGAGAAGAAAACAATAAAATCATTTTGTCGAAATATAAATAATGAATCAAATATTTATTGTTACAAAAAATTGTATACAGAATTATTTTTGAATATAAATCGTACTCTTTTTTTAATAGACATGTGTTATAAGAAATATCTTAAGAAATTAAAAGCAGTGTCTATTATAAAATTAAGAAGAAGAAAAAACTTAGAATATGACAATATTTTCTCTAATTATTTGTTTTTTTTTAGCATTGAAAAGAAAGAATAAAAAAGCCTCGTTTTGAAAACCCAGCAAAACGTAGCGTTGCGTTATATACTCGTCAAGACTCGATCGAGAAATTGAGATGTCAGTGCGATTCACATAATTCTGTCATAGATCTGCCACACCCGCACCTCACCCACTATTTCGGTGACGTAACGATGAGGAGTACAGAATATTGGGCGATGATGTGACGGGATATCATTTTCCCGCCGTGTCATATCGCGACCTCAAAGCATGCATAGAGTTAATTCACGTCGAAAATATATGTCGGGAAATTTAGGTCATTGGCATATGTCGGCGCGCTCGCGCCTATTTTAGATACTTAAGCGAGAATCGTTCTGGCACTCGCGCGCTGACCTTCCTTCCGGCGTTTATTATTTCTCCAACACCCAGAGAGAACCCCGAGATCCGGCGAGATCGAGGAAAATAGACAGATCCGTGCAAAATAAACGCACGACGTTTATATATATATATATATATATATATATAAAATAAACAGAAAATAAAATAATAAAATTTACAGGATATCGCGCGCTGTTTCTTTTTATTTTTATTTAGACAATTTCCGGAGTCATCGATAAGCTACCGCAAAATCGGCATTTATTTTATACATAACAAACAGCTGCGCACATGCTTCTTCCCAGATAGCACGAAACATTTCTATCAATGTTTTATGAATATTTTTCAAGATTATTTGAAATATTCTATAGGACATTCTTATAGACTTATAGTATGTTTATAACTATTCGAATGGTACTACTTTAAATGTTCTATAAATGCGAATAGAATAATCTATCAAATATTCTATATTATATATATTAGACACGACGGCAAAAAGAATAAAGAATCGTTCATCATTATGAATATATGGCAGCCTTATTGAAGATTTGTTCATGGTGCATATGATCTTAAAATCTGAAGAGTCCTTTTACATATCTAAATCAAATTACTATGCATGTGCATTTTAAATGTGCAATAATAAACTCAACGAATATTCTGAGAATGTTCTTTTCTATAATAAATATGCGATTTCCGATTGTAACATTCTACGTATATTTATATAATATTCTATTTGAATATTCCAAAATTAAGAACATTTGCACTATATTAAAATATTCATAGAACATGGTGTGTCTGGGATGTTTGAAGGCTCCGATTTGAATCTTGTCTCCGGAAATCGGTCAAGATCATCGTGGAACCTGGCAGCTTGAACACACCAAGTTCGTTTCGAGGTCTTCCGAGTCCTCATAAGGAAACGCGTCCTACGTTCTCGCGAACTCTCTCGTTCACCTCGCAAAGAGAGTTTGTACCTACTACGTCACCGTCGCGAATGATGACCGGTTCGCGATTAAGATTACCTTGGTAGTTCACGGTGAATTGACGATTGTACTTGACCGATGTTCTTGGTCGAGCGCGTTTAAGAAAGGTTTTTCGATATTAAGCATACTTTGGCCTTTGAATCTCCATACAGACTCCATATATTTTGTACAGAAAAAAGAGAAATATTCATTCCCCGATTTTTGAAAAAAATCGAAACGATATAAAACAAAATTAAATGTTGGAAAAAGGGTCTCTAAAAAGATTTGAGGCATTAAATGAAATGATCGAATAGTTAATTTAGTAATGAAAATTATTCTGTGTGATATGTCAGACTGGTATAGCGAATATATAGAGAATTTCTGGCACGTTTTACGAGTCTTTTTATAAGTCAAAGTAAACCGGTTTCTTCGACGAAAAATGTTTTACATGAATTTTACATAAATTTTCTCATTTCTGATGTCATAATTAACTATGACTAACGCAAATAACAACCTCTGACATTTTGTTGTAAAAGATTTGACGTCTCATTCTCTCTTTTTTCAGAAAGTGTTTAAAAAAAATCTTTTGCATATAAAAATTGTTAAAACTACAATTGTACGGTATACATATAATATTTTAAAGTTCGCTATAGTAGAGAATAAACTTGCCGTTGCTCTCTCGCGGAGCAAATGCATCCCGGAAGAGTGCACTGCTGAAAGAGCACGATTCTATCCGGTTCGCGCAAAAAGGGATTGCGTCATTACACAAGAGCTCACTGTGAGCGATTCTTTTCGGTAGCAGAACGAACGTACGTTTTAAATGTTAATATCACGAGCTACTACTTTTATATACCTTCAAAATTTTATACATGTTAATTATCGATAAAAATTATTAAAATAATGAAAAATTATTAAACAAACTATTATATTTTCCATTTTTAAAAAACATATGCGTTCAATTTTGAATTTATTAAATATAAATTTTATTTAAAACAAAAAGGAAAAAGCCACGCATCTAATTAACACCTAACGATGTTAATGGCCTACATTTATATTCTCAAGTGCGACACATAATGATATGCGGCCGCGACGCCAAATGTTTACTATTGCTCAGAATATGTACTTTATGTGTATATTTGTTTTTTGAACATTGTGCGAGATAAGAAAGAAATTCTGGCGGAAAACAACACTTGTGAGACCGACGCGAATACGATTGGCGCGTTGCATGCGGAATTGACGTTAAATTTAGGCGGTGAGTAAGCCGCAGGCAAAAAACACCGGTTAAAAATATACAATACCATTCGATAGATCCGTTACAGTCGTTTTTTTTGACCCAGATATATGCGTGATTAATCAAGAGTGGAAGAAAAGGGACGTTTCGCGGAGATATTTCGCGTGCGTTTCATTCGATGTTCAATTAATATAAGAAAGGGGTGCGGCAGAAGAGCGAAGATCGATACTGTACGACAAGCAAATTTATTAGGTCATCCTGAGATTTTCTTCCTGTGTCCATCGATCTTTAGAAATTTCTTTTTAGAAAAAAGAAAGCAAGATAAATTAATTAAATTAAATTTTTATATTTTATTAATTAAATAAAAAGAAACAAGATAAATTAAATTTGTTAAATACTATTTTAGTCTTTTAAGAATACACGGTAGTATTTATTCATAAGGAAACTATTATGCAGGAATAAATATTTGTAAGAGACTATATTTGTATGTACATATATTTTCGTTGCATGCAAACAAAAAGGAACAATAAGGAAAATTATTTGACGAGATAATAGATAACTAAAAAAATGATTTTTTTTTAAGACTAAAGCTTTTTGTATCATTATCTTCTTATAATTACGCACAATGAAATATATTTGATATACTGTTTTATATGCTTTTATTTTGTATATTAATTTGTTTATATATTTTAGAATATTTATATCTTTTTTTTTACGACGTTTTTTACACATGTGATATGAAAAATACTATATGTTGCGTTGTTAAAAAGTCGCATTGAATCGATTTTTATAAACTGTTTGTCGAGTTGTGTGTCGTGACAGTTTCAGATTTCGCGTTAATTGCGTCAATAAGTCATTATGCGATTCCGTAAAAGTCATTTCGCGTCAGTGTTTACGGATGAGAAGAGTGCAAATGTTAACGATTTCCAAGTACAATACATATAAAAACTATGCACACGGATAGTGGAAGTTACGCATATATATATTTATGAGACACGTGCGCGTTTAAAATGCGCGTTTCGCGCTATACGCATCTTATTTTACGCGTATCTTATTTTCATACTTCAGTCACGCACTACGCGACCTTCTTTAGCTTCTCTAAATTCTGAAGTATAGTTTCTTACACTTTGTAATTTTCACGAGTAATTCTTTCGATGTAAAAGGATTTTTACAAAATATCTATGAAAGATGTTTTCTATCTTTTAGTATATTCAAAGTTGTTTTATTTTAATTAGAATACATTTTTTTAGTCAAAATTGGATGAAGTAAATTGTAATTCTCTAAAAATATAGTGCTATTAAATTAATAATTAAAAAAAATATTTATAAAGATATACGTGTTTAAAATGAAAACAAAATCTCTTTGCAAGCGCGATTGATAAATTACTACAGCGCCGTAAAACACTATATATGAAGTATACTTAATGATCATTACATCACAATATTGAAGCTACCTTATTTACGAGTCACCGTCAGCTATATCTTGCTACTTCGGTCGTGAATAATTTAGCATTCACTTCTGATTGATCCGATCAAATTCCTCAACTCCTATATATCAACGTATCCACCTTTGATCGAATAAAACGATCTATAAACCATCACACAACACACCGATTCGGAGCAAATAAAGGACTATACATGTATATATCGCGAGACTCGCGCGTACTCACATCATCTCGGATCCGCTTTTCCGCGATCGATCGACCTAGGTGAAACGATCTAAGGAAAAACGGGACGCTGGATGCTGAAGAGACGGGACGAGATGCGAGGTGGAAATCGCGCGCGCGTTCCGCTCGCGATAGGAGATGACCAGAAACTGTGCCAAGAACAGCGCGCGCGGCCGCGCCAAACCGCGATGGTGTACACCTACGAGACAGAGCGTATATACACCTACATCGGTGCCTTGGTGCTAACCGACACACCGCTGTAAATCTGTACATATACACATATGTCTGCGTGTGTGTGTGTGCATGTGCACTTATACGTAGGTAAGTCTCGCGCGTGTCGCTGTACCGCGACTTACGCGAACGAAGAGGAGAACGGGCGCGCGATCGCGCTTTTTATGAATCGTTTGTAAGATATCTCTTACGAGCGCTCTCTTGGCTAGGTCTCTCGTAACAAGCAGAATGTAACCGCCGTTCATCAGCCGGCGTTTGATCTTCCCGTCCGTCACGCGCTCCTCGCGTTCTTCCCGGGAAAGTCATTCGCGCGTTTTGCGTCGCAGACCGCGGACTCTGGATCCGCGAGTTTCCCCGACACGGTCGTTAATTTTGCGATTAACTTAATTCGCATGGAAACATTCGTGGCTTTTGCTCTGACTTTTAATAGGCATTTTTGGAAATATCGCGAAGAACATTTTTAGTCTTGTGCGGAACAATTTGAACTATTTAAAATATTTGTTTAAACTCATGTGTAAATTATATATAGATATTTTCAAATTTTCTGCAGATATTTTTATATGACATAATTGAATGAAACAGATAATTGTAAAAATTGCTCATTGATGAGGTCAGGAATGAAGTAAAAATGTTTCTACGTTCTTAGAAATATATGACTAAACTCGCGTAGAAACTTAAGCTTTTGCTCCGATTTTTAATAGAAATTTTTTGTAAATATTGCGAAGAACATTTTTTATTTTTGTGCGGAACAATTTTAACTATTTAAAATATTTTTAAAAATTTATGTATAAATATGTATGGATATTTTCAAATTCCAGTGTATATGTATGGATATTTTCAAATTCAGTTAATTTGAAAGTCTTAATTAATTTAGAATTTCAGTTAAATCTCATGTTGAATTGTTTTTGCACATTTGTTCTGTATTTATATTTTTGTCTTTGTATACTAAAGGAAAACTTTCCCATTTACTAAATAAATAAAAAAAATAAAAATAATTTTAAAACTTGCTCATTGATGAGGATATAAGAATGGAGTAAAAACGTTTCTACGTTCTTAGAAATATATGACTGAATCATTAATGATTGCATCAACGCGAGATGAGTAAGATTATTTAAATATTTAATGAAACGCGTAAATTGACACGTGTAAATTATAATTTACCGAGTGTTGTGCATAATTAATATATTGCTGCTAACGTAATATACATATTTTCGCAATAGAATTCTCGAAAAAAAAGAGTCTGAGAAACTGCGTTCGTGCACGTTCAGTGACCTCGAGATAACATCGTGAACCGACTGACATTGTCGCTATATTTGCGCACATAGGTAAATGAGTGATTTTACACACGATGTTATTTCATATCTCTGTATGTAATAAGAGCGCTCGTTCAAAGTCCGAGAACTCGCAGAAGCGCAAATGCACTTTCCTTGTACATATATACATATAAAAATGTATTTTTATTATAATAAAACATATTATCTGTGCAGGATACATGAACGTGAAACTGCTTCTGTAACAATTATATCGGAATCAAAAATAATAATCTTTTATGTAATTCCGTCATATTTTTCTAAAAAATATTATAAGATAGGTATAAAAATATAATTTAAAAAATAAAAAAGATAATATTTTCAAGCATTTATGTGTGATTAAAACTTGATAAAAATAAAAGATAGAACAATAAAAAATCATAATTTATTAATAGCATTAGAATTAATAGCGAAGGATTATCTCCTCAAAGTTATTTTGATGCAGAAGTGTTAAACCAGTTGCAGTCTTTCAGGCATTGTGACTTTATATCATTACAAATATTGAACAGATATTTCTTTATTTTGTAAATATAATTTCAAAATTTTTCATTTTTTATTTAAAATATTAAAACTCCTCGAGAAACATTTTAAAATTTTTATTTTAATATTCTTAATGCAATTATATTTAAAAATGAAGAAAACGAAACATCGAGATTTTATGTGTCTATTTCATTGATGACGGATAAATGTGCAGTTGTTCTGTCTGCTTAACCTATCAGGTTAAGTAGATTACTTTTATTACAAAAAGTTTCGTAAATTCAAACAATTCAAAATTAAAAGTATCAAGTCGAGAATGATCGTAAGGACGAAAAATAAGCTTGAGATCGCATTAATTTCGGAGCTTTGGCTACGCAATGTCTGACTTTCCATTTTTAGAATTGCAAATAATATCGGTAAATCTCCTAAGTTTGGTAAGTATCTCAATAATGTATCGCTTGTGACAATATTTCGTACGTAGAATTTAAAAAATGGATATTATTTATAAAAATCTCAACTTTTCATTTTTCATTTATTTAATAAAATTCTGAAAAATTATAGAGTGCGAAAATTTATTTCAACGTGTATTCAAATTATATCATATTTCATAAATTATATATTGTTATTACAATAGCTATAAATATAAAATAATTTCGAACTAGTTCTCACATATTGGATCTTTAACACTCATTTCGTTTATTTAATTTAAATTATATTATTTAATTGCATTATGTTGCATAAGTTTGTCAGTATTTGGAGTTGGTTCAAATCAGCTAAAAAACAACTAGACAAGATCTCGAAGTTCTCAATTTCTGATGAATTAGATTTTAAGGATATCGATTGGCTAAAAAAGGGTTAGTATTTTACCTTAAACAGGCAAGAAGATATAGATTTTTGCTATTATACTAATATTTTCCAAAAATATTCTTGTGATGTTAAGAGCAGAAATTAAAGATAAAAACTCTTTTCAGTTCTATCGTGGATTGAGGTAATTCGAATTGTCATCAACCTTGTCTTGCCTCTTGCGAACATAGTTAACATCTGCACAATAGCGACACGAAAATGGCAGAACTTGCTCATATTTTGGATGGTGCTCAGTCTTTTCAAGGATATCGTTTTGGAAGTCGTCGTCGTTGTCATTACATTCTTACAATGGCACAAGGGAACCTTTTCGACGAAGCTCTTAATCGAGTTTATAGTAGATAAAATAATGTGGCTCCGTAAGTAACTAAATCGAAGGAAGGAAGGGAACACTTAATTATTTTTATTTATTTTAATTATTTATTTATTTATAAATATATATATATATATATATTTATTATTATTATATATATTTATTTTATTTTTTTAATTTTTATTGATTTTTTCTTCTGTATAATTACATAATTTTTATATGAGAAAATGCTCTCTTTTCTCATTTAAACTGATAACTTTTGCGTTAATCTTTTCAGCTTTTGTGAGTTACAAATGGTGGATAAGCCTCAAGTGGTACATGCAGCTACGAAGAGAGGCAAAAATTCGTAGATTCGCGAAAATCGCGAATATCATCAATGTTCCCGGAAGAATCGGTCATTCTCTAGACGATGAGTGTCTTGAAATAGCGACAGGTCGACGGGACAAGTACGTGAGTCTACTGAACCTGAACAGAAGACTTACAGAAAGATCGTCTAACAAGATCAATTTTGACTTACGGATTTCCAAGTCGTTGACGACTTTGTTTACCAACGATGACAGTCACAATTCGAACGACGATACAAATAGTTCGAGTACCAACGACTTGAACGTGGCGGAAAAATCAATGAAGATTCTGGGATTAACTGCGGAAGATGTGATGGACGCGTACGCCAGGATACAGGAACGATCCTACTGGAATGAACAGGAAGTAACAGCGGAAACTCCGAGCGGAGCAATGGAGGAAGCAGTGGCTCAATTTTTCTTGGAAAAAGATGGAGAAGAAATAAGTGATCCTTTAAAAATAGATGATCTTCAGAGAGAAAAGAATGGGAAGAAAGATGGGAAAAAGCTAAAGATGTTTTAAGAAGCAAACAGATAATAGATGTGGAAAAAGATAAAGAAGAAATGCGTAATGCTTTAAAAATAGATGATCTTCAGAGAGAAAAGAACGGGAAGAAAGATGGGGAAAAAGCTAAAGATGTTTTAAGAAGCAAACAGATAATAGATGTGGAAAAAGATGAAGAAGAAATGTTTGATGCTTTAGAAATGGATGATCTTCAGAGAAAAAAGGACGAGAAGAAAGATGGGAAAAAAGCTAAAGATGTTTTAAGAAGCAAACAGATAATAGATGTGGAAAAAGATGAAGAAGGAATGTTTGATGCTTTAAAAATGGATCATTTTCAAAGAGAAAAGGACGGGAAGAAAGATGGGAAAAAAGTTAAAGATGTTTTAAGAAGCAAACAAATAATAGATGTGGAAAAAGATAAAGAAAAAAAGGGTGATGCTTTAGAAATTAATGATCGTCAGAGAGAAAAGGACCGAAAGAAAGATAGGAAAGAAGCTAATGATGTTTCAAGAATCAAACAGAGAATAAACGTGGAGAAAGCTGTGGATTGCAATTTGACAAATAAAATCGTTATGCAAAATTCTCAGATAGAGACGGAAAAAGAAGTTTATAATGTCAAAATTGTTTCCATTGGTAGGAAAGAACAAATTGACAAAAAACAAGAAGGTGTTTCATCGACAAAAAGCCAAGACTTTACATCCAAAATAATAAATAATCGCGCGAAATCAATCGAGTCTCCTAAGTTTCGAGAAGACTTATTTTTAAAAAAGAAAAAGAGAGACGAAGCGGAAAAACTGGCACGAATTGAGCGGTGTCCCATGTCTTCTGCCGAGTGTAAAAATGCGAGAAACATGAAAGTCAAACCATGCGCTTCTCTCGTAAGGAAACTGGAAGCGAAACTTCGCCCTACAAATCAAAAGGAAGAATGGCTCGACCAAGTCAATCAAAGAAAACATTCTTATCAGGTCAAGTTAACGTCAACCGGTTCGGACGCAAGTAAAAAAGAATGCTCTGAGAACTCGGGAACGTCATCGTGCGCGTGCCATCGTACCTTGAAGAAAAATACCGATAGTTCAAGGAACCGGAAATACTCGCGATCAACCGATACCGATGATAAAAATGTTAAACGCGATCTCGAACACAGGAAAGAATTTAAGCTTCAGAATTTTGTGTCTGTCAAGAAAGATAATACGAACGGATGCGATTCGGAGGCGTATCGTTTAAAAAAACAGATCCAAAAGTTTCAAGGATCTTCCACGAAGCAGACGATTACCTGGGGAAGTATGTCCTTGGCCCAAACTGCACAACCCTCGGGATACACAAAGGATGTCGCAACTAAAAAATCATCCGAGATTTATCGGAGGATCATTCAGATCGAATCTTATGACGAATCGAGCGAGTCTTTGAATGCGCAATATAAATCGGTACGAAGTGGACGATCGATCGATCCACGTTCCATTTATAACGTGTCATTTAAGGAGAGAAATTATGTGAGATCGGAGAAACCCGAGACAAATACTTCAGAAGCTCGTACTGATCTTACGTTTTCAAATAAGAAAGCGAGAAGAAAGCACGATTTGTCGCCGAATCGCAAACTGTCAAACGAAGAACGCGAGGCTGTAGAGCTGAGAGCTTTAAGAGCTTTTAACGAACTCACTCTGTTGGAGGATAAGAAAAAATTGGAAGCAAAAAAGAATCGCGATTCATCGCTAAATGAACAGTTAGTGATGGAACCTGAAGTGCCAGATATGAAAGTTTTCTCGTCTCACAACGATCTTAGTTTGCTGGAAGAGCAAAGGAAAATGGGACATAATTTGTCGTTCAGTGTCAAAAAATCAAGCGTTTTAAAAATTTCTAACAACACATCGGAAAATACCAAAGTTGAGTAAGTTAATGATTTTTTAAAACTAAGTTAAGTTAAAGTTAGTTGCTTATAAAATTAATTTAGTTAAGTCAAAAGTTGTATGAACAAAAAATTAATTTATTCAAATTAGTTCTAGTTAAGTTAAGATTAAATTAACTGAAGTTAAATCAAAAGTTAATTTTTAAAAACATTTATATTAAATTAGAATTTTGTTTGTTAATTCTTTTAAAATTTATAATAACAAATAAAGAAATTTTGATTTTTATATAGAAATATATTTTTTTGTAATTACAATTTATGATAAATAGACATAAAAATTAATAATACTTTCATTTAAAAATAATACGTTTATAACTTGTAAAAAACTAATAATGGTATTCGCAGATAAAAAAGTTTAACTTAGGAAAAAAGTTAATAAGTTTAAAGTAAAAAATAAAACTAATTAAAGTAAAAATTAATACATTTTAAATTAACTAAGCTAAGTTAAAAGTTATTAACTTTTTAACTATTTTTTTCACTAATTACCCAGTTATTACTCAACCCTGGAAAATACGACGGAGCTGAGAGTCGAGAAAAAACACGAGAATTCATCGAGACATGAAGTGCCAGAAAAATACGAGGAACACGTTGAAACTTTGACGAGCTCTTCTCATCATCTCTCGGAAGTTGATCGCGAGGAAACTGGGATCCTTTCCGAGCTAAATTACTCGAGACAGGCGCACAGGTCGCTGAATCTCCGAGAGATCACGAGAAACATCGAGTGGACGGTTCACCCTCGGGGAATCATACTAACCAACAAGAATCTGCACCGTCAGTTCTCGGAGGACGAAGGATCCCGCGGGAGCCGGCAGCGCGATATCGTCGACAACAACATCGCCAGCACGTTGCACAGCGCTTTCTTCTTCAAGCCCGAGCTCGTAACGAGGGTCTTTCGGCGTGCTCAGACGAGGCTCGGCGAGTCTCTCCCGAATTTCCCGAATTTCCCAACATTCCGGCGCGAGAATTTTAACACGGAATTCGTTTGCCAGATGAACAACGAAACGGTCGTGCAATGGGATTCGTCGTCGTTTAACCTCGACTTTGAACGGATACCAGTTCGGAGCAATCTTGTAAGCTCATCGTTTCCCAGAGATAATCGCGTTGAGAACAATCGCGAGTTGTGCATAATATTTATCGATCATGAGCGAGTCTCCAACGAATCGGAGACAACGATTATAGAGGATTCCACGGCTGGCGAGTCCCAGGAGGATGGGCTGTCAAGTATAGAAACTGCTGATACGTCGAATATCTTTTTGATGTGCATATTAAGAGATTTTGGGGTCGAAGTGTCGGAGGAAAGTGACATCATGTCGTCGGTTGAGCGGATCGAAGAATACGAAGACATAAGTAACGTGGCTGTGAATAATGTCGATTTTGCATCTTCGCATTCTAATACAAACCCTGAGGAAGAAGATGATGACAAGCGCGATACAATTTCGTTATGTCAACAGATTTCGAATTTAAATGACAGTTGCTCGAATGACGTCATGTCATCTGTCAACTTGCCGGAACATGATAATCCTCCCAATTTGCCGGATAAAAAATATTTAGACGCAATCAATATTTCTTCTGAAAAAAGAGTATATGAGAATAATTTGTCTCTTAAAAGAGTTGATAGTGATACGATGTCGCAATTATCTGATAATAATAATAATAATTTATTTGTTAATAAAAGCGAGAAGAATATATTTAATCGCATTCCCGAGAATGTTTCGCAATTGTCTTTTTCTGATTTGCCATCATTAATTAAAGAGGATCAATTTAATCAATCAATTGAATTAAAATCAAATAACAAAGAATTACAAAAATTGACACAATTTTCGGAGAGCGAAGCTATGTTAGAAAATCAGAGAAAAGAGTCAGTGATTAATTCGGTAATTACAAATTACGATACAATATCGCAATCTGAGAATGTCACAATCCTAAATTTATTAGAAACGATAGCACTGAACGACGCAAAAAACGATGATAGAGATATTTATGAAAAAGCAAATTTATCTTCGACTCATCGAATTCCCAAGATGAATCAAGATGAGTGGCTAAGGCACGACGATAGCTTTTATTCTATGGACGAGAGAGACAATGACAGTATGAAAACAGTGGTCTCAATGGGAAATGGCAGTTTGATGGAAGAGTTTTCAAACAGTACTATACCTCTGGGAATGTCTTCAAACACTTCTATTAGAAGTTCTGCACATTCTTAATAACGGAAACTGTGTAATTTATCTGTTTGATATAACTAAAAATTAATTATATAATGTAAAGAAGAAAGACATTGTGAAATTATTAAGATAAATTGTAGTTTTTGCCATTAAAAATATAAATTTTTATCATTTGTCAATCACAAAAGAAAATTATGAATAATAATATCTGAAAAAATTGACAAACTTGAATATACACATATAATACTTTTATAATTATAATATTATAAATAATTAGCATAACAATTATTTATAATATTGTGTGCTAAAGGTAAATATATTTCTGTAATTAATATATATATATTTTTTATTTTGTTAAATCTAACTGAATATATAAGTACACGCGCAAGGCAAATAAATTAAAATAAATCTTAAAAATTGCAACTCATGCATAAAAATTATTATTGCATAAAAAATATATTTATTAATTAATTATACAATACATAAATTCAATATTTAAATCTTTAATAGAAAATGCGAAAATATCTACCCTTCATTAAACGCGCGCGTCTCTACGCGTCCACCGCGCTGCACAGTTCGCGCGCGACTGATCACGTGATATGTGATCATGTGATCTCAGTCTCGCAGTCGATACATCTCGAAACTCGAAACGAGAATCAGTCCCGCGCGAGACGCGCACCGTGACGGATGTGGGGGGTGTACTAATTCTAATGGGAAGGATAGAAATGCAGTCAGTCTCGCGCGAAACGTACAGCGTGATGGACGTGTACGTGCGCGAATCTAATAGAAGTGTAAGTATTTTTGATAGGAAAGATTTTTGTAGAAAATTCTATTTATTTGCTTTTTCTCTATTAAAGATTTAAATATTACATTTTTATGCATTGCATAATTAATTAATATATTTTTATGTATACATTGGAATAATCATTTTTATATATGCGTTGCAATTTTTGAGATTTCATTATTGAAGAATAATATAGTTTCGCTTTGCGCTCGTAATTATATTCGGTTAGATTAAACGAAATGAGGAAATATACATATCTATATATCTATATATATATTATATATGAGAGATATATAATTAAAAATTTTATATTATATATTTTCTAATAAAAGATTCTTATGCAAACATAAATACAATTTATGTATATACAAAATATATAGTTATATGCTAGAAATGTCATATATAGTATAATATTCTAGTCATTGGTAATTAAATTCGGAAAGCTGTAGTACATATAATAATTTATAAACAATATGCAGCATATTTACATACATTACATTATACAAAGATGCATTCATCATATTTAATTCAATTCGTCATATTTTATATATTATAATAATCCTAAATATACGGAATAATTTAAAATCATGAGATGGAAGAGAAAATTCTAGCTTTTTCAACAATTATCGTCGAAGCCTGGATCCGAATCCGGAACTACATGATTAGGATCGCAGACGGTATTCCTGACAGCCTCCTTGACATTAGCTTTAAATATCCTGTAATTGATATTTCCGCTGTTCAAAGTACCGTACAAATACATGGGCAATCGATTCGAGAGCAGCCACACACTTTGTTCCGTCTCGTGATCCACTTTAATGTCATTCGGAAACACCAGGGACACGTTGCTGGTTCCAATCACCCCCAAATTCTGCGGGATATACTCCTTTCTGGTGTCCCAGCACCACACCGAGTCTCTCGTGACCATGTTGAAGAACATGACGCCATTCCGATCGATCGCAGATCCTGAGGAATGGCCGTAATCCTTGGCTCTAGGTCTACCGACCGGCATAAATTCCTCCGTGTTTCGATCCGCGGTTCTTTTATCTCTGAAAACCGACGTGGACACGGCGAACTCTCGGAAACTGGACATCGGATGGAAGAACAACGTTCTGTCGCCTCGAACATCCTCAGGACTGAGCGCGATCCCGAAAATCCCATCGGTCCATTGAAACTTTATTCCGTGCAGCTCGTACCTGGACGCCAAAGGATCGGGATAGAAGAAGTGATGCTCGACTCGAAAAGTTGTGTCCTTGAACAAGTCGTACACCACGACACCATATCGCCACACGTCGCTCAGATAAGCCACCGCGGAGCCGCAGTCCTTGTTCCTGATGTCTACCGCGATGTTGGTGTACAGGGAATCTTGTTTGATCTGTTCGTCCGGCAAGGTGTATTTTCTGACGAGGTTGTCAGTGCGTAGATCGAAGATAAATATAGCGGGCGGGCAGGCTTGTTTGGACTTTCTGGCGAGCTCGATCTTGCCGGAGTCGAGAATCCATAATCGATCGCACTCGTCCACTTGGACTCGGAAGACCGATGTCAGTCCTTCGCAGTTGTCTAGAATTGAAAAGACAGAATAAGAAATGCTGAAATGGTTTAAGTATATTAAATATTTATAGAATTTATAGAACATTAAATACTTTGTATTTTTTATATTGAATATTAAATACTTTGTATTTAATATAAAAATATTCTTTGTATAACTTTTTAGTGGAATATAAGAAATTAAAATAGGTTCTTCAAATTTTTTAATTCCTTAGTATATTTTTTTATTTTTCTTCAACTGTTTGCTTGCTTTCGCATGAGTTAGTTCAAAAAATGATCTTTTAAATAACAGTTCACTTTTGTTTTGAACAAGAAATGATAGGCTTGTTTATTGTCGCAAAAGATAATTCATGAGAAACTCATTTACTCAGTTTCTGCACTTTCCCGATTGCGTAAAAACGATCTCGTGCTACCATTTCTTGTATTCTCTTTGTTTTAATTTTCTATAAAGATTATTTAATCCGTTCTCAGAGAAAATTTATTCGTCATTAAGCATTGATAACTTTCTTTTCAAGAAAGTAATTTTATCTATTGACATTTTTGCGCCATGCTTCGCGATTTCTAGAAACATCTTTTTTAAATATTTAATATATTTCCTGATCATCTTCGTTGCTTTCTAATTATATTTAAATTAGTAATTAGTAATTATTAACAAAGCTGATTGGTTTTTTGTTGCAATATGCGTTCAAAATTCTCAAGTAATTCCATAAAATAATTCACATAATTTTAAAGTTAAACAAATGATAAAATTGATAATATATATATAGAAAAAATAATTATCAAAGATAATCACATATATAAATAAATGTTTGACAGCGAATCTGATAATTAATATAAAAAATAACCTGATTGATGCCACTGCCAATTAGGATACGGTTTTAGTTTGGGATTCCTTTTTATAGAATGTCTCGGTACGGTAGCCAAAGTCACCGGTATGCCACTCTTCCATTTTGGCAGAGTAATAAAGATTTTATCTCGCCAAACATCTAAACCGAGAGGCAAATTATTTTCTGCGACGTAGTCGCCCTCAAATATAGCGTTGTCTCTTGCTTCGATGCTGTCGAATTCAAAATCAATCGTGGACCAGGCGTAAATCTGTCAGAAAAAATAATTAATCATAATTTGTTTATAAAATTTTCAACATCTACATATATCAGTCATTTTAAATTGCAATTATCATGTATAAGATAATTCGTCGTCAGCAAAAGCGTATTTTAATTATATAAAATTGATTTTATAAAATAAAAACTTTAAAAAAATTTTTTCAATTATTCCGACATATCGTATGCATACATATGATGATTGATTAATTTAAATGTGGAATGCAAAAGAAGCTGTCGTAGAATTACTGACGAATAAAATAGATATGCATCGCAATTATAAGATTGTCCTTGATTCATATCTTGCATAGTACGCAGCAATAAGAATTTTAATTTGTTATTTGTACTTAAATACTTTTATCTCTCTTAAAAAATGATTCTACAAATGTATTCTTCACCCGATTTAAAAGCTCACTCGAAATAATTTATAATTTATAATAAAATTCGGGATATCCATTTTATATCTGTAATATGGAAAATATTTTAGAAATTAAAAGGCGTATATAATATACAAAATAACTTTCAGAATACACGAGATACAGTGTACATATAAATAATTTTTTGTTTTATACTCAGTCGCGAATTATGAGCTTCAATTGCGAGACGGTCAAGCAATTTTTTTTTCACTTCCAATGTCACAATACAAAATCTGCTGACGCAGATATTGCGGAATCTCGGACATTCTCGCCTAAACATTTGGCAAAAAAAAAAAGAAGAAACACATTGCACTCACAAGTTCCATAGCAGGGCCAACATAATCATCCGCAATGTATCCTGGCTCAAAACCGTCGCCGAAATCATGAAAGTCCAATTGATTAATCGCGTGAGGATCCGTGCGAAATATATCGATGGCTCTTCCGACATGTCTCGAAAAATCGTTTCCTCCCAGATTGGATGTCGAAGAAAAGCGATGCCGCGTTAATTGCGGGGTCGATCCATAAAGATTGTTTATGTTAGTGGATATTTTTCCCGCTGGATTTTCATGAGACTCACAATTTCGAGAGTCAGCATGTCCATCATAAGACGATATAGAACCTCTTTGATTGATGTCCTGTGACTGATCGACGCATGACAAATTATTATTTGCTATACTGTTAGTTTATATGTCGAAGAATTTCTTTTAATTTGTAAATATATATAATAATTTGGATTTGTTTGCGACAATATAGATAGTGGATTAAATGTAATATATATTATATATTACATATTTTTAAAAGCACACACAAATATCTTTCAAACTTTGAAATTTTTTCAATGTAAAGAAAAAATTAGGTAGTCGAATTCTCTAAATAATTTGATAAGTTTTATATTACATTTGCCAATCTCTTATTTTTCTTACGTTTGTCGAGGAGAATTGTGAAGTCGAAATGGATGGAGATAATGGCAAGGCAGGTGCTTGAAGTTCCCTGGATAAGATACTAGGACCCGTGTGAGCCGCAAATTTTGGCACACTTAATAACGATATTGATAATAACCATGGTAACATGTTGGCCATATCTGTGGAATAAAATTTAGAATACATTTTTTTTCTTTGACACACACATTCTAATGGCGCCAATAATTCATTGCATTCTCCTGCCATTATATAATTATACTGTTATAAAGTAATAAAATGAAAGAGTAGACAGGAAAAAGTCAAATGCTCTTCGTACAATTAGAAATTTAGTGAAATTTTCGCAACGTTACATACATTTAAACCTGTTGCAACATATTATCCCCTTTATCGAGGTAAGTGGGCCTTTGCATTCGCGACGATAATCGTCCACGTTCGACGAATGTATCGTACTCAATTAAATATAAATGAACTGTCAAGGTGTGATGTATGACGGTAATGTTCGAAATAGCGGCGCGCATTATTATTCACTGACATAAATATGAAAGCAACAGAGCGATTTGCGAAGATGAGTCTGCGTCTCGTTTCCTTACTTACTTCGCGAGCGGCGACTTTGTTGTGCGTAGTATAATTCGGAATGAATCCTGCGAGATCAGAACGCGTTTGAACGACGGGGCTAGTCGCTTTCGCTCTAATGATACAGAAATCGTCTAGCGCGAGCAAGAATCGTCGGTGCTCGAGATGGCACCATGGATGTTACGCGACTACCATATTCACCATCCGGGTCGTAAGTGTGTCTTGGAGATCCTACGAAAGGAGAGAATGGCGAATCCCTTCTCTCCGAAGATGATTTTCCCTCTCGTTCGTATTGCGACTCTGGGTTCCATTTGGTATAGGTCATTGGCGGATGGGTTCATGGGAACTCGCGCATCTGCTCGTAAAACTGCTGCACCGAGATTGAGAATCGGGGACGTCGAGCAAAAACGCGCGCGACGATTTTCATTCGCGGTTTAATAATCAAAAAGACAATTTGTCAGATTTTATTTTATCGTTATATTAAACCATCCACGTGGTTATCTATTTTGTTTGTCACGAAATTTTGGACAGTAATTTTTTTTTTATTTAAAAAAAAGTTGCATCTCAAATTAATTTGCTCAAGTATTTGAAGTTTTAAAATGATTACTAAAATTTGTATATAATATTTTATTTTATTATAACCTATTATAATTTATTTGAAATATATGCTCAGATAGAAATATTAATTTGAACTATTTTATCTCGAGATAGTTTTGCCGGGAAATTTGTTTATTTTTCTATAACGTAATTCTCTTGAGCGTGAAACTACATTTCTGGCTTCAGTGTCGTGCAATCATTGTATATGTTCCGCAATGTAAAATTCCGATACTTCTGGACTTTGTAAAAATATAAAAACCATCCTATGTATTACGTGAGCATTTTTTGTGAAAGCCATAGGCCATTTTACGGCATCAACGAGCGAATCATAATTACATTTTTTATGAGGCAATATCGGGCGTTTCTTTTTGTTATCGCGCGTTTCCAAGTGAAACTCGTTTGAATTTTATGGTACAGTAACAACGGTGCGGATTCTGTGTTTGTTCCTCGTAATTCAATTGCCTGTACATTTACATGAGAAATAAAAACGTAATTTTGTTTTAAGGTCTGCACGTGTCTATTTTGAATTTATCTTAATGAAAATAATTAATAATTATTCCTTTCTTTATTTCTCGTGCTTTCAATTCTTGTGAAGTCATTTACAGTATGTACGATATAAAAATGTCTAAATGTGATTGGATAAAACGCAATTTAAAAAAATAAAGAACAGTAATAACTAATTATGTGTTTGTAATTAAAAATTATTACGAAATTAATTATTAATATTATTTAAATTATTAACATAAAGGCAGATAAATATAAATCTTGATATTGGATTGATATATTATTTAAAATTAATTATCGCTTTTAGTTAGCTTATTATTTTGTATCTTATTAATCTAATTAAATTGAAGCGCTAACGTATGAGTTACATGGTTACTTTCTTATTGCTAGTTAATTATAAGTTTCATGCTGACATTCGAAAACTCACGATCTCTGCGCGGCAAATCATGTTGCTGAAGCCTTCTGCGGTCCCGGAAATCATGCTGATGCAGCAGACTAGAATCATCCCCGACAGTATAATCAGAAGAAGCGTATAAGTAATCGTTAGGACAATTCGTTCTCCTCGGGGGAATCCATAGCTGTCGGAATGGTAACCAGCTGTTTCTTTTTACGTCGATACTTTTCTTCTTTCTCGTCATGGCATGTCTAGAAACAAGCATGAATCGCAAAGTGATGATTAAGCTAGCTAGAGAGAGGCATTAAAGTGTAACTCTTTGTTCCCGAATAATCATACACATATATCCCTGGATAATCGTATTATGATCACAGACGGATTACAAACGCCGCCTTCGGAATGTTGTGTAAACGCTGAAAAGCGTGCCATAAATGCCATCACGTCGGATGCAATTAATTTTGCAATTAGTTTGAAAACGCTTTGAAGCACGCGCGAACATATGTTCATTCAATTACGGAATAAATAATACTGATAATGAGTAACATAATTTCCTATACACGGATTATAATTATAAATTTCATCTAACAAGAATAAATATTTTTATCAAATTTCTACATAAATCATATATTAATTAGATAAAATAAACCATATATAATATATAAATTATATAATATATAATATATAATATATAAATATATAGATTTCATATATTTATTTTATAAAAAGTGCATGCACATATAAAAATTTAGCATAGCTATTATAATCAAAAGGAAAATCAATAACATAATGTGCGGTAATTATTCTTTTAATGCATATCTTATTATTAATAATTTATAATTCATTAAGTATTGCTAAATTAAATTTTATTTAGAAGTTACAAAATGCATACATGACGTCAGCTTGCAATTTCCATAATTCTAATTCGAGCAACTGTTTGTGTACGCTTTTTCTTCTGATAATTGCATCAATACCTCGACAATTTCGTGATTACGCAGCGGAATGTTATTTGATGCAAAAACATATTCTGTCGACAAAACTATTATATATTTCTACGTATGATAAAAAAGAGAGACAGTAATTTGAACTCAATTAAGACATTATAATTTGCTAAAAAATACACAAGTAAAATTTCAATTATACGAGAACTTTTTTAGAACAGATAAAACTTTTAAAAATTAATTGTCATTTTACTTCGTACCTTTAAATATGACTTTTTTGGTAGTTTAATGTAACTTTATATTAAACATTTTTTAAATAATATGTATAAGATTAGATCTGCTTAAATAAACAAACGATCGAATATTATAAATTCTGTGGACCGGTACTTTATAAGTTTGGGCAAAATTACAAATATAAATATGCTTACTCTCTCTTTCAAAGTAATTCTAATCTAAAATTTATTTTAATCAAAGCGATGACTTCAAAGTATCCGCGACTTCTAATTATATAACATATTTATACCGTTCCAGTTAAGGATTATAATTATAAGAGTCTTTTATTATATTAATCCATTAATCCATTCTTTATATTAGATAATGTAAACTTCTCACGTTTTACTCTTCATTATTATATTAATTCCTTCATTATTATGTATATTAACTCCTCCTCACAATATATTCTATAATTATATATATATATTAATAATGCTGTCTTAACTCGTCCGACTAATGGAAAAGCAAAAGAAATTGAATGACGTATCGCTTAAGGCTTCCGATAGGAATCATGAGCTCGTAAACGGGAGTTTCGAGTGATGAAGACTGCAAATGCGCTCGTCAGTTCCACGCGTTTCTTCGATGACGCGACATTTCGCGACTCAATCAAGCTCACGGTCGTCGAAACGTTATTTCTCTCATCAGAGAGAGCATGTGCGCTACGAGAGCGAATGCATCACGTTACCTGGGATAGTACGGCGCTCCGTTCCGATGACTTGTTCCGCAAGCGAAGCGAGACGCTCTTTTCGATCTTAGCATATAAATGCCACTTTCCACCGGAGATTAGGAATACTTTCCGCTTTCGCACTCACTTCCTCCTCCGACGCCGAGCATTTCGTAAGCAGCATCAGTACTCGGATAACAAAGCCGTAATTAACATCTTGTTATATTTACGAACAATATGACTTTTTGCGGAAATTTGCGCATCAAAACATCCTGCGATCACCATCTTTGTAACCAATTAATATTGTTGTTATTATGTAGATTTCCAGATTTACTTAGATAAAAGTGATTAGTGATTAAATAAAATAGTTATTATGTACATATATACAATATATATAATATAATACATATATGTATATACATATATGTGTATATAACTGTCTCTTGTTATAATCGCATATCGATAGAATTATGCTTGTAATTAGGATAATTAATTATAGCACATAGTAATTAACGCTTAACTAAAACAACGAGTTGTTGTTTCGATACTCTTGCAACGCACACTGGGCTTCTTTGCTAAAGTATCGCAATTTATTACTTTTACCGCACACCCTCTCCACCATAGCTGTGCATGATGATTCGTTTTCTTCCAGATTTTTATATATTCCAATAATCTCATCAATAATTAATTAAACAAATAAGGAAAATAAATTATTTGTACATGATCTCCGCATATAAAATTATGCATATCATTTATACATAATAAAATAATATACAATACGTTTAATTTAATTTTTTTTTATTTTTTTATTTGAGTTATTAATTATCTTTTAATTTTTATATTAAGAAAATTGCAAAAATATGATAATAGTTTTTTAACATATATAAATGTGTTTTATGATTTCTCTGTTTTTTGAAAGTAATAAAATCAAATAAATAAAATTATTCACATACTATTAATAATCAATAACAGATTTTCATTGATACAGGAAATAATATAAAATATCAATATCAATCGATGTCGTGGAAAAGAATTAACTTTTGAATAATAAAAACTACATGGTTTTTTAAAGGCTGGACACTAGCGTTTATAACATGATCAATATACTCTGATACATCATAAAGATGCAATTACTGATTATTATATAGGTATATACAATTTTTCAAAATTTATTTAACAAGAATTTTTTCCACACACATTGTACTTTATTAGACACAATGTTATTCATGCTATCTCTTGTTTGCATATATAATATTGCACGCTTGTTACGTATAGACACACGTGAATAATTTTATTGCAAACACGCATATTTTTCATAGTTTCAACCATATATAACCAACATAGAAAATCAGTCTGTTCTTTCTAATCAGTCAATTTACACAAAATTCATTTTTTACCTATTTAAAATTAATCAATTATACTTATTAAATATTCACTTATTGTTTTGAAATTAATAAGTTTGTCAATTTTTGTCACTTTTTTCGCTTTATTATTTTATGATAATTCTTATAAAAATCGTCATTAGCTTCACATACAGTATCATTTATCAATTGCGGCCTTCATAATAGGGAAGTTATTGACGTGAAATTTCACATCAACCATGACTTTCTATAAATAATCAGTCACTATCCAGAACCAGAACTCTTCGTTTGCGCTGGTGCTATTTTGACACCGCTGACAAGCTGAAATTAAAATATCTTTTTACACGTTCAAATTCAATTTTTTAATAATATTTTCTAATAATAAATAAATGTTCGCAAAAAAAATCGAAATTAGATTAATTTAAAAAGTTTGACAGTCGTAGCTTTGTAAATAATATAACGGAGCATAAATAATTTATATCGTATTTCGTGTAGTTGTAATCGCCTGAGGCAATCGCGCCGCCGCTTTGTGACTCACATTTTTCTACTTGTCCAAGTATTTCCATTCATGTATCGTCTGAAAGTGTTCTTGATACGCGACGACGTTTGTATAAATGATGCCGATGCATAATAATAATAGCAACCGCATATGTTCAAGACTTTGATTCTTATTCTAGCTCGAACTCACTATATATAGTGGAAGCACGTGCCTCTTAAAGAATTTTGCTGACAAGCAAACATTAAATTAATTAAAGCTTGTGCGAGGACAATGTTGTCGTCGTTTTACATTATTAATAATGTATTTAGAACTTGCGTTATACACGATAAAAAAACATTTGTAGATTAATTATGCATTAAGCAATATATATGAAACGGAGAATTGCTATTCTCGCGATGGATTTATATAAAAGCAGTGTACTTCGATGAAATTTTTTTATCACGCTTGTATGAATATTTTTGTTGACACGCCAAAAGATATCGAGATTTCCTCATAATAATTTGAGCGCAAAAGATATAAATTATATTCTTTCTTATACAAATATTTTCTTATTGTATGTAATTTACGTTAATGTCATCATATTTATAGACTGTATATGAAGTAATGTTTGAAGTTTGAAAAAACTAATGGATGACATCAAATTTTATTTTGACTTTTGAAGAAAGTGTTCTCTTCGATTAATCGCTTACGTCATCGTTATATTTAATGCAAACTATCATATAAATGTAATTAACTTTTTTCTCGATGAGGAAGGCAATCGCATTACGAAACTACACTTCACTCGCTATCGTTTGATGCACATTTCATGTTTTCTCGACGATGTTTTATTCACTACTTCATGTAAACAATATTAATGAGAGCTTTGAGCAGTATAAAATATCTATCAATTCTTACCTGCTATGTAGAAATTTCTCTAAGCCGAGCGATATGATAAATCAACGATTCTGTTTGGCTTTCGAATTGAATGGACAAAATAAATTATCATTTCATCGTAAAAGTATTTTATTAAAATGTACCTTAACAATAGAAAGAATTATGTAAAATTACAATATAATAATTTCTTTCTCTAACAGGAAGAATTAATAATTCTTTTTTTAAAGATTATAGTTATATTTTTTTGCTCTTTTTGCCCTATCAAAATTTTATATTGAAAAATTTTTTAATATTTTTTCTTATTCCTCTTATGTTTGTACATAGAAAAAAAGTTTGCGCGTCAAAAAAAGTCAGCTATAAATTCTGATAAATATTACAATGACAAGTGTCATATATAGCTGACTTTTTTTGACGCGCAAACTTTTTTTCTATGCGAATAAAACAATAATTTCAGAAAAAAGTCGACTCTGTAAATAATATAGAATAGGTGAATAATATAGAATATTGTTTTATTCGCATAGAAAAAAGTCGACTCTGTAAATAATATAGAATAGGTGAGTTTTTATCTCACATAATATTTTACGTTATTGCCATAAATATTAACATTATCCATTACGATATTACAGTTGCGATTAAATTTTAGTTTCAATATTCCCTTTTTTAATGTTAATGTTTCTTTCAATTAAAAGCTTTTTTCTCTTTCTCTTAAATTTTATTTACAAATAACAATATGTAGTTAAAAATATAACAAGAATAAAACATTCTAAATAAAAGACATTATTTTATTTAAAATAAAATTTGCTTAGAATATATTATAAGATATTAATATTTTAAAAAGAGATAGATAATATTGAAAATAAATTTATTACAATATAATTATAATTATTAAATGCGAAACTTCCAGTTTCAACGTACATCACATATGCAGATATTCTTTGCACAATTGGCAAGTGTTTTTATTGAATTAAATACTGGAATATGCATAGAATATGATACGCAATAATGAGGCATGAAGTTGAAAACACACACTTGCAGTCCGATACTTACTGTATCCACTATTTTTAATAAACACAAGAGAACATTTATTATATAGAAACGGTAATGGAACTTATTAGATTCTTAGTAAAGAACATATCAGGGATAAACAACAAGTATAGAGTATAGTAGTAGTTTCATTGGCACCACGAGTAGCTTATTGATGGCTTTTCGAGGAATATCGAGGTATCTAGTGTCGCGCATTTTTCATTCATAATCGATAATGATGGTGTATTCGACTCGAGGTCGAGGGTGGATGGGTCTCGCGATCCAGGGAGGACGGAATGGTTTGGAGAACAATCTCGCAGATTGATACGACGGTGATGATGGTTGGTGATGATATTCTGCGAAGAAGTTGGGGTACTTCTGCCACCGGACGGTCGACGCCACCGCGCGAGAAAGCGAATCATCGAACTCCTCGCGGTGCCACGATCTTCATTTGGTGAACAGCGTCGTCTCGTAAGCGCGATTGCGGTCAAGACCACCGTTACACTTGGTACCGCGAACCAGCTCGTCCACGTAACCGGCCTGTATCCGGAAGTTGGTCTCGTTCGCGTTCATCGTCGCGGTCATGTACTTCTGGAACGACGACGTGATCACCCACAGCTCCTGGCGGCCGTTTTTCGCGGTGATGACCTGCAATGTTGATCGATTATTCGTTAATATATATGCGGATTAATTTTATTTTAGAACTGTAATGATCAAGAATATCATTAGTGCTAAGTGCTAATATCATTTATAATTTATATTTATATTATATTTATATTTATTGTACTATATTATTTATTTATTGTATTACTTCTTTATTATATTTTTATTTATATTTTTATATTCGGAACCTAATATTATTATAATACAATAATAGACCAACTTGCGAGCCGAATGATTAAGAAGTTACAAGATTCTTTATTACAGGCATACAAATAAAAAAACAATAAAAAATAATAATAAAATTAAAATAAAAAAAATTAAAATTAAATAATAATAAACGAACATTATTATTTTTCGATTTTATTATGATCGCGATATAAGTTTCTGTTTAACATAAAAAATAAAATATAAAAAATATAAATATAAATATAAAAAATATAGTTAAAATATAAAAATGTAGGTATGTTATATGTTAAAGAATGATTATTATACCTTTAGTCCAGACGGGAATTGCAAAGTGTCGGGATTAACTACAACGATTTCAACATTGGTACCACCATATTCGGGATGAGTCAAACTATTCCAGCATCCAATAGCTAAATCTGATAGAAGACCGAAGAAAAGGACTCCGTTCTGATCCATGGCTTGAGCAGCTGATTGCGATGATCTTTCCATAGTGAATGGACGGAATGACCTTGGTTCAGCGTCGGAGTGCTCTCGAAAGAGGCTATGATTTCTAAATAATAGCAAATATCTAATTATAACATTTGACATATATCAGATTCTGGAAATTCTTTAAAAGATAAGATAAATATATAAAACGTTTAAATCTTACAATAGCATATTAATACATATTAATTATTCTTCCTTATTTATTTATAATATCATAATTTTATATTAAATTTCATTAATTTGAAAATACTGTTTATCATAATAGTGCATCTTTATTTTATTTATTAGAAAAGTTTAATGATCCTATTGTTAAAGAATAAATACGATACGAAATGAAAATGTATTTAATAACATTTTCAAGCTCAAAAAAAAACTATAAATTCTATTAATAATTTATAAGACTAAGCTAAAAATATCTGGAAAATTAATTGAAGATTTTATTTAAAAATCTAAAAATGTGCAAATCCAAAACATTTTTATTTTGAATAAATATGTGTCTAATAAATTTCCAAGTATATATATTGCACATAAAACTAGTTTACCTATTGCCACATATGTTTTAAAGAGAAATCATACGGCGTATCGATTTATTTGCGATTAAATAAGCACGATGCAATTCATACTTTTTCTCACCTGATAACGGAAGTGGGTACCCAACTTTCAACTCTGCTGGCCAAGGAGTGGAAATACAAGATCCGGTCGCCGTCCTGTTTGACAGGACTCAGCGCGAGTCCCAGAATGCCGTCCATCAGATCGAACGTCTCCCCCTTGATGTGATACGTGCCGTAGGGCGGGTAAGGATAAAAAAGATTGTTGGTGATTCTCCATGAGTGAGAATTGCGATGATCGTAGACGAGCAGTCCGAATCCGGTCACATCGGCGACGTAGACGAAGGTCTCGCGACATTTCTCGCTGTCGCGGATGTCAACCGCGAGCGTGACGAACAGGGACTCGTCCTTGAACTGTTCCTTGGGGAACTTGTACTGACTCAGGAGCTTGTTCGTTTTTAGCGAGAATGACAGCAGTTGAGGACGACAGATCTGTCGGTCTTCGATTTTGCCGGTGTCCAGAACCCACAATCTATCGCACGAGTCCACCTGCGATCACATTTCTTTTCTACAGCTAATATTTGTTCTCCTTCTTATGAAAAAATGCTGGATAATTGTTTGCTTTAGAGAAAAATCGTCTTGAAAGTTTCATGATTGATTCATTATATTATATACATATAATAACTATTAAATTTTGTATTATAAAAATAAAAGAATTAATTTTGCGTAGATATAAAATAAATATATAAAGTTTTCCATATTTCTTTCTAGCTATAAAACTATAAGCGGATTTTTAAATAAATTTAAGGTTGATACTTTTTCAATAAAATTCGATAATCTCGAATTAATTTGTGTTATGTTTGTTAATATAATGTCTCTATAAAATAATTTAAATCATAGAAATAATTTAAGAAAAATAATTTATATTTAAAAAATTCTCATAATATTCTAATTAAAATTATATTTAAAATAATATACAATTTAATTTAAAACATTTGTTTATGTTAGTTTTCAACTCTTTCGATACACAACTTTCAAAGCGTAATTATAACTTTCGCTTCGAGGAAATAACATTCCTTGGTATTTGTTTTTCTATTTATACGTGTATTTATACATTTTGCACGTTCATTATTAACGCGAGAATTGTAAACAGCAGTGTTTTCATCAAATCAAACAATGATGATAGCGGAAGAAGTCATTAAGACGCGTATACCATAGCTCCTAGCAATCTTCCTCGCATAATACTTTCCAAACAAACGGTATATCATGCGTTTGCACCGATACACATATAGCACATTTCGTAAAGTGCACAGCTGAGTTATTTTTGTGAGATAGTCAAGTCACAATATTCGAATAAAGATAATTTTTTACGAATAAATTTATTTTTTACAGTTCATAATTGTTAGCATGCTCAAAACTTTAGAAATTATTTTTTCTTCGAAAAAAATCACACCAAATGAAAAAATATATTTTATATTTTTTATTTATTAAATAAGAAAATATAATATATATATATATATATATATATCATTTATTATATTATATTTGCGTGTATATTTAATAGTATAAAGGAAACGGAACTCGATTTGTAATCGAGATAAATATTTCTATTTTTATTTTAAAAGTAAATACACGTTTCTTCTTAATCGGCATGAAATATCAACAAATAAGAGTATTGTTCTCAGTCACGCGCGTCCTAAATAAGTTAGATAAAAGTAGTCGCTAAATAAGTTAGATAAAAGTAGTCGCTTTGTAAAAAAAAGTATCAAAAAACATGTCTTTCGCCTTATTGTGGTCAATGCCAACAATTATAATAATTGATATTATGAAAGTTTATGATATATTCCTCGTTTACATATATTACACGTTCGCGGATTGCTATTCGCATTTTTGGAATAGTAATGAAGGCAATATTTCCATATAGTGTCATGGCATCACACGTGTTTATCTTTGAATGAGCGAGGTGTGACTTCTGATAATAAAACAGTCATAAAAAAATGTTTGACTTTGAAAGATTTATAGAATTAATTAATCATATATGCGAAATAGTTTTATATAAAATATGTGTGAATTTGACGATTCTTTTTAGTTATTACATTATAGAAATTACAATTAAATAAATATTTTTATTTACTCAAAACGGGTGCATGTTAAACGATGTTATAATGTTTCATTTTAATATTATTAAAAAATGTTACGTGATCAATAAAGACATCCTGTTATTAAATACATATGATTGAATGTGAGCAAAATATATGTCTAGAATATTTTAATTCTAATTACACGTACAACATTTTTTATCGTTACCTGCATTCTGAATACACTGGTGATCGCGTCACAGTTTCCTAGTCTGTTCCATTCCCAATTTGGATAAGGCGCAATTATTGGATTTCCCTCGGGAGAAACATGATCCGTGACGTAACCGAGGGTGACAGGCACTCCGGTTTGGAATCTTGGTATCGAGATGAATACAATGGATCCGTGTTTAGCTGTGCATTTGAAATAATTATCAAGGGTTAAGCGAGATCAGTGAAAATGTGTCACGGTCTGATAAAGTTATTTTAATTGAAAGATCTTAAATTCAAGAGATTTTTGAATAATCCATTTCTGATTTTGTTACAGAATTACCAAAATTTTTGTATAATGCGTACTTATTATATGAGTTCAAATGTTAATTTCGAGCGTTTATTATAAAAAATACTTTTTTATCATTAGAAGTATATAATTGTTCTCTTACTTTCTGTATATTATATTTTTTCCGCTTTTATCTATATTGTTTAAAATTTTAAAAAATTACAAGATAACTAAATGGTGTCCATATCTATACCTTTGAGCTCAAAATAGTCTCATTAATCATCTGCCAAAGTGGATTGCATTAGTAGCAAATAATAATATAGTTGTATAAGTAAGAATTATTACTCGTAAGTATAATGTTAGTCGTAGAGTGAAACTGCGTAAGAATTATGCAAACATATATTATCACAAAACATGTCCGTTACTCAAGAAGTTTCGTTAAACCGCATAAATAATGAAAGAACGCGAAATATGCCAGTGCAAACTGTTAGATTATAACTGCTCAATTATGCGATCGCATAAACCTTTCGATCATAAGTGTCAATTATCACAAATCGGTACTTGTTCAATCAATAATTTAACTTTACTTTAGCAAAATATATGCAATAATAATGAAAATAATAATCATTAAGCAAAATTGAAATATTAATTTTTAATCGCATTTATAGAGTTTTATTATGAAAAAATAAATAGTGTAATATGAGAAAAGTTTTTAATATTAGTTTTCATACGACAAATAATTAAGTAACAGATTTGTTAGTTCAAACACTTTTACAGGGAAATAGAAATGTGAAATTATTTCGAACCTCTATGATAAAAATCCATGTCAAGTGGTACCGGTGCTCCAAGAATGAAGCGGCCCTCCTGTATGGCAAGTTCTTTAGCATGCTCGCTTGGGAAGGCGAATTCCAAAGCCTTCCATGAATATATGTTTTTTAATTTTTCAATGCTCGTCGAGCCCCCAAGAAGTAAAGTCAATATAGCCCGTAATAACCAGATGGCTTCGGGTTTCATCGTGAATCTGTTAATAAAATATATCATGTGTCTTTTAAGACGCAAAGAAATACAAAATATTACGATTTATCTTTAATTTCCATCTTTGTTAAGAAATAGAGAGGGAGAGACGGAGAAAGAGAAAGAAAAAAGAGCAAGTTTCCTGAATATATTTATTGAGTATATATTCAAATATTGCGACTACTATATTCTTAATATTATAATATTAATGTGTTTTTAATGTGTTAAGTTAAATGCAAAACTTTCGTAATAATATATATATATATGCTATATGTAATTAGAAATTTGTTCTAATTTGTAATTAATTAAAGTATATATAAAGTATTAATTTGTATAGTGTATTTATATTTATACAATGTTGCAGTTTTAAAATATAATTGGAAAATTAAATATATAGTATATCAAATATCGTTAATCTATATGCTCTACATACGACAGCGGAATTGCGGAATTAGTGTTACAAATTAGTTAAAGTATTGCACTTTCTAACTTTATAAACTTTCACTACATAAATTACATAATAAATTTAATGAAAAGAATGAAGTTAACAAGTGTCGTTAATGTATAAAAAAGATCTGAAACATTTATGCTTTATTTCATCTTTTATACAAGTATTTGCAAACAAAAATTTATGTCTTTCTTTTATTAATTCTCTTTATCTGATATCACTGTTTTAAATAAATAAAAATCAAATTTTAAAATATAAGAAAACTCAGAAGAGTTTAAAGATTTGATATAATTGACAATATTGGATTCTTTAGATAAAAATTTCAAGATAGTTTATAGAAACAAACAATATATATTTTATATTTTTGAATATATTATATAATATATTTATATATGTATAATGGCACATGAATTCTTAATAGTGTTATTGTTGTTTACAGATAAAAGCTTATCAATGACAATACTTTTCTGAAAATGCAATATCTCATGGTCATAGAATGATATCATATCATTTAAATTTTAAAATATACAAATATCGGTTTTCTATATTTTGTTATATTTTAAATATTTGGTAGTTTAAAAATATAACGTATAAATTAATGTGCCTTTTCGGTGTTCAACAAATACCAAGTAACAATTATATAACTGTTAGTTATAATTTCCCACTCAACAATATAGCACACGTGTTATTGCATTTGTTCAGTGGGAAATTATAATTAACAGTTATATAATTGTTATTTATCGACAAACACTAGTTTTTAAAATACGATGCATTTTTAGTGTCAAATCTTCGCTTCACTTTGCAAGTGCTTATATGCTTGTTATTCTTTTAACGTTTAAAATTAACATTGATTAATTAACATTTATATCTCTAATGCTGTATAGTTTTATTATATTGTTAGTACTAAATTTGATCTCTGAACACTTTTCGCATCACCGTAGCACTCATTGTCAGTGATAATACGAACGCTGCCGCAGTTTTGCAAGTGTTTCTCGAGAATTCCGACAAAAAAAATATTAATTTGCAATGACGTTAAAAAGTTAATTTTTTTCTTTGTCTTTTTTTCAACACTTTTACTATCATGGAAAGATAAATTGTGTTTTGCTCATCAGAGTTAATGATTAATACACAAAAACTAGGGATACTTTTTCCCTTTTTCCGAAGCACTAAAATTTCAATTCTATTACAATTAGGTCAAACTATCCGACACCTGTCTTGATGTTTACTCTTTACTGATCATTCGTTACGCTTTTTTTGTAATTTTCTCCTTTCTCAAGATATATTTTCAGTAATTCTTGTATGTACGATCAATAAACGTAGTCTTTTTTAGCTTATCTCTTCTCTCTCTCTCTCTCTCTCGTTTTCTCTGGATAAAAAATAAAATAATAATTAAATATAAAAATACTTGAGAAACGGTAATTCTCTTCTGACTTCACGCTCCGAACTACAAGGCGACCGAGAAACGACTGAGAGATTTCTCAAGCCGGCGAGTAACTTTTCAACGTGTCCGAACATCTCCGCTCCAGCGGAACAGAAACGCGTTGAAGAGAGATGGATATCTTCTGTTTACTAAGTCTTGTTCGAGATAAGAATATCCTTTCGGGTCATGATACGTAAGTGAAGTACGTAAGTGTCTTTTTCCGCGCATAAATTACGCACGAGAACGGAAATATCAACTACTGGATGACGAAAATTACGAGCTACGTTGGAGAACAAACGGAGTGAGCGGACATCAGCGCGTACATAATTATTATTTATAATTATCATTATTATTTATGATTGTGTTAGAGTAATAAAAGAATTATCTGCTATCCAATAAGGAGAAAAAAGAGATAACGATTATCAACTGGCAGTAAATTGCGATTTGCACGAGACTGATGCGGTCAATGTTGATCGGTGTATATATTTATACTTTAACTTTTCGGCTGTATCTCTTAATTTTTAATTAATTTTTTTATCAGTCGATCGCATAAAACAATTTTGCAACTCAAGAATAAGAAATAAATTTCGCAAACTCTTGTCAATTCAAACATTGTGATCGTTCAAACATTAATTTTAAATATTGTGATTGTTTCACAGCTGTTCCTGTCTCGTATTTTCGTAATATTTAACACAAATGTGTAAATAAAATATTATTTATACAACTGCAGCTTTTACTCTTTGTGATAATAAGTAAATTTTTTATCAAAAGAGGAAAAAATGAGAGAAACAGAAAGAAAGATCGCGAAAAAGAGATAATATGAAAAACTATTTTCTTTTACTTAATATTTAATTGTATATACACACACATTTAAATAAAACTATAATAATATTCTTAAAAATACTCGTTCAATTTCGTCACAACAGTATAAATAAACATTTTATTTATACAATAAACATACGACAACAAAATTTAGTGTGCCATTCAATGTATATTTTAGAAAATGAATACTTTAGAAAATTGCGTCTTTAAAATATGGAAATTATTTCGCTTTATCTGCAGTATAATATCATACTCACCACCCGCCATTGCTGACATTTTAATAGATTTAAGTTGAAAAGACGATGAGGCACACGTAGTGATGTCATCTGTGTAATGGATACTACTATTTGCATAAATGTCCTTCCTTCCTTCCAGCGACATTAATTGTCAACATTTTCTGAAATCAATAGAGAAATATATGTATGTGTATGTGCATATGTAGACATTGCAATTTGCGCGTCGAGTCATTCGCGTTTATTTATTCGTCATTATGGGATATTCTATGCGTAATTTCGATAACAATTATTAGCGTGTTCCTCGATAAGGGGAAGCCTATAATCCTTAATTGCGGATAGTATGACGTACATGTGCCAATGACTATAGTATAATCATTATGTTAACTGTTAATATAATAATAAATATATTATAATGATAAATATAAAGCTTTTATATTATAAGATATACATTTGAAAAATATTAATTAATATTAATTTAATATTTCAAGAAATATAAGAGCAGAGATAGATACATACAAGTTTCCAATAGAAAATTATTAGTAAAAGTTTGAAATTAAATATTAACTTTTTAATGCTCTTAGCTTAGCATTTTTACATGGATTTTTATAAATAAAATTATATTTTAATTGACAAAATAGGTTTCGTGGTTGCTTTTAAAAAATTGGACATAAACAAAATCTATAAATATATGATAGCATAGACAGTTATTTTGGTGATTCTTTAAATTTTATTTTATGTATCATTAAGCCATTTTAATAGTCTTTTGCTAAAAATTTAGATAATTTTTTTATATGCATCAAATTGACTTTAAATGAGAAAAAAATCATGCGTTGTATAAGCTGAAAAAAGGAGTATTAAAATTTAATATTGTTAAAATATTAACAAGCGTAAAATGTTGCAAACCTTTTGCAAATGTAAGTTATTGAGCATATTGAGCTGCATAAATTGCAAAAGAATGCGAATGTCATTATTACGCGTACATAGAAGAATTTGCGAACTCAGCAATATTTTGAATTAAACCTAGTTTTTCGAACAACTCTTGAGTAAAAAGTAGTGCACTTTAATTAATACAATTTTTTAAAAATATTTAGTATAAAGAAAATATTTAAACATACAAAATATTTTATTTTACAAAGATCTACAAAGCATTTTTTATACATCTGTCACTTTAATATCCTTATTAAATTTTTCGTTGATGATATTTTTCAAACATCAATGTCATATTATTGCTGGCACTGTTCTTTCATTTACACATTTTTACAATCAATGCTCTTCTTCAGAATCCTAAAGTATTATTGTAGAAACGTAACGAAAAGTATGGATCAATCTGTTGATTGAGAGACGGAATTAGCGCCTGATTGTTCGCTTTGATCCTCATGATGCGGATATTAATCTGACGAGTGTCAACTTGTTTCAGAAAGAACTTGTGGAATCTTGATGACATTATCCAATAATTGCCATTGTCATTTTTCGCCCATATAATCTCGGCGACAAATTGTAATTCCTCTGGACTATAAGCGAGTATTCTAAAAGAAAGAGTATAACATATTTGAATAATTATATAACTATAATATATGTATGTAAGAACTATTTAAATATTTATATATAACTATATTTAATAATTATATGTTTATATTTATAATTATAGTTAAGTATCTAATTATAATAATAATAAATAAAATAAGAATATAATTGATACCTATTCCATAATTAATAAACTTAATAATCATCAAAATTAAAGAATAATCGAATTGAAATAAGCATTCTAAAAATATTATCTTTATCTAATATTCATTGTATCACAATAAAATTAAAAAAAAAATTTTATATTAATAAGTCTATCGTGCGACTTATAAATTAGAATATTATTACATCACTAAAAGAGTACATGAAAATGTCATGAAATATTTCTATTAATAACATTTAAATACAAGAACTAAAATATTTGCAAATTGTTTTGCGTCGTTTTTAAAATAATTAAGATAACAGAGAAACAGCAGCTAACGTCACAACTATTTTTTCCTTATGGAAAATTCTAACAGTCTGATACTATACTGCAAGTGATAATGATCTATCTGAGATACGATTTATATAATACATTCTATTTGTTGCGAACGTTATTATAAACGTTTGGAGAAGATAAAAAACCGGTTTTAAGATTTTCTTATAGATTTTGTTATTCTCGAGTATAAAAATATATTCTTAATTATATGTAATATAAATATGTTTTTAATAAAATCATGTGTGCATTTCTCTTTAGCTTTCTCACACTCTTTAAAAAAATATTCTTGAATGTTAACTTAAAAAATTTGCATTAGACCGACACATTGTGCGTTAAGCTATCAAACTTTTTGGAGTAATTTAATAGCTACAAGTCTTTTGATTAATATTTTTTCGCACCTCTGCTCATTCGTTTGCGGTTGCCATGACGCAATCGCGGTCTCAGTTAAAGGGGCGAACACGATTGTATCATCCAGAGGATTTACAGTCAGCGCCAGACCTTGACTTGACTTTCTGCCGATCAAGGTCACGGGTAACTGTTGTCCCAAAGAAAGTGGTCCGGCTTGCAACGCCGAAGTGGATACGCCGAAGATACGACTGGTCGCCAGAGGTTGATAATATACGGTTCGGTGTCTTGATGAAAATGTTATGCCCACTACGCCGTCCAGGAACTCGAAAGTGTCACTTCCGATCTGCAGAGAAACATCCTTTTAATATTTTATCATATACAAGATACAGTACTCTCCGTAAGTTTGGAAACACCTTACATTTGACAGTTAAACAATCGTATGGCGATCTGTGTAGATTTTTGTATCAATAAATCGTAAAATGTTTAAATGACATTTTTATTTATGACAGATCGCTGCCATAAATGTTTAACTATAAAATGTAAAGTGTTTTCAAACCTGTGAAGAGTATTGTATGCAATAAATAACAAATGTACATTTATAAGACTGTTTTTTGTTATCACGATTAATAATATTTCAAATAATATACTGATAAAAACATCCCATTAAGTTTATATTCTTGCATGTTACGAATATCTAATTAAAGAATATTTCTTTAGAGAATTTTTCTCTTAAATTAAGAGGATCCTTTTGACAGATCTGTGCAGATTTTTTGTATAAATAAATCATAAAATAAACATAAAATATTTAAATGACATTTTTCTTTATAACAGATCGCTGCCATGCAATTCTTTAACTGTAAAATGTAAAGTGTTTCCAAACTTATGGAGGGTGCTGTACATACAATTATAAGAAAATTCCATTGCTTCTACATATTATATGCCTTTATCTGTTATATTTTATATTTTCTGCAATGTTAATATAAATTATGTAAATAAATATAGAAAACTTTTATGACAATAAGTATTGAGCAATATTTATTACATCAGTCCATGTAATTTGAAAACAATTTTGAATCCATTATATGCCTGAGGAAAATAATGTAAAATATCAATAAATTACAAAAAAATACGATTAGTCATTTTGTGTACCGTGTAATATTTATCGAAAGACGATTGCCACAAGTGTTAGATATTAAACGCGCGATCATTTTCTATCATTATTATAATTGGTGACTAACAATAAAAATTGCATTTAAAAAATAATAATAATGTTATAAAAGAAATAGCGACGCGCGTTCTTATTTACATATGTATGTACTTGATGATCTGTCAGTGCGTCAATGCTGGAATGTGTTCCTTTACAACAAACGATCGAAAAGAAGAAAGAAACGAGCAGTTTATAGAAAGACGAAAGAATATTATTGCTGTCAATTATTTTAACATTTGTGACGAAAAGTGTTGAACGTTACGTTGTGTTCCATTGATAAAGTTTGTCTGAACTGCCTTCGATAATAATTTGATACAGTTCTATCAGAAACCTAGTATTTTTCACAGTACTTACATTCTTGATATTTTTGTTTATATTATAATTACATAAATATGTAAATAATATATAGCATATGTTGTAACTTTATTAATGCATGCTTTTTTAAATAATTAAATGTTACGCTCACTCTGTACGTTGCTTCATCTGGATTAGGATACATGGATGCATGAACAACGCGCCAGCTCCTATCCCTAACACCATCGAAGACAACAATTCCTAAAGAGATATTAGAATTTTTTTAAATTTTTGTTCAGATATTTAAAGAAAAATAGTTTTTATAAAGTTTCTTGTAATGATAACAAAAATACAGAATTCAGTTAGCTGAAAAAAATATAATTTTAAAAGAAAAAGAAATCTATATTTATCTAAATAAATAAAAAAAATAGTTGTAAAAATTTGATATTATTTACGTGTTATATCAATTTAATTAAAAATTGTGTTACCTGGGCCGAGAGTGTCTGTTATGTAGAGAAATACGTCATCACACGTTTTTGCCGAAACTTCATCGATGACAAAATTGGTCAGTAAAGTATCTGGTCTCAACACCTGAAAGAAGGCAAACAATAATACCGAAATCAATTACTTTTATACATAACGATGTTTTCCAATAATTTATTGTTCACTATTGTTCAGACTAACGCACATATATACATATATGTATTAACACAAATCGATTCTATTTTGCATTTTATAAGTAGATACGTAGAGTAATACAACCGGTTTTCAATTATTCAAATTGTAAATTATTAAACGCGATTATCTTAATCATTTGTACATAGATGATTTCATTATTTCTAACATTTTTTTCATTCTTTTCTGTGTTTTTTAATTATATGTATAAGTATATATATTTATTTAAAACAAATGCACAATGCAAAAATTTGAGACCAATTGATACAAATAAGACAAATATTTGATAAGTTTTTCATTATTCAGCAACATTCTTTAAAATTTACTTTAGACAATTTTTATAATTTGTGACAAAATTCGAGACAATTCTATTTATCATAATAATAAAAAAAAATTGAATTGCAAAATGTATAAAATTATAAATAAATTTCTACCTTGGATTTTTGCGTCTATAAAAATGACTTAACAAATAAAAATATTTTGTACACAAAAACGATATAAATAATTTTTTTCTGTACATCTTCATTTATATATAACATCTTTGTTCTTTCCAATTATTTGTCCTTTTAGTTATTTTTATGTACATATATTGATTTTGATTATTTTAACTACTCAAAAATCACTTTCGGTCCTTCACAGATCGTTCACACGGCATCGAATCAATCTTTTTGCCGAATCACTTTACTCACCTGATGTGGAAGAGTGACGTATCGAACCACCTGATCGGTTTTCAAATCAAAGACCATAATTTTCGGCGGACAGACGGCCATAAAATCGTCGATCGACGTCATGACACCAGAATCAACAACCCACAATCTGTTGCAGCTGTCCAGCCTGGTTCGGTACACCGAGATCAGCTTGGTGCAATTGATCTCTCCTTTCCCAGCACCGTGCCAGTCCCACGAAGGATACGCTTGAAGCTGCGGGCTACTTCCCGAGAGTATCTTTCTGGGGAGAAGCTCAAGGTGGCCGGCACACCAGCACGTAACCTGGGTGTACTCACGAAAATCCTGTCCCAGGCTATTTCGATACCAGTCAGCACCACATTGTCCTGTCGATATTGATTGAGGAAACCACGATCGTATGGCAGAGCGAAGTCAAGCAACTGCCATTGCGCCACGGTTTCCAGCGTTTCCGCCTTAGCTCCGATGTACAGAAACGACAATATTGTCGACAGGAACAGCACGTTTCTATTTAAAAAAAATAATAAAAAAATAGACAAATATTTTACTTAATTTTTCTCTTTATAAAAAAAATACTATTCATTAATTAAATTATTTTTTAAACATTTTAAAATACTTTGAGAAAAACATATAGATTATCAATGCAAAAGGTTTCCGGATGGATGCCGCGTGGTTTAACAGCGTAATGCCGACGTTTCGCAAACGTTGCAATTTGCATCTTCAGGGCTGAGAGCTCCGATATTGAGCTTTCTTGTGGGTTGTGGTCCTTATATAAATTATAGGCATCCATCCGGAAACCTTTTGCATTAATGATTCCAATGGCCGCAAAAGTCTCAAAACTAGAATCAAAATATATAGATATTCAGACTATGAAAAGATAGCTTAAGAAAGGGAAAAGGAAGATAAATTATTCTAAAATAAAGAATATATACTCTTTATCTACTTGTAGTTATACATATTTCTATATATATTAATATCTTGAATTTTTTTAATGATCCTTTTTTCTATATTTTTTATCACGAATTTCTTGCATTCATTTTTTACCTCATAATTGAAAATTTAGCTAAAATATTCGGAGCTCTATCGCAATTTGTAATAACACGAGGAATGTGAGAATAGCGTAACAATAGAACTATCACTCGTAGTGAACAAATCCGCACTACATAAGCGAGAACTATATCGGGCGTTGTGCCACCGATAGGTCCATCGATACAATACTGACTGTTCCAATTTTCCAGCATCAACCTGGGACTTGCACTAGGAGACAGGGCACCGCAACTCGAACATGTTTGTGTATAACAAGACGCATTTGTACTTTTACTCGTACGTACAATCGCTTTATCCGGGGGCAGTGCATAACTGCACGAACGAACCATTCCGAGACTAGAAATCGAACGGTGGCTAATTTCGTGAGAATCTCTCCTCGCAAGGTGGGGAGAAAAGTGATTAGTTATTATTTAATCTATCCACACCCGTTCGTGTATTTGTTTTAACTGGCATAATCAGAGTCAATCGAAATATTTGATCGAAAGGAAATTCTTCGCGCACGAATAATTGATGCTGCGATAAGAAGAATTGGAGGATTATGAGGAATTTTTTTGTAATAACGATTTCATTAAAATTCATAACGAAGTAATACATGATATATGGTTTTCAGTTTTTATTGCTTTATTGACTTTCGCTAAGCATATTGAGAATATTATGTAATTGCTCTACCAGAAATTTTTTTTTATTAAAGTACAAATATAAATGTAATAGCATTCAAAAAATTATATATGTCTTGAGTAAATCAATTTTAAAGAATTTTGGAAAATCTATTTCTTTTTCCTATACGTGTAAGATTTAATTCAGCATTTTTCCTTATTGACATAATTTTTTTCTATTGAAAAAAATTAGAATTGTTTTCTATATAAATTTTTACACAGAATTATTTTTGTCTAAGCCTTATCAAAATATAAATTATTAATATATACATATATAAAAGCTTAGATATTATTTATATTTCAGTTTTTTTATTGACTTATGCAAGTACAATTATTTCAGTTTTTTTAATCAATTGTGGAAATTAAAATGCGTACTTTGATCCAAGAAAAACTCAATTAAAAATTAAAACCATATCGATCGTTATATGAGATGCCCCGTAACATTTATCAATATCACGCGTAATGTAATGTATTAATGTGTTTGATGTTACATTTTTTATCGCAACTTATTGAAATAGTTCAATTAGTTCAATAGTTCAATGATTGTATAATTACTCGGTTTGCGTCTTATTAAAATAAAATATGTAGAACTTGAGAAGAATTTATCTTGGAGCTTTCTTTTAAATCTCTTATTATATGTATATCTTTTCATTTCTTTTTAATTTATAATAATAATTTTTAAATTTTATTTTTTATTTATCTTATAATATTTATTATATATTATATTATTTATATATTATATTATATTATATTATTTATACATTATATTATATTATATATTATATTTTATAATTTATTTATTTTATAATAATTTTAAATAATTTATAATAATAATTTATAAATATATATCAGACTACTATACGTTTAATTTATTAATACGTACTTAACGTCTTATAAATTAATCGATTAAATCTTCTAAAGAAAGGTTCCATAATTCTTGAAAATTGCAAAAGAACTATTCGAAGCGATTAAGATGAAATATCCTGTAATAAAGCGTCGATCGCCATTAATAAAACATTATGATATTAAAAAAGCATCAAATAATGCGACACTAAATGACACTGTGTACTGAAACTATAGCATTATAATTGTTGCATAAATGTCCTTGGTTTCAATCGAAAGTGCCCGGAACTAAAGACCGCACCCATTGAATGAGATGCAATTTACGATTTGATTCAAAGGTGCGACCAAGGAAAGCGTGATGACCGTATGTGACCGTATTATTTTTCATCATTTTTCTTCTTGATATATTTATTGATATATCTAGTTTTTTTTATACAAAAATTCATATAAAAATTAACTACAAATTTAAAAAATAAGCAATATTAATTTAGGAAAAAGTGCATAAGAAAGATGTTTTTTATATTTCCTTTATATATGAATAAATTACTTCTTTATTATAGAAATATCACATGTGTGCTAAATTCTGTTTAATATATGTAAAAAAATGACGAAGCACTTTCTTGTGTTGTTATCACGAATTCTGCGCAATGCTATACAACTGCTGATTAAAAAGCAGGCTGATATGATGTTTCGCTAACAGAGTGTACACAATCTTTAATTATCGCAACTGTGCAATTCTCAGCGCGGGATAGGGAAATGAAGCATGCAAGAGATAATGTTCGATTCAAGTCTATCGTGAGTCCGTATTGTGCACAGATCGGACTATTTTGTTGTTACTCAATATACCATGGAACGATCACGACCGCCCTCCATTCCCACGATTAACTGGAAGTGGCTCACTATCGACCTGGAACGGCGACTTGGCAAGATCGACAAATCAATTCTTAATCTACCATGGGGATAAAAGCGAGTAAATAGTTTTGGAGGACATTTACATGAAGGTAATTATCTGACGTGATAACAACCTTCGCGCCACGTGTTCCATAAATTACGTTACGCAAAGCGGAAGCGACATGTGGAAAAGAACTCGTCCTACATTAATCGTTTACTCCAGTTCTATCGAATTTTATTTAAATTTTATGACTGTTCAGAGAGAATAAAAGTGAAAAATAAAATAGCTATATAATAATTAAAAATAAAAAAATTATATATATTTATTTTATTCATATCACTACAGCTACTTCTCAAAGGACAGTTACATATTTCAATTGGATATAATATATCTTCCGAACTGATTTGATCAGTTAAATTGTAATCTGTAAACGAATAATCTCATCCTTCCCTTTTAATAGTTTATGAAGAATCTGCAACATCTTAACGGTATATTTTTAGTAGTACATTTTATTATTTTGTATTACCTCTAATATTACAATCTTAATAATATGGTTGTACATTTTCATATTTTCAAATAAAAAATCTGTGTGTACATCCCTTATAGAAATTTATCACTATAGTAACGCCAATTAATCACTTATTTCGAGTACGTAAAATACTGATATACAGTGATTAAGTACTCGAAATAAGTGATAAATTGGCGTTACTAGTAATACATTTCTATAAGGGATAATTATAATATTTCACAGTTATATTTTTTTAATGTAATATGTTTGTATAATATTACATTTCATTTACATGCAATACTTTGAGATTTTAGAGTGTTATAATATGATAGATATTTGATAAAAGTTTTGTATATTCTAAACATTGCATAACTTAATTTATACTATTAGTTTTCAGTTTTGCTAGTAGCATAATTGACTGTAATTATAATAAATTATAAACTATAATAACTTACATTTTCTTTAAAAAATTTAGCTATGTTTCTGATAAGAATTATGGAATTGGGCAGAACACCGTCAACTCTAGATCGTGTTTCTCTACCTGCGAAATAAAATGCTTTGGTGATCTTATGAAATACGAGACTCGATTTATTGTTCGTAAAAAAATAGAATTTCAAGAATTTTCCTAGTTTTAAAGCAGTTACAATACAGAACAAATTTTGAAGAAAACCCAAAGTTATTCGCCTGCGCCTTTCATTCAATAGAATAATAGAGACCTTACCTTACCTTTTTCGCTACTCCGAGATATTTTGCACCATCGATCGACTAACCCACTAACCACTTATAGTTGTAAATCTAATTTTGATTCTCATGAAATGTGACATATTTTCATGCAGTCTGAATAAGTCGTCTGAATAAAATTAGAGTACTTATAATGCGCTCATTAATACTAATTCGTATTCATTAAATTGTAAATGTTACAATTATTATAATTATGTCGAGTAAATTTACTAATTAGAATTACAGTTCATGTGTGAATCAAGTGCGATAAAAATAATCGATAAAGAATAAATTAAAGAGCAAATACTAGTGTCGTTATAATTTATCGATGTTGAATCTGCATGAATAAAATTTTGTTTGTGCAAAAAATTACTTTCTTGTATTAAGAATATTATTTATAAAATGACATAATTTTTTGTCATAAAATATCATTATTTTATCTGACTGTCATTTATTGAACTTAAAACTACTTGCAATACTCTCAAATTCAAGTATTTTGCAATATTCGCGAAATTTAATTAAATAAATTTCAAAAAATCATTAAAACATTATGTAACCTGTAATTAAATATATTCATACTTCCATAGTATCGTATAAAACCAGAAAGGTAATTTAATCTTGAATATCCATTTTCATTAAAAGTATCGTATAGCTTCTAAGGTTCAATGTCCATCTACTCGAAGACGTGAAAAAAACAAAAATTGTATTTTAAAAGCTGCCAGTAGGATATAAGAATTTGAAAGGAAAACTAGTATGCTCTATTAAAAATCAAACTTGTTCTCGACAAGTTATTAATTCCGAACATAAGTTCCTTATAAAGAACTATCGACGCGAATCGACGTAAAAAAAAATAAAATATTATGGAAAAATCTAGGTACACACATGTACGTAATTAATTTTTTCTTTATATATCTTAATTATGCACAATGCGCAATTTGTTTTCTTTTCAAAGGAATGAAATCTACTACGTATAGTTTTGATTGAAGCAAAGAGAAAATCTCTCTTCGTGAGAAAAAGTGCGTAAAATTTTATAAAAAAAATAAGATCTGGAAAATTTTTAATGAATTTAAAGAAAGATGAGAAACATACTTATTCATAATAAAAAACGCTCGATGAATTCGCAAATTAAATTATTGAATTAACAAAAAAAAATAAAAATATCTGAGTAAATTGATTTAATTGCTGATTTTGAAGACTTCTCTCATCTCGTGTAAAAATTGAAAAATACATATAGCGCTGCGTGTGCGAAGGAAAAGTAAAAAAACACCGAATTTTAGAATACATTTATTTTCTTTGTTCATCGAATGTCAGCGATTGACATTTTGCTTACCATTGAAGAGTTTTTGCTTCGTCGGCTATGCAAAAAAACGCGTTGCAGCCGACATACATACATATATACATAATATTTCCTCGAGTTCGAATTTCTACAGCATTAAAAGTATGCGTGCACGTGTGTGTTTGTATGTGTATATTTTGTGTGCGTGTATAAGAGAGATCTCGAATACTGATTTATGACAATGGAGATACGACATAATCGGAGTGCGCGAGATGCATCATTTCTAGAGATGTAAACTCATCGAGAAAATTAAATACCAACAAAATGTACAATGCACCCTCTTCCTTGACTAGTGGAGTCGCCAAAATCGAGATGGCGAGATGACACTCCTCTCGACTCTACATAAGATTCAAGGCGTGATTGGCGCCGCAGCCGACGGTGCCTTGCATGTAATCCGGGAAGTTGCTCTCGAGGACGCGCATCTGTCCTCTCTTGTAATCGGGGATGATGTGCGTGGGTAGGGCGCACTCGGCGCTCGAATAGACCTGCTGGAAGTTGCAGGTCAAGAACGCGGTCTCGCTGTCCCATCTGTACACCTCGGAGCTGCCCTCGTAGCGGAAGAAGAGCGCGCTGCCGTTGTCCGTTCCCAGGATCACGAGTCTCGCGGGTTTGACTCCGAGGTCGTGCACCTTGCCCTGGGCGTTTCCGTTCCGGAGGTGATCCGTGCGGATGGAGAACAGACGGTTGCTGCCCAGGTAGGTGAAGAGCAGGCAAGTGCTACCGTCCTGCCGGTGCATCAACGCGAGGTAAAGCACGTCCCTGCGGCTGCAGTTCAGGGTGACAGCCTGCGGCAGGACCACGCGGTATCCGCGACCCGAGGTCACGTCGTACACCAGAATCGCCCTCGAGGCCGCGTCGGAGACGTAGATGAACACGCGGCCGTCCGAGTTGTAGTCCGCCACGACGTACTGCAGTCGGGACGCGGAGTTCGTCAGGCCGGACAGGTCGACGGTTTTCACGACCTAGAATGAAGAATGATCATTGTTATTTTTCGCTCCTCTTCAATTTCAATCGATCCGAAGCAGAAAAAATTTATATCTTTTTTTTTACGGTCTAAATATATTTTTCTTCCGTCTTTAAATATTAACAATGTGTCAGGAAACTCGTAAAACGAAATACAAAGGGCCTTTGTATTCGAACAATAGCTCACCATCTAACCACTTAAGATGATATAACAAGAAAGAAAAAAAGTTTAATGCCCAGCAGATGCTATATATAAAGAAGGTATAATGGTGTGGAAAACAATACAATTGGTACTTGAGTATCTTACATTGAAAAAAAATGGTGAAAAATTATATATTGATAAAAAAAAATTAAAAATTACATTTCCTGCATTATTTTATATTTCTTTTAAAATAATTGTTTAAATCTATTCTCCTTAAAGTAGAAATAGATATAATATATCTCCGCAATTTGTTTGACAAACTAGACAAACTAGATCTTATCTCTTTCTGTCTTTAATTGGTACCTATTAATTTAATAACCATACGACTTAAGGATAAAAGTAGTACTTTAATCGTATATTTCGCGGCAATTTGATACGGTAGGGAAGGCATTTAAAATTCTCATTGCATAACACTTGCGAAAGCAAAAAAAAAGGAAAAGCAATGTAAATGAGTAATATGATTTGCGCGAATACAATGCGTGCTAACAAAATATTATATAAACAAGAGAAGCAAAAATGATTTTCAACTAATAAATTTAAATAAATAAATATACTTAGCGCGTTTTCACATAAACAACGAGTTGTGGCAAGTTTAACGAGGATATTTCTCTTATCCTTCGATGAGGTACTTTCCGGGAAGAATGGAACAACATACTCGCACTTGCCATTTTTATCGCTAATTTCAGATATATACGCAAATTATCTCACCTTGCCGGTTTTTACGTTCAGGGCGACAACCTTTGGCGGACATTTGCGTTCTGGCTGTTCGAGGGAATTTACGACACCCGTGTCCAGAGCCCACAGGATTTCCTGAGGATCCAAATAGATGTCCACGACGTTTTGCAATGCAGAGCAAGTTCCTTCTTCTTGGAGGGACCAGCAAGGGAAAGGAAGAAGACTGGCTTGACAGTTCTTATCTTTCAACGAGACTTTGGCTAAAGTCGCTGGCACTCCAGGCTTATATCTGTGAAGAAACAAATATGCTCAAATTAACATTTAGACTCTAAAGATATCATCAGGGTGACTGATTCTCTCTCTGACTCTTCTGTATTTTTTCCGGAAATATTAGCACATCTTCTCGGTAATTGAAATCGTCAAACGTTTTGTACTTATTATATTATTACAAAACACAATTTTTTTTTCAATGTCTCTCGATCAATTTATTATATCGGATAAAAATAACTTGACACTAATTATACATCTATTAATACTATATTTAGTTTTAACAATAAATATATATTAAATATAAATATTCTAAAATCGTCCTTTATGAATATCGTATACCGATTAACCGAATCATGTTCTCGTTTGTTACGAAGGTGGACATTTACGTCGCCTGACCTTTGACAAGGTCTAAACATTTCTACTACCTTTCTCTCGATCGCCGTGTTCAGAGCGAAACCCGTTACTTTCAAACGAAATATCATGAACAGACACTGCTTCATCTTTCCGCATTGGAGAAACTAGGATTACGACTTACGTCAAACGATCTCATTAACGATTTCTACAAGGACCTACGCGTGTACCGCAATTATTGACGTAACACACGTGATTCGCAACACGAGAACGCGCTTTCCTCTTATGGAAATCAGACTTGCCCAAGAAATCTGATTACCTTTTTATTAATTCTGCGATTTAAACGCGAGAAACAAGTGATTTCGGTCTGTGAATCGGATATACGATATTCTTTCATCGAGATTCTTCGACCTTTATTGCAATCAGCGTGACTTATTGTTAAAAAAATAATAGAAATAATGATGTTAATTTTTGTGGGATTATTTTTATAGAGCAAATCTCTTTTTGTGTGTAAATTGATATTTGGTTACGTTTAAAAATTCTATTATAGTTGAGAGAAAGATCGATTTCAATCTACGAGATTGTAAATCTTTGTTATATAATTTATAATTCCTGACTGCTCTAATATTACATTTTTGTCGTTTATAAACTGACTCAATGAACTTGTTTTAGACAAACTTGTTTCAATACATGAAGATAAATGAGAGAAAGTTACAATTGTGTCATTAAAAATTTGATATAATAATGGAAAAAAATGTATTCATATTCTACTCTCTCTTATCCTAGAATAATTTTAATTCATTATTTAATACAGACGCGGAAGAAGACTAAATTGAAAAAAAAAAATTGTATGCAGACATAATTACACTACAGAAACATTTGTACATATATTATTAAAAATTATTTACTATCATAATTGTTTGATAAATCTGCAAATGATATATTTTCCATACCTAGGTAAAGCAAGGATGGCGTCGTCCTTGTGGATCGCAGCCCTGGTAGCCAGGACGTTCTTCGAGACGTAACGACCGCTGTTCTTAAATATGCTCTTCGTGGCTAAGCAAGGCCACTCGAAGGGTCCACCGGTCCACAGGATATTTTTCTCGTACTTTGGTCCATCGAGAGCACCGACGACCGCAACGGCGACGATTAACATCACCGCCCGTTCAAAGAGCATCCTTGCCGCGATCTTTCCCTGTCTATTGAATATACGGGACCGCGTCTCCTTTCGCGAATCAGCTGATCGAAAACTGTAAGATCCTCCGAATTGCGCCAGTTTTATAATCCTGTGATGTCGCGGCCGCGTTACGAAATACCTCGGTTTGGAAAATATTTAATCGCGATGCGCAACGATCACGTTCATTCAAGGAGTTCCGCACGCGAGTCGCTGATAAATGTGCGGAACGGAACTGTCAAAAACGACCGTAAACACGAAGGAATTAGTTGTAAATAATAAACAATCTATATACATTCGTGAGCTCACTTGAGCTGAAAAATCTCGCGCATGTTAAAGTATTTTTCTTCATATGTTAATCGGTTCTTCTACCCTCTCGAAAATAGTTTGTTCTATTAAATAAAAAGCATAATATATTTGGATAATTTAATAATTATATATATCACACAAAAATGCGTTATAATTATAATTTATAATTATATAAATATTATAATTATAAAAACGGAATATTTAAAATTATACTGGAAGTAAGTACGATAAATTTTATTTATATGTTAAAGTAGAATTGTAAAAGACTATATAAAGTATAAATTTGGGAAAATATCTTGGCAGCTTTTTTATATTTTTAGTTTGCAAATAATAAAAATGCAATAGAAACTACAGTTTGTAAGACATAGAAAATGAAGGATAAATATGTTTATTTGAAAAATTTATAGGAAAAACGACTATTTGTGGAAGCAAAAATCATGGAAATATAAAAAAAGTTGATAAAACGAACGAGATAATTTCCTGATATTGAATTTCCTGGTTTATTGCATTCTAAAGTGTTCCACTTTTCACGTCTTCCTGGATTTGTTATTATTTACAAATATTTACAAATAATATGCAAAAATAAATATTACAAAGTATTTCCTCTTTATAAATTCCGCCAAATCTTAAGCAAGAGAATTGCTACAAAATATTGTGTAAGAAGACGGTAATTTAAAAATGTAAACAATTTCAATCGGTGCATAATCAAAACGTATATATAAGTATAAAACAGTATAAATGAGTCGCACATTCAAAGATTTTCGTCCGACTGATTACACGAAAAATCTCGTAAGTTTTCACACACATCCTATATTGCCAAGTATATTCAACAGCTCTGAGTTTTATCAATTTTAATAATTTTTTCGAAAAGATTTATATAAGAATTCACGCTTTAGGGAATTCAGAATAATTTAATAATTAAATTTTTATTGTGTACTTATATACAGACTACAAGAATACATCTAATATTGCCAAGTATTTAAACAACTCTGGTTTTTATCAATTTTAATAATTTTTTCAAAAAGATTTATATAAGAATTCACGTTTTAGAGGATTCGGAATAATTCAATAATGAAATTTCCATTGTGTACTTATTTATAGACTACAAAAACACATTAATCTAACTTGTCAGAAAAGACGAGCGCAGGATGAGAATCCCAAGGAGCGCTCTATGCCTGTCGATCCTGGCGTGTAGCCTCTTGTTGGCGGTGTGCGACAAGCAGCTGCTACCGGAACTGTCATTCACCCTGTCGGGCTACAGCCTGGACTGGCCATGTCAAAGTACGAGAAACATCTACGAGACGAGTGGACGGTACATCGCCAGGAATGTCATCGGCACCAGAGCCCAGGTCTACAGGGAGGACATGATCGTGGCGATGCCTCGCTACAAACCGGGCGTGCCCTTCACCTTGGGTGTCATGTCCCTGAAGACAAAGGATTGCGCGCCGAAGGTGACACCGTTCCCCTGTTGGGCGATTCAGGAGGAGGGCAACTGCCAGGCCCTCCAGAGCGTCGTGGACATAACTCTGGACATTCAGGAAATCCTGTGGGTATTGGACGTTGGTATCGTAAACACTTTGGAGCAACCGATACGCAGATGCCCTCCGAAGGTCGTCGGAATTAACGTCAAGACCGGAAAGGTACGCAAATTAAAGACATTACAAGATTTCCAATATTTTTCCATATTTCATTTTCCATATTTTTTAAAATAATTAAGCTTCTATTTCTTGAGCAAAAATTATAAATATTTATTTCTGTTTAACGTTTTGATTGCAAAAGGAAAGATTTCATAGAACGAAAGCATTTCAATAAGTTCTAGATTATTTTGTGACAAAAGAAACAAGACTTTTTTTAATTAAGTAATTTAATTAAAGACATTACAAGATTTCTAATATTTTTTAAAATAATTAAGTTCCTCTTTCTTGTGCAAAAATTATAAATATTTATTTCTGTTTGACGTTCTGATTGCAAAAGGAAAGATTTGATATAACGAAAGCATTTCAATAAGTTCAAGATTATTTTGTGACAAAAGAAACAAGACTTTTTTAAATTAAATAATTTAATTAAAGACATTACAAGATTTCTAATATTTTTAAAATAATTAAGTTCCTCTTTCTTAAGCAAAAATTATAAATATTTATTTCTGTTTGACGTTTTGATTGCAAAAGGAAAGATTTCATATAACGAAAGCATTTCAATAAGTTAGATTATTTTGTGACAAAAGAAACAAGACTTTTTTAATTAAATGAATTAATTAAAGACATTACAAGATTTCCAATATTTTTTCAAAATAATTAAGTTCCTCTTCCTTGAGCAAAAATTATAAATATTTATTTCTGTTTGACGTTTCGATTGCAAAAGGAAAGATTTATTTCAATAAGTCCCAGCTTATTTTGCGACAAAAAATAAGACCTCTTTAATTAAATGCTTTAATTAATTGCCTGGACATAAAAATTTTGTAAAAAATCGATGCATTCATAGACATCGAAAATGAAACTACTCTCGAGGGATGATTCATGTTAAGATATGGTTTCTCGCAGGTTGTGAAGGTGATCGACCTGAGTAACTTGGTGAACGACTTGTCTCGTTTGCAATATCTGACGATCGATTACGCGGAAGACGGGCAAGTGTACGTGTACATAACCGACGCCGCTTCCAAATCCATCATTGTTTACAACGTCACCGCGGATAAAGGATACAGAGTAATCCTTCCTAACGCCGTCACCTTCGGTGTTGACCGAAAGGATGTTCTCTACTTGACGTTGGTGAAGAAGAGCTGCGGAACCCCGGTGGTGTATTTCACTTATCTGGGATCCAACAGGCTTTTCGCGATCAAGGCCGAGAACCTGAGGAAAGGTCTCACCCAAGGAGCGGTCCTAGATGTCGGTCCGAAGCAACAGAAGCTGGTTCTCCTTGGCAGTGACAACGGCTGCGCCATTTTCTTCAGATACAAGGGTAAGTTTCTTTTCGCGAGCAAAATAATCAAATTAATTAATTAAAAAAAAAAGAAGAAAAATATTTGATACACAGAAGTCAGCTGTTTAAAGAAAGCTACTTATAAAGCTACTTATAAAGCTAATTTTAAAAAGCTACTACAATCTAATTAAAGTCTTTTTACATTAAACGCACGCTTTTATAGATTTTGCATCTTTTTTAAATAAGAAATGACTAATTTTCAGGCGAGTCCGATATCTACATGTGGAACAGCGAGACGCCCTTCAATCCGGAGAACTTCGTTCTAGTGCAAAAGGGCAACGATTGCCGACTGGCAACCCAGGTTGTTCCTGGATATAAGAGGCTTATGTGGGTTATCGAGAGTAACTTCCAGGATTATATTCAGAACACCGTGAGTTGCTCGGGTGCTTCCGTGGCCATTCATCCCTTGGTCAAATCTTGCGAAGAGTAGAAGCTGCTTGTCTCGAGAGCTTCTTCCTCAGGACCACTACGGCACGCGATTATACACAAAACTCGATGCTTAAGCAGAAATTGAAATCGATTAGTTTTGGAATGTGTTCAGAATTCGACGCGTTAGATGCGAAAAATGATACCTACACGTTTATTTATGGCAATGGAGATACGATAATAATTAATTAGCGCGAGGTGTACATTTTTCCGTATTTTTAGCATCGAAGATACGTGATTTCAGAGTAAAATTATATATTGGTTCTAATTTCGACTTCTGCGTAGATAGAACAGTTAATGTCACGTTGTATTTTTTCTCGCGTCCGAAAAAACAATTACTCGGATGACGTTTCTTATAATAATTGTGACATTGGTTGTTCAAGCAATCAAATATTAAGTTTGAAGAAAAATAGAAAAACCGAATTCTATTTTGTCGCTGATCTAGTCATGTAATCGGCAGTTGTTCGCGCCTTGATTCTTTAGATAGCAAATGTAATTTGCGAATTAATTACTTAATGTAGATGTTGAAGCAATCAATCATGTATTTAAATAATTAGCGTATTTAGTTTTATCACGAATTAATATAGCCTTGACCGATGAGAGATTTTTACAAATCTCCATTTACTCTACACAATCCATGATTACTTGTAATCGTGGATCAGTTTACTTGGACAAATCGACCAGTGGCAAAATTATACTTGTATGGCATCGATGTACCATTTAAATCGACGCCGACAAACAGTTTTCACAACACGTGATTGTTTAGAAATTACAGTTATTTACTTCTGCCCTTGTTATCTTGCCAATGAAAATGATTTATTAGCATGTAATAAAGTTAATACGTTGACACCTTGTAATCATTATTATGTAAGTTGAAAAGAAAACAATGAGCTCAGCTAGTAAACGTCAGCTTATATAAACAGTTGCACGTGTGAAAGCCACGTGCTCCTTATGTAATTATTTATGTATATGTAGAACTTTATTTTTTGGTGAATATACATATATTTGAGATGGAAAATTACTGGATTTGGTAACGATTTTACAATGACGCAGCTTGTAAATTAAGATAACAAGAAGCCATAGTCTTATTGCGTACTTAAAAATAAGATTTACAAAGAAGTTTACACAGAGTCTATTCTTCATTATTGACTTATCATTATTATAATCTTGATTAGAAATTTTTCTCGATATGCAAAGCAACATTATTGTATAATTATATATTATATGCTGTATTAATATCAATAGCTTTCAGTTTTTAATCATTAGTGTTATGGCTATGTGTATTAAAAAATAATATATACATATATACATATATGTATATTTTTTTTTAGAATCATTTATTTCGGCAAAATCGAGATCGATACTCAGAGAAAATTTAATAATTTTTTTTTACTTTTTTGATGATATAATATTCTCTGTATACATAATAATGAATAAATAATGTATTTAAATTACAGAATTGAGCATTTACGCGTAAAATATAATAGTCTACGTCTACGATACGCATAAACAATATTTGTATAAACTATGTTTAATATGTTAACAATGAATAATTTACGAAACAAGCGGCTTAAATGATCAAAAATATATTTCGTTTATGTTCTACGTGGTGTAAACATGACACAGTTTTAACATTTTACGAGGCTACGATAAATCAACAAAAGATTCAATAACCTGAATTTCATATTGATAAAAAAATTATATATTAATACATATTATTATTATTACATTACATTAACACTATTTTATAATAAAAATTACTTTTTTTTATAAGACAGTCTATTTGTAGACAGTAAACAATAATTCATATAAATATAATTTAAAAATCTACAATATATTTCAGATTAATTAAAATATATAAATTAATTTTCTAATATATATATATATAATTAAATATTTCGCATTTAATTAAATAAAAATTCAAATTCCATTTAGCAGAAATCCAAATTAGTAGAGATTTAAACCCTATTTATAATAAGAAATTCGTTTCAGTTGTCATATATATGCACCTCGAAACAAGATATTAAAACATTGAAATGCATCTTATAAAAATAGTAGCATCAAATTAGAAAATAATTACCAAATGCAATTATATTTGGCATATAATTTAATAAAAATTCAAATTCCATTTACCAGAAATTCAAATCTAACTTACAACTGTTAGTAGAGATTTAAACCCTATTTATAATAAGAAATTCGTTTCAGTTGTCATATATAATATATGCACCTCGAAACAAGATATTAAAACATTGAAATGCATCTTATAAAAATAGTAGCATCAAATTAGAAAATAATTACCAAATGCTGAATGTAATAAACAAATTGTTTCTCATAAGAGCAATTTTTCAATTATCTCGCGTTGATATAGCGCGCCCTAATTTCAGCCGCGCGTAAAGCGCTCGAGCGCCAACAGATGGCGCTGACGTCGCGAAGAAGGAACTAGACCCCTGACCCTAGTTCGTGGCGAGAGGCGAGTGACGGCGTGGCTACCGCGCTTCTCTCACGCGATCGCGCGCGGTCTATGCCCCTGTACGTGTGTGCATGTGTGTGCGCGTGTGTACGCGAAATCGCGGAAGCCCCGTGTGTGATACGCGGCAAATGGCCGCCGTGGTGCAGTTTCCGTGCGAGGTGTTGCGCGAGGTACGACCGCGTTGGGCTGCGGGTGTCCGCGTAGGCGCGCGTCGCGGTTTACGGTGGTGGTGTTGTCGATCATCATCATCGTCATCGTTCTTCTCGTCGTCGATCACCAACGGGAACGGAAGAGGAAGTGGTGATCGCGCGGCAGCGTCGTCGTCGCGGTCGGCCGAGTAAGCGACCGACCACCGGGAAACGCGATGTGATGTGAGCGCGTCGTCGAGCGCGAAAGAACACGTCTCACGAAGCGAGCGAGAGAGAGAAAGAGAAAGAGAGAGAAAAAGAGATCGTCATCTCGCTGACGCGAGAGGCCAAACCAGGCCCAGCCAGCCACGGCTGGCGATGAACGTCGCAACGACCGCGAGTACGACGACGACGACGACGACGTCGGTGATGAAATCTGTGTCCGAGGGTGAGCTGGGCGTGGAGGAAGAGGTTAAACGTATGGAGTCGCGCGGCGCCACGCGGCTCAAGCGCACCTTTACACTGCCGAGAAACCCGTTTCAAAGTGCCAGCAGCAGGATGTCGCGGCGACGATGTCCGAAGCAGCCCCACTGCGACAATGTCGCGCCGACGTTGACGACGACGACGACGACGGAAGGCGGCGTGCAGCAACGGCAGAACGCGACCGGGAGATTGCACGGCGGCGGTCATCATCATCATCATCATAATCATCATCATAATCATCATCATCATCATCAGCAACAGACAGGCGGCACTGGTCATAACAATCAGCAGATCGTTCAGGACTGCTGTCAGGAGCGACAGACGCCGTGCGGTAAGAAGGTGTTCCGTCGACCCTCCTGGAGGAAGTTCATCAACAAGATGGTACGTCATATGTCAAACGTGGGCGCTCAGGGTCACAAGGCCGCCGCCGTAGCCGCCGCCGCCGCAGCTGCCGCCGCCGCCGCGTCGATCCATCATCAACGCGGCGACGACCTCGGGTCGAGCGCGGGCGACATCAGGGTGCCGCCGCCCCCGAGGCCGGCGCACATCCCGGCCGATCGGGTGCCGGGCGTGATAGGCCTACGTAATCACGGGAACACGTGCTTCATGAACGCGGTGCTGCAGTGCCTCTCGCACACGGACATCCTCGCCGAGTACTTCGTCCTGGATCAGTACAAGATTGATCTGTCGCGCCGCAACAAGCTCAATTCGAAGAAGTATGGCACCAGGGGCGAGATCACCGAGCAGCTCGCGCTTCTTCTCAAGGCCATCTGGAGCTGTCAGTACGACCCGGAGATGAGCACCGCGTTCAAGAGCGTCGTCGACAAGTACGGCAGTCAGTATCGCGGGAATCTGCAGCACGACGCCCAGGAGTTCCTCCTCTGGCTCCTCGACAAGGTCCACGAGGACCTCAACCAGGCGACCAAGAAGAAGTACAAGATCATCAAGGTAAGCTGATCGATTGTTATCTAAGATTTTCGCGAGTTTGGCGAATTTCATCGGGCGATCAAAAGTCGCACGTGTGACTGTCATTTTTGACGTTTGACAGTTCAGCCATATACTTTTTTTTATCACGCGTACATATTTTAAAGACAATCAGGAATTTACCTGGAATTATACGATAATGCTTAATCAATTCTTCGTATTTAATGTCCAGTTAATTTTTCTTCGCGAATTTTATCGAATGGTTAAAAAATCGCACACGTCATCGACTGTCATTTTTGACATTTGACAGTTCAGCCATTACTTTTTTTTTATCACGCGTAAGTATTTTAAAGACAACCTGGAATTATACGATAATGCTTAATCAATTCTTCGTATTTAATGTCCAGTTAATTTTTTTTTGCGAATTTTACCGAGTGGTTAAAAAATCGCACACGTCATCGACTGTCATTTTTGACATTTGACAGTTAAGCTACTTACATATTCTTTTTTTTTATTACGCGTATAATATATTTTAAAGACAATATTATCTGGAATTATACGATATTACTTAATTAAGTATTCTTCGTATTTGATGTTCAGTTAATTTTTCTTTGCGAATTTTACCGAGTGGTAAAAAAATCGCACACGTGACTGTTAATTTTGACATTTGACATAGTTAAGCTATATACTCTTTTTTTTTATCACGCATAGATATGTATTTTGAAGACAACTTTATACCTGAAATGCGATAATACTTAATTAATTCTTCGTATTTGATGTCCAGTTAATTTTTCTTTGTCCTGTTTTAATGAACTGTTATCCAAGAGTGTTGCAAATTTTGCCGACTGATAAAAAGTCACACACGTGGCTGTCATTTTTAACATTTGACAGTTCAGCCATATACTCTTTTTTTTTTTAACCACGCGTACATATTTTGAAGATAACTTTACCTGAAATGCAATAATGCTTCATTAATTCTTCATATTTGATGTCCAGTTAATTTTTCCTTGCGAATTTTACCGAGTAGTAAAAAATCGCACACGTGACTGTTAAGCTATATACTCTTTTTTTTATTACGCGTACGTATTTCCAGGTAATTCCAGGTAAAAACAACTTTACCTGGAATTATACGATAATGTTTAATGTGTTCTTCGTATTTGATATTCAGTTAATATTTTTCCTTCTGTTTTAATAACGTATTGTCTAATTTTCACGAGAGCCAAATCTCCATAATCTAATTTCCATCTCGCGACATCACTTTTGATTTAAACCTGTCTATATATCATGGCATTTTTTTATTACGCGGGAAGGTATTATTGCTCCCTTTTATTTTTAGACGTCGCCGGTCGTGTTGTCGAGCATATTTTTAGTAATATCGAAGCGAAAGGTCGTATGAGAAAACGAAAATGACGTGTGTATTCGCGGCTATTCATATAAAAATGCTCGACGGCATCTTGACCTCGAATTAAAAAAAAACTGTGCCATGGTATGTTTTTATCATTGACGGGAGGAGGATATAATAATAAGTAGTAATGGCCATTTGAAAGAGAAAAATGTCGATGCTTTATTTCTTCAAAATATGCGCTATTATTATATTTGATAAGAAAACGTTTTAATATCATGAATGTAATTAAAACTGTTTTAATTCTATTTCGAAATTATTTACAATTATATAATATAATTTTGAACCATTAATTATTAGACGAATTTTCAAAAAGTAAACAGATCAAGCTGCAGTTATCTTACCATTGCATTTAATATATATTATTTATATATTTAATATATTATATATATTTTTTAATATATCGATAATATAATCTAGCATTACCTTAAATATATATTATTTATATTTAATTTATATTAATATACACATTTTTTTAATATATCGATAATTTAATCTAATACATCGATAGATGAAGGACCCAATATCGAAAGAATTAAAAGTAATTAATTACACACTTCTATATAATAACTTTGGATCATTAATTATTAGACGAGTTTTGAAAAAGTAAATAGACCGAGCTGCAATATATTACTGCATTTAATATATATTATTTATGTATATATATTTTTAAATATATCGATGACATAGTCAGATACATCGATAGATGAATATTATTGACCCAATATCGAAATAAAAGGAAAGAAAAGCGCATCGACACTTTCTAATATTAAAATAACTGCATCATCTCTTAGTAAAATCCGTAGAAACGCAGACAGGACGGATATATAATAATTAAAGGCGAACACGTGGTAGCCGTTTAAAAGCATAGCGGACAATTAACTGCATTCCTTCGATGGTAATTTAATCGTCGAGCTGGTCGTCACGACGAAAGAAACTTTCTTTTTGGCTCGTCGTGGCCAGCGATGTGAGAAACGCTCGACGAAAGTCGCTTCAGTCCACATATTTCTCTCTTTCTTTCCTTCCTTTCCTTCTTCTCTCTCAAATTGCGTGCGTAGGCACGATTGCACACGATGCACGATTTTTACGTTGACAATCTCTCTCTCTCGCGTGACGAGGCGACGTCTGTTTTCGACTCATCTCGAATCGTTCGCCGAGAATGGACGAGCCGAGAATAATTCCGTGGTGTGTGGGTGCCTTAATCTTAAATTCTAAACACATTTATCTGTCGGGGAAAACCCGGAAACGCGATAACAAAAGGCAGACGTAGGCTAAATAAATGCACGGATTTTGTTTTCGTTTTTTTTTGAATTTCATTTTTAATTATTTTTTGTTTTTAACATAAAATCGATATAGGTTCCAATTTTGTTTCTATATATTATTCTACTTTATATCGATAGCTGGTGATCGCCTTTTGTAAAATTATTATTTATCTTTTGCTCAGTTTCCCGACACTTATCCTTGCGTCCTTCTAAAAATATCATAAATTTCCATTTTTACGATATTGTATGATCCTTTTTTTTTGTACCAGATTTGGAAGAGTAAGAATGAGAGCAAAATATTGGAAAAAAGAAAATAGAAGGAAGAGAGAAAGCGCGCGATGTGTTTCAAAAGTTAATATTCTATTTTAATCGTTGAAAAAGTAATTAGATTGTTTTTTGAAATATTAATAAGTTCTCAAAAGCAGAAATGGATACGTGAGTTATTCGATTAATTTTTATTTATTTTGTTATTAAAATTCCATTTACATTTTCATTAAATGTATAAGTATTCATATAATTTATATGTAATTTACATTCAGTCTTGATCGTCAGTTTTTTAATATAATTTTTAAAACTAAACTCTTGTGTATACGATACAAAAATTTTATTCATATCAATATTTACAATTATTTAAATAATTTGTAATAAATAATCGATGGCGAGAATATTTTCCGGATATGTATATACAAATGTATATTTGTTGCGAATAAATTATAAACTGTCTCTTTTCTTATTTGTTATTCAAATAAAATCTTGTCCAGTATTTCTGCTCAAATAAATATACTTATTCGATGATTATATAAATAAAACGGGTTGCTTGATAGACTTGGCTTTATATTTTATTACTTCGCGAATTAAGTCAGTCGAAACGATCAGCAGCACATGGAGACCTTAACCCAAATTGTTTTACATTCGAAAATACATACTCCGTTTTCCAACATCGAAGGTAGACAGTATAAGAATAAAATATCGAGATGGAAGATAAGAAAGAAGATGAAGAGATGATGTTTAACTTAAAAAAATATTACGTGACACACAAAAGAATTGCTGTGGCCTTCTACTTTTTTAAGTAATTACTAGAGTCTGTCAGATGATTGCAACATAGTAATAATTGTAAAAAAATTACATATACATATATAATGAATTATTACAATTTCTATAAAACGTTTATAATTAATAAATTGCTTATTTAAAAAATCTTATAAAATCATTCCGATTAAACGTGACGATTATTTATCAATTAATTATTATTACTGACAATACGTGTTATAAAATCGTTTTTAATGTCATAATTATCACTTATCATTATCACCATCATTTATATCATTGAATAATATCGGTGATTATATCGCGATTTTTTCAACTTATAAATAAAATAATCCCTTTAGTATAGAATAATACCAAGAAAAAGAAAATAGAAATATCATAAATTTAATAATCTGGTCAAAGTTATTTTTCTATCCGCACACTAAGGGGGAGATATAAAAATAGCAATTTAGATATCTTGTAAATTATATGCGCAAACAGACGCGTTTGTTGCATTCTGATATATCTTAATTTTTTAGCGATTATTCATCTCCTATTTTATCTTATCATTCGGTTCTCGGTTACGTTTATAAATCGTTTGTCGAGCCAGCGAGATAAGATTGTTTTCTTCTACCGAAGAGTCCGATAATTCGATTCAAGTATCAATAAAGTATGACATTTCGTCGCTTATTAGAGAAGCTATATTTGAAATCACGAAAAAGAATTTAATTTATTAATTATTCACTAATCGTTCGTAGGTATTTTTAAATTAAATATGCATTAATCGATCATATTCTGAATGAGTTCAAAATGAAGACTCCGATATTAAATTAAGGAATTAAAGATTAAATGATGAAAATTGCTGCAAGGCTGACTAGTTGACACTTTCATACGAGATTAGTTTAATTTAAAAACGAGATTAAATCTAATATAATTATCACAATCACACTCGTAATTATATATAATTTTATTTTTAGAGATAATATGATTACACTTTACTCTCTCTTTCTCTTATCTTGCAAAATACATTATTTATTTTATATACTTGCAAAAATTAGCTTAAACAATGCTTTCCCACCGATGCATCTACGCATGCATATTTTTCACCATCGAGACCATTAGAGATACGAAGTTAATGGACCCAATATTAATTAAAGCGGATGCTTAATCATCTTTATCTCGCTATTATCCATGAAACACGAGGGTGATACGCGGGATTATCAGCGCGGTGCAGGCATTTTTTTTTTCTTCTCGGATTTCGAACGAAAAGAGTGTGTACCTCGTCGCATATTTTTCTCTGTGAGAAATGCCTCTCGAGAAACCACGTACATACA